TTCAAGATTAATTATTTAATATAATCTATTATTAATTATAAATTATAATTATTCATTATTATTATTTAAATCTTTATTTAATATTTAATTATAAATTATCTCAAAAATCTAAAATATTTTTATATAATTTATATAATAATCTTTATAATACTTTAAGTATTATTATTATTTCAAATTTTAATTCGATAATAATAATATTATATTATAATTTAATAATTCTATTACAATTAATCAAATCATCTTTAAAAGTATTAATTATCAACTTGTTGATTTTATAACCTTGTTGTATACAAGGTTTATCTAATAAATAATAAAAAATAAGAAACTCACTTAAATGAATCGCGATCCTGATAATCTGATTAGTTTAAAATACCTTAGTAAATACCCTAGTAAATAATCTAACAAAAAACTTGATATAAACTTTACAATCTCAAATAAATTCAATTTGAAACTTTTTTCAATTCAACTTTATTAAAATTATTTAATTTTGAAATCATTCAATTTAACTCTATTCAATTTATAATAATAATAATAATAATAAATATTATAAATATTATTATAAATTGAATAGAATTGAATTAAATGATTTCAAAATTAAATGATTTTAATAAAGTTGAATTGAAAAAAACTTCAAATTAAATTTGTTTAAGATTATAAAGTTTATATCAAGCTTTTTGTTAGATTATTTACTAGGGTATTTATTAAGGTATTTTAAACCAATCAGATTATCAGGATCGTAACTCATTTAAACAAGTTTCTTATTTTCCACCACTCATCAGGTAAACCTTGTGTATAACAAGGTTATAGAGTCGGCAAGCCGACAATAATTTATTATTATTATCTAAGTGTCACGGACCTCGTTTAAAGGACGATCACGTGATTCCAATTGATCGACAATTCCTATCGGTGAGCTGATAGTCTGCACATTTTTCCAAATTTACCCTTTTTAGTATGGCATTATGATCACCTTAAGGCAGATTGCGCACAACCATGCAGCTACCGTATAGGTATTTTGTATATATATATATGGATGCTCCCTACGAGCCATAGTTCTTCAGTTGTAGATTCTAAGGAATATAATTGACCCTGTTTATTCAGCTCTTATGAGGCTCTTGTACGTCACACTAAGTCTCTACTTGATATCTAATTATAAACCACTTTGAGAATCTAAAACACTTCTATATGATCTAGACGGCAACCCTCGTAACATTGAGCCATAAGGTATTTCATGATAATAGAACGCGTAGCGGCATGATTCTCAAATATGCCAGTGAACTTAACTTGTCGCTGATGAAAGATTATTTGTTGATGTGAAATTCTACTTGCCGAGGGAAAATGATGCGTGTTTCGAAATGCACTGGACAACAGTTAGAAGTACGCGCAGAATCAATGTAATAGCCAGCTTACCTTACTTCTATGCTTCCATTCTCACACAGCTCCTTTCCCAACTAGATTCTTTTTCGACCTGCCAGTTTAGTACAACTACTCCTTAGGGTCACGGCCGAATTTTGCCCCTGTAATGCAAATATCCTAGAGTAATTGACTGCGGGTTGAGCGTCGGTACTTAACAAAACTAAATCACATCAGCATACAAAATGGAAGACACCATGGGGGCAGTTGTGAGGGACTTTGGCTTTGCGATTAGCCAAAATCAAGAAGGAAAATGGCTGATGATGATGCCATAAGAGCCAGCCGAATGTGCGCTTTGTCTGTTGTTAGCTGCGAATAATTTAGTGTGGCTAGGTCAAACTGATATAGCAAAAACAGGATTGAGAGATCGAGATACGGAATAGCATAATGAAGCTACGATCTCAGCTGGGCATAGGGGTGAATTGAGTTGAGATCATAAGGTTGATGACCACCAGATACTGGTGAATGAGAGGGTGGGGCAAATGGGATACACTTCAGCGAAATGAGAGCGAAAATACTTGACTAAATTTGGAAGCTGCCTCAAGCAGAGAAATATGAAAAACGTGTCTTGCGGAGTCCCAATGTTTCGATGAAGAGGTTTTGTACATGCGATTTTGAGATTTTTCATGTGAATGGTTGCTGAGATGAAAAATATCAAGGAAAATTCCATGCTTGACTGGGAATGAACAAGAGAGTGATACAATAAGAGTGTGCAATGTTGTGTCGTCCTTACCAAGATTGAGTAATCGTATAAACATCAAAACAAGACAAATACCTGAGCGCAAAATTTTTGCTGTTGTAGATTCACTTTGCAGTACGGACAATAACCACATTGGTGATATATGATGATGAATTTCTCAAACCAAACTCTTTGAAAGAAGTATGCGCACAAATGATAGAAAGCAGAAATTGCCTACTGAATAATGCCACGTTGAAGATGGAAGCATCTTGATTAGCAAGCATTCTATCTAACAGTATGTCATGTCCATAGACAGATGCGTGCCAAGTCATGAATTTTGTATGTGCAAGTCAGATTTGACATTGCTGCTGACATATTCTTGGAAGGGACATTAAAACATGAATTCTGGTCAACACTCGAGGTTTGAGGAGAGGTCCATGAATAGACGTCGGTACATACCTAGGTAGAGAACAATAGGAAAAAGAAGTTAAGGTCATTGTTAGCAGTTAAAGATCTGGAATGTACTTACATCTCCACCACATATATCCCAACTGGCCACTAGTCACGAGGATCAAACCCGTAGCAGGCCTGCGCCAGCTTACTGCACCACAGATATGGGATGCCCACTACACAAGTTGCCTAACTAAAGCTTTTATGGGTTAATTTAGATTGGGGGGAAAGGGCAAGTAAACCCGCCGTTGCGGGGAATCTACAATATACCTATCCTTTTCTCCCCTGATGACCCTTGGTGCTCGGGAGCTCTTTGTACGCATCATAGTGGCCGCCCTCCAGGGATGTAACTAGGGAATTTGTTAGTGAGTCAGATTGTGTGTTAACCACGCGAGACGCGCGTTTGACCACTGGACCATGAACTTTAACTTCATTTATTTGTAGGAAACCATCGTCCTATGAAATATATTGCACTCTGAAATGTTCGGTGGAAGGAAAGTGAATATATGTGGCTGTGTGGCAATGAAGATGGCTGCTCCGTCATGAGAAATGAGCCGAAACGACGGTTGACCACGGGTAAATATATGCGTGTTTGATCATTTCTCGGCTTCCAATACGGCTCATTTCAGAAAGTGGGAGATGCTGAGATGAGAATGAGTCGCATATCGTTTTCGAGATTGACTTTGGATTACTGCCTCACGCTTTAATCAAATGGGGGGCAAGCAAACAGCCGGCTGTGCTTCAAGCTAAACATTCAAGCTTCACATACAAATCGTACTCAGTGAGCATGGTTCGTTGAAGAAGACATGGCGGAGTAGATGAGGATATCTCGGGAGGTGATGAAGCAGGATTTCAAATGATCTGAACAAGTAGAATGGGTCCTTCACCTCCCTACCTTCTAAAATTCCCACTTCATGATTCATCTCCCCCTTCTGCATGAGGCACGTGTCCTTTATCCGCTGCGTATGCTCAGTCCCTTTCAATTTGTCAACTTCAGAAGGTCAGTCGGAAATCCAGGCCACTCCATTTCCTGGATTTCCTGGATTTACTTCGACTCCACGAAATTCCCGGAATGTGAATACTCCAGGTGTTGATCTTACCTGAAGTGGACAAATCTTGGGAGGCAGCGTACCTCAGCCTTGAAGACCCATCTTATCCCACCGAATGGTACGGAAGTATAGCCGGAAGGTAAAGCACATGTGGAGATAGCATGAACAAAATGGTGCTAGTAGTTTGACCAAAATAGGTATGGTATATGCTCTCTAATCATTTACTTACAATTTCGGGAGCACAAAATTTGTATGTATGTATGTACTTGGTTGAATCATTGAAGATTTAACGATCTTACTCCCCCCTGCTGGTGCTTTGTCTCACTCCTTTGGGAAACCCCCTAACTCATACTTTTTGAATCCGGCAATCATGAGTCTGGTGGATGAATAGAACAGCCTTATAGAAACAAAACTCGACAATAGAGACCTTTTGGCCAAAATAAATCATCATGTCTTAGTCCTCGATCAACTCGACTCCTCAGACGGGCCACGTCGGCGCACGTGATGTGTTGTGGTTACTCAAAAATGGATTACCCCGCACCAAAGTCGTCTCATATGCAATGCGACGTGCATGGGGAAGGGGGAAGGCAAGGGCAAGATGAGAAAAGAGTAACTCATAAATCCTTTTCACCCTTTTCATGCTTCTGATTCTTTTCAACCTTTTCAGCCTTTTTCAACCTGTCCATCCCTTTTTATCCTTTTCATCCTTTGCTCTTTCAATCCGTCATGAAAATACCCATCAATTCGTGAAGTCCTCGGTATAGCCTCAAAAAGGAACAGCGTAACTTCTCAAAACATCTGCTTCATCTCCAGTTTCTTTGATATTTCGTACGGCACGGAATGATCGGAGTCGTCGGAATCCATGGGGTACCTATGTATGATGCGGAGTATCTTAACTTCGAATTCAGGGCAAAATTAGCACGAATCTACCGCAAACCTGGAAGCCATCGCAAATGTACTGTATTGGCCCACGAAATCTTCCCTTGTCCGGATACAAATGCCCAGAGATATTGCACTTGGACTTGAACTTGGACTTGGACACGAACGAACTCCAATTGCATATTTAACAGCCTTGGAATTCAAAGAAGCCGTGTTGTATCGATACATTTTGCGGAGACCTTTTACCTACCTCCCTTCATCGGAATGATGTTATTGCGACCCAAAAATTGCAAAGATTATGTCTCGTCCCCCAAGGTCTAAAGATTAAAGTGTCTTTTGTTTCCTTCCATTTGATGCATTCTTATTTATTTATTCTTTTTTTTTTATCGCAAGCTAATATTTGCAACGATGGAATGTTCGTGATGAAATTTATAGGTCGTCGGTCTCTCAAAAGTGTCGAAAAAAAGATGGTCGGAATCTACAATCAAATTATTGAAGCGCTAGAATGCCCTAAATTAAATCGATTACAGGCTTTCGTCCACAACGCTTGGCAGGTACAAATTACCAAACCAACGAACACAACTAACTTCGACAAAATGGAACAACCCAAAATCCTCAAATCCGATTAACCATATCGACGGTGTATGGTTCGTGATTAAGAAACATCTATCCTTCCGTACTCGGTACTATTGATCTGTCTTGTCGGAGTGGAATCGAGTTGGCTTCATGATGCGTGTGCTAGTGGCACGTGAGGATACCGATATGCGATGTGTGCGATACACGATGTGTGATGCGCAATATGCAATATGCAATATGCAAGATGAACTTCCCCCATTCCGAAAGTAACCACGGGAAACGGATTCTTTTACGAAACGTGGTTCTGCTTTCAATATTAAGTACCTTCTGCACATTCCAAGTGGCGGACACTTGCTTAATGTTCCAGTGGTTAAAAGCCTCAGTTCGGACCTTCTAGTGATAGATAATGGCTATTATATCCTAGTGGATCCATCAATATGGGTCTTGAAGACTTGAAGACTGTGTTTAGCGCACCACGAAGGCCCCTGCTGGTGGATTTTATACTTTTTTTTTCTGTTGATTGATGATATGAATGAAAGTGGGCAAATTATTCCGAATTACAGAGTTCGTTCAATGTTTTACTTAGCTTTCTGCTAGGTGTCTGGTGCGTACAGTCAAGGGATGATTTTTCAATCCGTAATGTGGTTAATATAAAATTACAGGAAAAATGGAAAGCCACCCATGGATTCGCGTATAGTTTTTACCAAGCGCTTACTGCCTGCAAACGAAATCCGAAATTTTCCGACGGGGTTCAGGGGCCAGCGCAACACAAATAAAACAAAATTCATGTTATACAAAGATGGGTTTACGGGGTCGATTCATGATACATCAACATTCCAACAGGATCCGTTTGTCAAATCCAAACCTCTTTCGTGCTATCATTCCCTATAAAAAGTGGGATTTTGAGCTTCTAAAATGATTCGTGGCATTTTGATGCATTTATGGCTCACGATAGCTGAGAAGTCGGACGCGGAGTCTCGGGGCAAGATTTTCCTGTGTGACCATGCGACAAGGGTGAAAAATCAACGACCATCAAGAACATTGACAACATAGCCAACACTCAGGCAAAACGAATGTGAGAATGTCATCGGGTAGTCAGATAGCCATGATAGCCATGGTGGAAATTGACAAGACCTGATTCCAGTGAATCGAGTGTGGATTTTCTTCTTAACAGTATGATTGACTCTTCTTCCTTGTTGAGCGTGTGTAACAACTCGGAAGATTCTTAGGTGAGATTATGTATTCAACGGTTTGATCAATGAATCAATGCAAACGTCTACCCGACGATAAAATCAAGTGAAAAGGGTACCTTTCCGTAACTAATTCACTCGGAGGATAGTTCTTTTTACCCCCACCATCCCGGTATTTTCTCTTGAAGACATCTCAATGTTGGGAATCCACTCCTTTCTTTTTTATACCTGTTACTTCATAGCGCGATATTGATATCGGATGAGATATAAACTATCAGCCTTGCATTTCAGTCATGGTAATCTTTCACCACTTCTGATAGGATAAAATCTTAAATCGAGCGGGCTGACCCACATATAGCCACGAAATTTCACAGATTAGTGACGGCACAGTCCATATCCATATACTAAACTCAGGAACTTCCTGGATATTCAGGAAAGAAGAAATTTGACACCGACTATTAAACCGAGCTAAGATCAAAGAAGTGTCCTTAGCTCAATTTTTCTTGATTCTCCTTCCGCCCTTCCCATTCTTTCCCACTCTCACACCAAGTCACAAAACTTCTTTTGCTTGTCAACACTCGAAGTCTTCATCTCCACTCACATATACCTATCTCCAAAAACCTCATTTTTGAGTCTACTTCACACACATCAATACAATGGCCGCTCGTGTTGCTCCTAAGATGGCTTCCCTCATGGGATCTGCCTCCGCAAAGGTTGCCCGCCCAATGGTTCGCTCCAACCTTGGTGCTCAACGTACCTTCACTGGTAAGCTTAAAGCTCTTTGATATCTTCCTATCATCAATTTAGCTTGCATGAAGCCTCAACAACTATCAATATAGCTTCAGTTGTATTACGATCCAATACATCTATCATCGTCAGCATATACCTATCGACCAAATTCAATGGATAAAGACCACCTCGCTAACAAAATTTTCTTCCCCACACAGCCATGAGCAAGACCTCCAAGACTGCTTTCCAAGCCGTCAAGCGTCAACAAACCAGCCAAATCCTCTCCAAGACCACCCAATTCTCCGCCCGCCGCCCATACTCCTCCGAAATGGCCAACGCTCTCGTTCAAGCTTCCCAAAACCTCGGTATGGGAGGTGCCGCTATCGGTCTTGCAGGTGCCGGTGTTGGTATCGGTCTCGTCTTCGCTGCTCTCTTGCAAGCCGTTGCCCGTAACCCATCCATGCGTGGTCAACTCTTCTCCTACGCCATTTTGGGTTTCGCTTTCGTCGAGGCCATCGGTCTTTTCGATCTCATGGTTGCTATGATGGCCAAGTTCTTGTAAATGTGTCATTATGGTTGGATGAAGTGGAAAGGAAGTATGTATAAATACGGTGGATGGAGATGGGGTATGAAGGTGGTGGTATAAATCAACGGTGCATTGTTACGTTACGGGCATTGCATGCGGTTGCACATAGATGGTTTGGATCGATGGTATGGAAAAATCGATGCATTTTATAGACGGATTTCCTCTCTTCTCCCGATATTAGAGCATAGAATTTCTAGATTAGACGAACATACAGACAGATGATGAATTACCTCTTTCAAAGGGTAGTTCCTGTAAACTATCAATTGAAGAACGTATACCTATCTTTTTATTGGCGTCGTGCATGTGAGAGATTTAATATAGAACTTTAGACTCGGGTCTTGATATCTGGGGCCGCGGCTGGGGATTTGAACGCCAGCAATATTGATTGTTTACATTTCGGGATAAATCGGGTGAAAATTTTTCACTTGGTGTTTCCCGGGGTGTTTCAATATGAAAGGAGGGGATCCATCATCTATCCTTGTTATCTATCGATAAGGGTTGAGGGCTGAGGTTATTATGGAGAATGGACAACGTGATATGCACGTGAGATCAATCTTATTTTGAATAACGCCCCAGGTTGCTGTCACTTGAAAGTTTCTTTCCACTCCCATCACTCCAGTATGAGGACTCTCGCTTTGGTTGGTCTCTTTCGAATAGATTAATCAAATCATCTCCTTGCTGAAACTTAGGTCCAAATATTTTACTGCATACTAGCCGCCGTGCTGAGAAGACTTCTTGGATGCCAGGTAGAGTAAAGTTTTTGTTTATTTGCAACAAAAATAAGATCATTCCGTGTCAATTCACTCGATTCACACCTCTTGATGCTGGATCATCCCGGGCTAGGCGTGGAATACGTTCAGGCAGAGAATTCGAAGTGATGCTTATGAGGCGCTTGGTTATTTGCGAGGATTATTACGCGATACGTTGCGTTCTTGTGTTATCTTAAATTCTCGGCCATGAAGTGCATATGTACTGAGCACCGGCAAAAGCTATGACGTTCACCAAAAATCTGGAGCCATGGGAACAAGATGTGGTTAAGTGAAAACTCAAGTCTCCGACAGTCCGGTTCTTACATGAAAAGTAGCGGCCTACAATAGAAGCAAGAAAGAGCTGGGATTTATGGAAAAATTAACATCGTTTTAATCAAGTGTTTGAAATATATCTTCTTCTCGAAGTCATACATATGAAGATGCTAAGCCAAGCGCCAATCCAAAACAGAAACATCATGAAAGCAGAGATGGCATCACCTCTCATTAGAAAAGGAAAAGAAAACTCAAGCCAAACGCCATCTAGTACAACCCATCACCACGTGACTCCACGCTATGCTATTGAAAATCTTCCCTGTACCTCGATGTCCCCATTTCATCAACATTCAATCAATTAACCTCAATCGGCGCCGGTCCAAAAACAGCTTTAGCAGAAACGTCCGAAATATTGGCAAAGTCATCTCCAACGGCCAAAGCAGCCAAAGTTAGACCATTTCCAGTAGCGCCATTAGCAGCACCTGCATCAAATTGGAATTTGGCAGTAATAACAACCGTCTTTCCGTCTTCCTTTAAACTGATGCTTTCGAATGGTTGAGTAACAGGTTTGTTCTGTTGATTGACGTACACAAGTGAAAGACCTTTGCACTTTTCGCCCCAAGTGGTGTTATAGTCCTGAGTTGCATTAAGCTGAAATGTGAAGGTAATGACGGAATTTGCATCGATGCTATCATGTTGTGTAGCAGTGAGCTTTTGAAAGACCTTGAGAGGGATTGTATTACTATTTGGGCAACTTCCTTCGACAATAAAGTTTTGATTTAAAGCACTAAAAGCGAAATCCCTTGTACTTGGTGTCAAAAAAGGAAGAGCCGATGGAATTTTATGCATAATTTGGCGGAAATACCCATTTTGTTCGCCTTCTTGTCCAAGTGTTGCTGCAACCCCCCGGATGAATCCGGAATCATCATTTGTGGCGAAAACTGTTTGGATATCGCCTAGTGTACCCATGACCACATCTGTGAAGAGAGATGCTGTAGCTATGGCTTCCTCGAAATTGGTGACCGCAAAGTTGTAGGTGCATGGTTGGATGATGGCATTGGTATCGTTGGTGAAACGAACGATGGCTTTCTCTGCATTTAATGAATGCAATTTTTCTTGTGCGACGATTGCATTCAGATTTGTAAGCGCCTCATCTTTACTACCTTGGTCATCGAATGTATATCCTGCGACATTGTTGGAGATATTGAAGACGAGTTCTTCAAAAAATGCAACTTCCATGTTCTCGTTAAAGGCGACAAGTTTGAAATTGGTGAGGCTGTCGCTTCCTCCGGCTAGTGCGGGAGGAGGAGCAATATTAGAAAGTGAGCCATGGGCTGCGGTCTGGATCGCTAGCAATGGGCCCGTATCTGTTGCTGTCACAGCAGCGAGGAAGCCATTATCAACAGAGAAAGGGGCTGCAGTAATGACGGTGGAGAGGAATGAAATTCCTATCAGAAGGTTTGGAGTATGCATTTTGATGAAAAATTGAACTGAAATAGGCCAAAAGACGGACTTTTAATGGAGTAACGAAAATGAAATTCGTGATATCAAAAGAGATTCGTAAAAAGATTTGGATTGTGAAATGAGAAAAGAGAAAATAAGAAAGACACAAACTTCCCAAACGGCCTCTTATATAGCCAAACCACCTCTAGATCTACCAGGACACTGGACCACGCTTGTTCGTTAATCGCCAGATTTGGGGCGATACCTTTGTACAAGCCTTCGGGGTATGATATGAGATTGGGTAGGCCGCAGTTATGATGACCAAGACTTAATACTCACCTCAAAACAATTCATTTCTGATTGGCTACCAACACTGAGATACAGTAAGAAAGATCGAAATATTTCATATTTCCTCTTTCTTGTCCTTATTAGCTTATTATAATATCTCCAACATTCCCGAGTCTGACATGAGGGTGAGAAAAGAACATAAATCATTTTAATATAACTTCAGATTCGAATTCTGATTTAGATTTAGGACTGCAATGTTAAACTCTATTGGCTCATATTTTAGCGCAGAACCCGATACGCGAACACCCCTTCATAAAAAGCTTCAGGAAACTTAGAATAGTTGAAAGATTCATAAAAAACACAGATATTTTTAAAATGTGTTATTGACTAAACAAATGTTAATAAACAGCGCAGTAAAGACATAGTTTTAGATCCTGACGAACATGGAAACAATTACGAAGAAATCTTAGGGAATTCATAGTTATTTTTAGCCCTGCAAAGGCTGATGAAAAGTTTGTAGGTCAGATTTATTTGTTGGAAAAATAATAAAGATGTCTGATGGAGGCGCAAGAAAGAGTAGAGACCTAAAATAGAACCACGCGCGGCTCTCGGGTGACTGTAAGCGCCAGTGTACTAACACTGTAGTTCTAGTAGTCATTGGTGAACTCGGAAGTTGGTGTACATGTTAGCAATAACCATTCATCATTGATTGATGAAGGAAAGTGTACGAGTGGTTGAGAGTGAATGTTTCAATTGAGGTAGAGTACTTGTAGGGCTGACAATTTTTAATCATGAAAGGGCAAACTTTGCCCGAAAGAAGAGGAAACCAAAGTAAGGTTACCGCCTGATCTCACAATTTAAAGTGCTTACTGAAATACTGTACAGGTCATCATGTAATCACAGCCACTCCCGCCTTTGCTGCCGAAACGATTGTCTGTGCTACAACGATGCGCAAAGTGTAAGATAAATATGTTATGCATCCTTTGAAACTATTGGTATAGACTCTCCGACACGCTGACTTGACTATCATCTACTGTATTTGAACTGAAGACACCATGGGGAACGGAGTTTTAAATGCAAGATTATCTCATTAAACTACCAAGTATCGTATCTATACCAGTTTATTGTATATAATCACAATTTCTCTCGCCCCCATGGCCCATACCTAGACGTGCCTCCAGTTGATGTGATTGAAATAAGACTGGAAAATGTGGACATACTCTGCAATGGTTCATATCCAGGCGGGGAACGAATGAAACATCCGATAATGACGAGGTGAAAGACAATAGCATTCAGCACACTCTTGGCATAGGAGATATTTTTCTGGAAATGACAATACCGCGAGGAGGAGGAGGATGTTTCAGTGACGAGAGTCAACTGCCAACACACGGGAGTTCCTGGCCTAGCATCCAGAACATCAACTACTTCTTCCGGTGTAATATCACTTGGAAAAATTCTGGACTTCAGGTTCCAGCAAATGACCTTAGACCTTTTGCAAAGCGTAGGTAAAATATCCTGCTATGGTCCAAAGCGCCAAAACCGAGCCATGGTTACCCAAATATAGTGAGCACAATCAATCGCGTTCTCAGCTAAGCTTCTTGATACATTTCACAGCGGAGCGCCACGACTTGAGTGAAGGATTCCTGGATATTTTGACATCAGAAGTCATCATCACTATCCTCATCATCCTTTGGTGGTAGCATCTTGCTCATGTAAGGGCCATCGAGCCAGTATCCTAATCTTCGGTAATAATCCCTCGTACCAACACCACTGATGACACTTATCTTCGTACTTCCATGTTCATTTCGAGCAATTCTTTCGGCCTCTTCCATGAGTAATGTACCATATCCTTGATGCTGGAACTTCCTTGGATCACGAGCATGAACAGGTACAGCTGAACCATAAACGTGAAGCTCACGAATTATGCTCGTGGGTTGTCCAGTAAGTTCAGGTCTGAAAGTGTGTGTGGAGGAACACTTTCTCAAGCGGAGTAATCCAATTAGGATATCCTGCTTTGGATCTTCATATGCCAAAAATGTCTCCCATCCTTTGTTCGCGGTATAATCTCTTCGTACAAGCTCAACTTGAGAAGGACGGATCTTATTCTTGACTTCATTGATACCAACTTCACGAGTTCGGACATCACGACAGGTAGTACCAAAATCCTTCATTCTGCTCAATGCAAGCTCTCGAAGATTTCCATTCTCAACACCAGATGTAACCAAAGGCATTGGTATATCTCTTTGAACACGATAAATACGAGTCCAGGGTGGTACGAGAGCGAGTATACGAGCGACTATATCAATCAGGGCATTTGGTGTGTAGTTCTTGTATCTGCCAGTTCTCCAGAGTTCATATAAACCAGTTCCGCGAATGACAAGTGTTGGGTAAATTTTGAGACCATCGGTTCTGAAGGCCGGATTTTCGAAATATTCCCGGAATTGATCCAAGTCTCTCTCCATTCCGACATTAGGTAAATCTGGCATCATATGGCTCACAACTTTGAAACCAGCATCCTTCGCTAAGCAAAATGTTTCTGCGACCGCAGCAACGGTGTGACCTCTATTGGTATCTCGAGCGACATCCTCATATAGGGACTGCACACCAATTTCCAAACGGGTACAGCCATACCTCAACATGGCAGATAAATGTGGCTGCAGACAGTAATCCGGTCGTGTTTCGATTGTAATACCGACACATTTAATGTTGCTCATCTCTCCGGCTTGAACTGCTTCATCGACATTGTTTCCCTGGTATCCACTAAGCGCATTGTGTAATTGGGAGATAAACCCATCTCTGTAGCTTTCAGATAGTGACATGAAAGTTCCACCCATAATGATATATTCAACCTTGTCGACACTGTGACCCAAAGACTTGATTTGATCTACCCGTCCTCTAGCCTGTTCGAAAGGGTCGTATCGTGCTCGAATAGCTCTCATCGATGTAGGTTCGTAACCGGTATATGATTGTGTAGAATATTCGAAATCAGAGTCAGGCCCGCCAGGGCAATAGACGCAAATGTTTCCTGTGTATGCGATATGAGGACATCGATGTGGTTTACACATAACTGCGACAACTGCAATACCAGAAGCACTCCCTTGTGTACTGTTAGCCCGCAGATGTTAATGCGCGTAGGAATACATACTAATGGGTTTTGCGATCAACTTTGGAAGGATATATTTCTTATAATGTTCTGGAATGGCGGCAATGATAGCAGTTAATGGTGGAATATTGCTGAGCCTGTGACGTTTGGACATTTTGGCGCGTAAACTATTCAAATTGATATCCTTCCTTGGTACATTTGGATCCTGTTGAGATTCATGATCCTGTACTAAAGCGCTCGCAATATCTGAACATGCTCTCAAGTATCGTTCATTCTCTGGAGGTAAATTAACATCCTTTGGCTTCCTCTGCCTATCCGACAATGTCATTGTGTCGACCGCGGTGGCCATATTTGAATTGTCAGTTGTATGAACGTGTGATTGTGCGATAGAATGAATTTGAATCCTGACTTTTCATGCAGTCCTAGCTGAGCCTTTGTAGCAGGTAGAGTTTGTGAGATTGTAAGATTCGTGAGATAGGTGAGATTCGTGAGATGCACTGGTGGTTGTCCAAGGAGTTGATGGTTTTGAAAATATGGCGGGGTAAGGTTTATCTACCAAAATTGATGTTCTCGAGTAAAATAAAATTCACCAAAAACTACCAAAAACCCACCGGAATTAATATATTCCGGCCAAAGTCGGAGAAGCCCTGCAAGCGATTCCGTCCGCAAGTGAGAGAAGTTCGGAGCTGGTAAGAAAGAAGGAAATTATTCAAGATAAAACTTTATATCGCCTTTCTGTCTTTCCTATTCGACATCAATTGTCCTTAGACAAGATGCAGGCTTTTTCAAGATGTGCCAGACCTGCGATGCAGGCAGCTATGAGAAGACAAGGTTATTCCACAGCAACCTCTGCGTATGCTGCGACGGCAGAAAACCTTCGTATCACTAAGGATACTAGAGTTATCTATCAAGGTTTTACTGGTAAACAAGGAACGTGAGTACTATTGCGACTGTCTATTTGGCATTAAAGAGTCGTGTTGACAAATTCTGCTATAGTTTCCATGCTCAGCAAGCCATCGAATACGGTATGTTTCTCCCATGCGATCAATGGGGATTGAAAGGATTCTGATATGGAAATAGGTACAACTGTTGTTGGAGGTACAAACCCAAAGAAGGCTGGTCAAACTCATCTCGATTTACCCGTTTTCTCAACCGTCGAACAAGCTGTCAAGGAAGCCGGCGCTACAGCTTCTGCTATCTTCGTCCCGTAAGAAATATTGCAGTCGCAAAGAATCTATGATGAAAGGATGGACTTGATACTGATACGATATACATTGCAGACCCCCTCTTGCTGCCGCCGGTATTGAGGAGGCCATCGCTGCTGAAATCCCTTTGGTTGTGTGGTAAGAATTTATGAAATTTGCATGTGATAGCACTTGGGCTGACTGATATGGGTTAGTATCACTGAGGGTATTCCACAACATGGTATGTTTGTATGTTTGGAGCTTAGGCGCATATATCTAACCTCAATCCAGACATGGTTCGAATCACAGATATCTTGAAGACTCAAGGAAAGACACGTTTGGTTGGACCCAATTGCCCAGGTCTCATTGCGCCAGGACAGTGTAAAATTGGTATCATGCCAGGGTTCATTCACAAGCGTGGACGTATTGGTATTGTTTCTCGTTCAGGAACTTTAACCTACGAGGCTGTTAACCAAACTACACAAGCTGGATTGGGACAATCCCTTGTTGTTGGTATTGGTGGTGATCCATTCTCCGGAACTAACTTTATCGACTGCTTGAAGGTATTCCTTGAGGATGAGGAGACTGATGGTATCATTATGATTGGAGAAATTGGAGGCTCCGCGGAAGAAGATGCTGCTGAGTTCTTGAAGGATTACAATACCTCTAAGAAACCAGTTGTCAGCTTTATCGCTGGTATCTCTGCTCCCCCTGGACGAAGAATGGGACACGCTGGTAAGTAGATTGAGCTAATTTCGATCGAAGACATTTTGCTAACTCATATTAGGTGCTATTGTCAGTGGTGGAAAGGGTGGTGCCGATTCCAAGATCTCAGCTCTTGAGGCTGCTGGCGTTATCGTTGAGAGAAGTCCGGCGTTGCTCGGAAAGACATTACATGCTGAGTTCATGAGACTTGACATGATTTAATGATATTTATTTTGTGAATAGATAATGGGGGGCGATGATGGTGTGCATTTGGTTTTCATGGTTTTCTTCACCAATACCTCATTCCTGTACAGCTAGCACTTACCCATGTTTGCCAGCATAGATTTTTATAGACTTGTGATACAAGAGATAATCGAGGCAAAGTTTCCACGTGTGTGATGAGTGACAACTTGTACAGACCCAAAGCGACCAGATGTTGAGGGCCACAACATGATCGTCTGATACTATATGAGAAAGTGATTGACAAATAATTAGTATAAACAGCATACTCATGATCAGCCTGATAAACCAATAATATAAAAATTCACTTGGATTTTAAGAAAAAAGTGTTGTTAACCCCTGAACACCATCGACGAAGGATGTTCGGTAAATTGATGATGACCTTAACTGGACTTCTAACTCTAAACCCTCCTGTCCAAAGCTCCCGGCTCCCGGCTCCCGCACCTCATCCTTCCTCGACTTTCAACAACGAAATCCTCCTTCATCCGCCTATAAATCAAAATGCTTTCTGGCATATTGATCTTTAATCAGAAGGGAGAGAACTTAATCTTTCGCGCATTCCGAAATGATTGTCGGCCTCGACTCGCAGATGTCTTTCGAATTCAAGTCATCTCCAATGCTCAAGTTCGTTCACCAATCCTTACTTTAGGAAGCACAACCTTCAGTCATGTCAAACACGAGAACATATACTTGGTCGCGATTACCAAGAGTAATGCCAATGCTGCGCTGGTCTTCGAATTCTTATATAGATTGATTGCGCTGGGAAAAGGTTACTTTGGGAAATTTGATGAAGAAGCGGTTAAGAACAATTTCGTACTGGTATATGAACTTTTAGATGGTGAGTTAGTTCAATGCGCAAGTCGCAAATGTTAAATCTTCCAGGAGCTAATGCATTTGCGAAATAGAAATCTTAGATTTTGGATATCCTCAAAATACTGAGACGGATACTTTAAAGATGTACATCACAACGGAAGGTGTCAAATCAGAACGAACCATGGAAGACTCGGCCAAGATTACAATGCAAGCAACCGGAGCTTTATCATGGAGGAAAGCCGATGTTAAATACAGGAAGAATGAAGCATTCGTGGATGTAATTGAAGATGTCAATCTTTTAATGTCTGCTACAGGAACTGTTCTACGAGCTGATGTAAATGGTCAAATCGTCATGAGAGCATATCTTTCCGGAACACCAGAATGCAAGTTTGGACTCAATGACCGATTATTATTAGATGGTGATAGTCTTTCATCTCTACCATCTGGAAATCGTATGGGCACCAAGGCCACCAAAGCAGCAGCTGGTAGCGTCACACTGGAGGATTGTCAATTTCACCAATGTGTCAAGCTAGGAAAGTTCGATACCGACAGAATTATCTCATTCATACCTCCTGATGGAGAATTCGAACTCATGCGCTATCGAGCCACCGAAAATGTCAATCTGCCATTTAAAATCCATGCTATTGTGAACGAAGTGGGTAAAACAAAGGTCGAATACAGTATTGCGATTCGAGCCAATTATGGTAGCAAGCTCTTCGCCACCAATGTTATTGTTAAGATTCCGACACCTCTAAATACTGCTCGAATCACCGATCGATGTACACAAGGAAAAGCAAAATATGTGCCGGAGGAGAATGTTATTATATGGAAGATACCAAGATTTACCGGACAGAATGAATTTGTTTTGAGCGCCGAAGCTACATTGACAAGTATGACGAATCAGAAGGCATGGTCAAGACCTCCGTTGAGTTTGAACTTTAGCTTGTTGATGTTCACAAGTTCAGGGCTGTTGGTTAGATATTTGAAGGTGTTTGAGAAGAATAATTATTCAAGTGTAAAATGGGTGAGATATATGACCAGAGCAGGGTCTTATGAGATACGGTGAGTTTGAATCCTATTGATATTTGAAAACATCACTAATAAATATCTAGGTTTTGATCATGGGTGTCAAATTGGGATGGCGTTTTAGGGAGCGCAGCATTGCCTAGGCGTCGGAGTAGACGGGAATATAATATAATCTTCAATTATTGATAATTACTCATGCGCTTCACCTTGATTCTCTTCTCAATCAATAATCTATTCAAATCTTCGAATACAATCACAATTATTATGCTCCCATACTCAACACCGACCGGACAGCACCGCCATTTCTCTTTCTTATGGCTTCAAAGTCCTATTTTTGGCCCCATCCCACTATCATTGATCACGAAGACTATTGTGAATCCATTCTCCTGGGCATCTTATAGGGCATTCACACATCGGCCATAGGGTAGACTCCCTGATCAGTCACTTGAATCCGGTCGCTGTCTCCCTTGTTCAAATTTGGATGCTCTGCGCTTGATAGTGGTCGAATTTTTACTCCATCATACCATCTTCCCCATCGTCCCCTGGATTTCTTTGAAATACTCTGGTCAATACAATATTGGTCCTCGGGAATATCAATGCAGCGTTCGTGCCTGTGAGGGGTGCAACCGGGACTGCTACATATGAGTAGTTCTCGTATATTTGTGCATTAGCTCTAACATGCACAAGGTATCGTCGCCGATTTTGGCATGGAGTTCGTTGAGCCAACTCTATATCTCTGCAAGCGCCATACGGCCACTCGGAATTAATGGACTATATGTTCTTTATGTTAGATTTTTTTCCTCATTTCTAAACGTATCGAGTTTCCCCTTTTCGTCCCCAGCTCATTATCAATCACAAGCCTTATTGTAAGGATACAGTAGCTACAATGCGCAAGCTAATAAAAGTTCGAAATATTATAGCATCTACACCTTTTAGTGCAAATGGCACTAACCTCTCAAATTTGCTTCAGGTTCATTCATCTTTAGTAGTAACGGTATGGGTCATAGTTGTGTAGACTGTAATGTCCCATAAGATGGACTTGTGACATGGAAGCTCCGCTTTCAGCTTCTCGCGGATACCTTTGGAGAGGAGGGATTGAGGAGAAGGTATTGTTGAAGCGAGTAAGCTGAGCTTTTCGAAAAAGGAGAGATTGTAGCTTAAGGTTGCAGTTTCGGGATTTGATGGGAAGGAATGAATATATATACGTATCATCAAAATGCTGCCCATTCCAACGATAGCAAGAGTATAGAATCAACGGACCAGTAAACCGTACTAGTATAATAATTTATAAACCTTAATCTTCCCCTCCTATAGGCTAGCGATGTAGAAGTATAATGTATTTATCTAAACATTGCAGCGGAGTTGCGATATAGTTATAGGACTGAGATGAAAATCAAGACAAATCAGGCCTCTTAATACATACGGATTTTTGGTGGATAGAACCAAAGTAATACTACCTAAAAAACGGAGCTCTAATCGCATGTCCTTTTCTGGTGGAGCTCTTTCCTTGACTTTTCTTTTAGATGGTTTTGAGTATATCTTCCACTTTCGAAATAGTCTACTGGGTGACGGTCTCCGGAGACTGGAAAACTGGAAATTGGGGTAATATGTAACCTTATTATAGCACCTCATCTGCGTAACTTAGCTCTCTAATATCCGATCACCCTGCTTTTATCTTTTCTCTACAAGTTTTCATCTTGTAATATGGCAAAAGGATTTCCGATAATGGCATGTAAGATCCCATATAATAGTGAACGAATCCGCGCTCAAGCGGACCAAAAGTCGAGTTTTATGTACTCGCAAAAGATATCTGAATCCTTTGCTCCCTGACTCATCAAATCCTTAAGTCTGAATTCGCACATCCTACATCCTCCCTCCAACCATGCCTTTGAACTAGAATCTGGATAGTTCTACTTCACGAGTTAATTCCAACCAATTTTTGTCGCCACATCATCACATCATCACATCATCGAATGATTAATCTATTAATCAATTACTTGCCACACCCGAAGTCGTCAAGGCGATGGATGGATGGGGGTCATTATAATTAGTGACTGCCGTATACGTAAGAATGTTACGTGTTTGGAGGACGGATTATGAACCTCGGGATGCGGGGCTAGGTTAGGAGTAATCTGTAGCGTACAGTAGGTGGGTGGGTGTGTATTGAAGTCGGAAGTTTCCATGTTAGGTGTTAGGTCTTGGGGGGATCAAGGAAGATAGATAAGATTAAGATTACAATTGCATGAATCACCGTAGTGATTTTTGCAATATAGACTTTGTTTCTCCTGCTGATTAGATGTTAAAATGTAGTTGGTTGGGGACGCATCGCTTTATTTTAAGGTTGTACTCGTTCACAGATTATGTTTGCTTTTTGTAGCAGAATGAATAGTACTCCCGAGGTCCTGATTGTATGTTCACATCAGAGGGGTAGAAGACTATTTTCGAAAGAGCACAAGATCATACAGTATCACTGGCAAAGAAATACATAATTAAATAAAAAGAATGTCATTAAGTAATTATCTAGCGATAGCTCGCTAGCATCTAGCTTTTCTGAGCCCATCACGCAACCAAAATATCATCCTGTCATACGGTATCATAGAAATCATCATCACACCATTCGCAATCCCAAAACCAAAACCCCCTACTCCGCCATCACCATTAAACTTTTTCGCTTTCTATCCTTCAAGCTCAGTTTTCGTATCCCTGATACCACGCTTTTCGCCTTCATAAGAAGGTGGAGATGTCTTCTCACTAGTGCTTTGTCCATCGATTGGTGCATCTGCGACATGCATCTGTTCATCATTTTGACTGAGTGTATATTCTTCCTTATCGATGTCTCTATAGAGCCAGTAGAAAATAACCATCATAATGGCACCGATGATAGTTGGCGCACCAAAATCCCAAGTGAGATATGGATCCTTGATAACACCAGCACATGCAAGACCAAGGGCATAGGCAATAGCTTGAGTGAATAAATTAAGAGCAGATACGAGACCTCTCATGTTGGCAGGAGCTCTGGAGTATGCAATACCGTAGGCAGGAACGTTGACGAAGAGTTCGGAAATACCACCGATGGCGTAAGGGATGGCCATGTACCAGACTGAAATGGAGGAAACGAGGGAGACACCATTGGCATCAACACAGGACTCGGAAGATCCATGCTTCCCGCAAGGCCCGATCTTGTATGCGTAGTAGTTGAGGACGGTATAGGCGGCGCCTCCGAGAGTGGAAAGGAAGAATCCAGTAGTCATTCTAGCGATTGGTCCATAGTGAATGTTGCGGGCTCTCAAGAAAGGATAGAGACCATAGTTGAGCATTGGAGCGACCATAATAATGGAGAGAGAGTTGAAGTTGTTCATAACATCGTTGGGGGCACCACGTGTAGTCAACATGGTGGAAAGGGCACTAGCAGAGCTACCGAGACCGTTATCGTTGATATTTTGAATAGGGAAGAAACAGAAGATTCCGGCTGCTTCAAAAGTTCGCTTTACATCTTCGATAAATCCATCATTCCATGGCACTTGAATAACGTTGCCAGATTTGGCGATGTTGGATGGCTTAGCTGGTTCGAAGAATCCTCCCTTACGAGTAAAGATCTTTCTCAAACCACCTCTCTTGAAGCAGATACCGACAACACGGCAAACGTTTGCGAGATCAGATCCTCCTGGTGGGTAGAGGATGAGACGTTTGCGCATGTACCAAAGGAGGAATGGAAGAGGAACATAGAGGAGAAGTGGAAGGAGGAAGGACAACCACCAGCCGATGTATTTTTCAGTATATGCAGTTGGGACACCCATGAATCCACCAATATTGACGAGAAGGTAAAACCAAAGCATGACACGTTCGGTGGTGGATTCGGGATCAACGATGACGACTTCACCAGATGCGAGGGTCTTCTTGACGGGTACTGCGTTTGGCATTTGATCGAGAAGCGTTGGTGCGATGTTAGGTTTGAACATAGCTGCCAGAAGGTTAATTATGATGGCTCAATTTTCCGAGGAATAGGCAACTTACCAGCACCAATAGACAAAGTATAAACACTCAAAAAGAAAGGAGCCTTGGCACCTCCACTCGCCAACAGACTAGGAGCACCACTTGCACACATGAGAATATGAGCAATACCACATACTGCTACACCCCAGCAAATGATCTTGAATCTACCGGTTTTGGTATCTGCGAGCCATCCAAAGAACAATGGAAGTGCATATGCAAGCATAGAGAATGATTGAGATGTGGCTGTAGCTTTGACCGTGCCGAGACCTAGGGCTCCCGCAGTTTGTTCTGTTCCACGTGGTGGTGCACCATACCCATCACCGCCGACGGGAAGGGGTCTGTTGACGTAGTTGTTGAAGAGACCATTGCAACCACTACAAGTGAATTATGTGTTAGCTAATTTAAAATTGAAATTGCAAATGACGCGATCAGGGTGATGGTACATACTAGTAAGACGCTCGCTCAGCAAACTCTACAGCACAGATTAGGTAGGTGATAGTAGGAAGCTTTCCAGCAACTTTTCGAAGGGTCTTTTTCTCTTCCTCAGTAGGAATTAAATCCGGATCGATATGATCGTGTCCATGACCTTCTGCATGAACTATTGCGGCTTCCGTCTCTATTCCGATATTGGGATGACGTTCTCGTGAGACTGTGTGGACTAGGGATCCTTTGTGGTCCATATCCAGAACATTGTCACTGCCCAGCATGGCACCTTGGATGTCGGCTGTGATATTTTCTTGTGCAACTATTGCTAATTGTCAGTAAAGAATATCACCAATGTCAAGATGAAGGTGAACAAGATCAATGAAAAGGGAACTTACCCATGATTGCGAAGTTGATCGATCACAGCAGGTGAAGAGAGTGGTCGTAAAAGTGCGACTAAGGAAGTCAAAGCAAGTGGAGGGAAACACGAGAATAAATATACCGCTGCCATAGCAGTGAATCGTGAAGCTACACCACCTGAATTCCCCACATCCCATTTCATCATCCCAGTACCAGCCAATTCGGAGAATGTTGCATGCTGCTCGCATGCACATCCAGCTAGCATGGGACCATATCCCTTCCCTCGAAAAAACGGGAAAGCCATACCAATCAGCACCGTTATCAGCTGGTACGAGCTCTCGCGATTGTGCTTTGTGATTCGCATGTCGCTCCATCACGGAGACGTCCGAAATAGGAAGGTGAGTAAGTGATATTGACGCACGGAACATATCATAGACTCACAGCCCATACCAAATCGTTCTAGAAGATATCGACTTGGACCCCAGATTCTAAAATTGACAAGGCTCCCTCGTTTCTGTGTGGCAAACACAGTCGAGGGAAGAGCAAATCGATAGCCCACTTGTGTATTGTAGTGAAGATAGAGTTCTATTTTCACCCGATACCACTATGGAGGGGGGCTGTCGCTGTCGTGCATACAATATAATTACCCTGAACATGTATATGTATGGGCGAGACAGTCAGTAGTTAGTCGAGCCAGCCACGCACAGTACTACCTCGATGGCAAAGATAGATAGATGCGAGCGAGGGCTTCTCCACTGTAGTCCACTTTGCCATCCTCCATCACGCAATCATATGCCCCCATCTGAAGAGTCAAAGCATGACATCAAAAATCCACCTTCAATCGTTGTGTCCTTCATCTCCCTACCAAAATTCCAAAAATTCATTTAATCCAAAGCATTCTCATTTGTCAAGCGATTTCATGGCCAACAAATAATCATCTCCTCCTTACTCCACAATAGGAAGGTAACGTTTGATGCCAAGTTTTTGGGGATGTCGCCAAGCAGCCAATCCGATAAGAAAAATTAGGTCGCGCGAGCAGCAGCAGCAGCAGCAGCAGCAGCAGTAAGAGGATAAAAGAAGTGACAGGCGAAACGGAAGATTCTGAGGGATTGGGAAGTCGGAATGAGCTGACGGTAGACTCGGCTCTCTAACCAGTTGACTGGGAACGGAACAGGAACATCATAATGATCACATCCACATGTGTGTATCCCAGGTTTTCATCCTCATCAGTATGTAATATGTATGTATGGTGGGCTTGCAAGACTGGGCGCACAGGATTGATACAAACGAACTTGCCTCGAGTTACTTTGACCTGCCAAATAAGAATTAATCTTTTTAAATTGTTAGCCGAGGTCTACTTGGCAAGACTTGGTATACTTGGTATAAGGTAAAATAAAGGGTAAGCTTATAATAATATATTTACTCTGAAGTCTGTCTGTACTCTGTTCCGTATTCAAGGAAGCCGCCCGTGTCTCATCTCGCTGTTCATTGTAGCCAACAAGCATTTCCCTTTTCTTGGGATCAAGATTTAAGGTAGGTCTTCGATGATTCATGGTGAGGTGAAACCAGATGCTTTACAGAGTACATTAAAGGAAATCACCGGGAATCAGCTAGCTGGACAATCAAGAATAAGCAAGAGAAGGAAGATAATAATATTCCCTACATATTATTGGAATTTAGAATTCCGATGGGAAATTTCGTGCTAATGATTGGATGAGATTATTTTGGGTGACCATCAAGGCTTAAAATTGATACCCGATAGGGGTTTTCCAACCGAGCGGGAAGTAACAAGTAACAAGTAACAAGTAACAAGTGACAAGGACAAGTACGGACGGTAACAAATCCACAATCCTCAATCCTCGGTCCTTCTTGCAGTTTAGCTGGTTAGCCAGTTAGTTGCTTACTCGAGTACAGTACGATAAGACCAAACCAAAAACATGGGAGATATGGGAGATATGGTGAAATAGTCGGAGAGATTGTGAAATGAACGTTAGTGTCTATGGAGGAAGAAGGCGAGTAGATGATTATTATGTTTGTTTATTATACCTACCTAGGGATTTATATTCTGTTACCTCTACTCTACTCTACTCTACTCTACTCTACTCTACTAAGTAACTAATAATAGATACACATCGTACATACGTACAAAACTAAACTTGAAGCCTTATCTTCAGGCTTAAAGACATGCATCCTCTTCCAGAGCGTTATCGAAACTAATTTATCGCAAGTATAAAAAGAAGTGAATTTGCCACATCTTTTTTTTTCTCAGATATCAGATACTCAACTCGTAAATAATACAGTGTAAGATAAAAGACCCCGACTCGGTAAGTGATTGCTATGTGGGTGTGGATAGATACCTAGTAGGACAGTAAGTACACAGTAAGAAACAAGTGGAGAAACACATCAATACCGGTGCCATCACCCAGCCCACCCCCCCTTCATCCATTCCAGATCTAATCAATCCTGATTCCTGATTGCTCTTGATGCCTGCATACTTACCAACATCATTCATATCAAAGGTATCATGACCTCAACCAAAAGATCCCATCCCCAAGTAGGTACCAATCTGCAAGCCAGAGGCGAAGCATTCGAAGCTTTTCGTTCTATGTTCTAAAGACTCTTGGAAGTCAGCCAACAATTGCAAAAACCAGTGTTACTAGGTTGGTAGGTAGGTAGGTGCACTGGATTATCAAGGAAGGGAAGTAAAGGTAGGCAGGGAGGTAACCAATCTAAAGCCTAAAGATGTCATACGATACGATACGATACGATACGTTACGAGCCCCAAAAGATGATTTCATCGAGGTGATCACCAACATCTCGCTCACCTCACAGGCGCACACGAAACAAATCAGCGAAGGCTGAAATGTGTATTGCTTGTTTTCTTCTTCTTCTTCTGCTACTACTTGAACGAGCCGTGGTTACCCGGCTACGGTTATCCGGCGCTTATTTCTAAAGATGGCAGGCTGATAAAGATACCAAGACGGCATGAATTACTCGATCAATCGAAGGATTCCCATTCAAAATCAAACTATACCACACCATACTAATGCTGTACCGCTGACTTCCCGGTTGAAGGAATCAATCACGTGGGATAGATAGATATCATTTAGACTGATTTGAAGCGGGGATAGCTCCATAGGAATGCGATACGATATGAATTATTGACGTCCCTCTGATCTCATCTGGAAAACGAAAAAGAAAACAGCTAAACTTGTTGGTTGTGATATGAGGAGAGAATGAATAAATATCCACCAAAATTCAATCATATCATGATTCATCCTGCGTAAAGAAGGGGGTAAGTGACCGACATACATTGAGCGCCCGCCCGCTTATACCCGAAAGAAGTCAGTCAGATTGAGAAATATAATGTTTGTCGCTTTTGTCGGTCCAAAGTTCCAGACAGGACAGAAAATTGACACAATCACTTCATAAGTGATACGAAGCAGCGCACCTGCAGGACTTGGCAATTTCCCAATTTCGGACGGTGCTACTGTTTGGGTGGTCTTTTAAGATATTTGTCGGGTAGTTAGTTATCTATCTATCTATCTATCTATTCCAGAGATGAGATATGATATGGATAGATTTTATCTATCCACCTGACTTGGATCCAACTGTTGGCTTTCAATGATAAACATGCATGTGAATTGATGGAATTATTTGTTGGTAGGTAGAAGGAGAAGCGAAGGGGCAATGAGAAGAAGTTGGGATAGAAAGGAAAGAGGAAAAAGCAATGGAAGAGAGTTGTCATCTCTGAGTTAATATCTCTTTGGGTTGGGCGAGGCTGGACGTGCATGTGTGCATAGAGCACAAGGAGGTGTAGGTAACATTGCAACCGTATCCTTGGTGTTGATGGTGAACTTATCTCTCTCTGGTAAGACTACCAGTACAACAGCAATGATTACCACTCATATATATATTTATTAAATAAATAAAAATTCCATTAATTTCTTTGCGCAATATTCCCTGACAAGTTTCCCATAAGAAAGTAAGATTACCTTATTAAATCCAAGAAATTTGATCTTGAAGAACGAGGATAGTTTTATATGATTTTCTTCGGTAGATACTCACTCTTGTATAGATTAATAGACAAGAGCGCATTCACTACCTACCAAGATACGTATATCTTCTTTTCCCCCCTTTCCCCTTCTTTCATCTCCATCTCAATCTTTATTGATAGCTTTTATCTCCACTTCCACTTCCACTTTCATCTCTATCTTCATCTCAATCTCGATTCGCATCTTCATTATTTCTTCAAATAGCTTAAGATTTATCTCCGCCAACAGACCCTATTCAAGTAACGATATAAGGCTATGTTTTCCTAACTTACTTCAGTTTAAAAATTAAGACTTATTATTTCCTCTTTATTTCAATTCCCTTTTCGTTTTCTACCCCAATTCATATGAATAGGAAGAAAGCGGAAAAAACTATCAAAAATAGTGGTACGTAGATATATATGTAATCATAGATATTGAACAACCACCTATTCTCAACCATCAATTAGGAAATTGCATCCCAAGCACACAGCAATTATCCGCTCTCCAGCTCTTCTCTGTACCCCTTCTCTATACCCTTCGCCCCATCCACCTACACCCCATAGTCCACCCTTCGCATGTGCCTCTGCATATTCTCTAAATCCAGCCCCCTCCCAATCATCCATTCCAGATCCCTGCCCAACTCAGCCTCTCCACCCATCCTAACCGCAGTATCAAGTCCGACGAAAACATTAGCCCGAGCTTCCTCCACAATTCCCTTCAATATCTCCATCTCCACATTCAAATGAATAATTATGTCCCAAATGTGTTCGTCAAGAGTGATGCGACACTATCAAAAGACTCCAATTGATCCTCTCTTTAATACAACCCTCCTCCCGCTAATACCCTCCCAATATCATTACTCCTCCACCCAATTAGAGCTTTATAAACCACATTTGCGCCATCTTCCACACTCACGAAAGGTATTTACCCATGCCTGTCGCTGAAACGAATCGGTTTCCATCACGAGTTGTGTATATACGGTGCATTTCCGAGAATTCTCCATAAGCCAGCTCGTTTCAATATTGTCCATTATTCCACAGCATTCAAATCGGAATCATACTGTTCTTCGCCCATCCTAGAATTCCTCCCATTCTACTTTATAAATCTGATACTTGAGATATAATTGGTTCATCTCCGCCCTGTTGTATACTCCACCCAAAAAATCAATCCTTCTTACCCCCTTCTCAGCGACCCCATCAATGAACCGTTTGCCAGAAGCGCATCAAGAATAGGAGGAGCGATACGGCGTCGATCAGCTTCCGCCTTGTCTCGCCATCTCCATGAAGTGGAATAAAACGTTCGCCATTAAGTATCCTCAACTAACGTGTCAAAATTAATCTCTTCCGTGTTTGAAAGTAATACGCGACATGATTGCTCCAGAACAGGATGCTAAACCAGCGTTGTATCCGTCGACTGAGAAGCAATACGACGGGCAACTTTCCTGTTCCGCCGGGAAATAAATAGTCCTTTCCGTCTTCATTCTTGCCGAGAACTTGACGCCCTTGTTTCCATATCTACCCATTTTCCAAACATTCGAATGTGGCGTGATGAAATCTTCATAATTTCTGACGGATAAGCATGAAATCAATCGAAAATGTGTGAGTTGGAACTTTTATCCTTGATTAATGTCGAGGTTGTGACAATGTGCCGAATATAAACCTAGTAAATACGCCGAAAGTTTATTTGGGAGATCCGGCTACTGGCATAAATGATGCGCAAGTCCATTTCTTGTATATGCATGATGTTTATACCAATGCACCAGTGTCTTATCATGCAGAATATGCTCGAAGGGAGTCAAACCACTTTACTACTCGGATGATGCCGAACTCCGGTCCTGTCGTGACCCAGCAATTTTTGGTGCGAATTTCGAAAATTCTCCTGCGTTCAAAATTACATACTCCAATTAGAAGAATCTCATCAAGCGAGAATAAATCTGAGATATTGTTAATGAGGCCTCGTAGTATCAAATAGCAGGCAGTAATGAAGATAAACCTACATTTGGATCCCCATTTGTTGTTGAACTACTCTCCAATCGAACTTTCGTTCATACTGATGCTGTCTTCTCCAAAGTATCTCCAGTAGTTCCAAGGCCCGATCCGCATGCTGTATCTCATTAGTTTTATTCCAGGACCGTCATTCCTAATTCTCTTTCTCTGTCATTTCTGTAAAGAACAAAACTTACATAGAGTGCAATCCTGGTATCAGCCTTCAACTTCTTCCTAACCATATCCTCTACTACCCAATCATTAAAAACACTTGCTCCTGCTGCAAACAATCCATAATATAAACCCATCTCTAGTCCATATCCCTCTGGGGTCTCAGCAGCAACATCTAGGACTTGTTTGATTGCCTCTGAAACATCTGGATCTTGTGGCTCTTCACCGACCGGATCAATAATATGATGAATGAAGAGAATACATCCGTACATGCAAGCTTTGGTACTAGAAAAGGCTTCCGCTTCGAGAGTTTCTGCGACAGTAAGTTTAGTATCGCGGGGTTGTCGTCGCCAATCGTTAGAAAGATCGCGAATAAAAGAGGGACAATTTTGCCACCACGTTTGAACCTCCAGTTTGATTCCGATGGCTTCCTGTTTGATGATGATCTGCTCTTCAAAGGAATTTTTTGTCAAGGAACGACTGGATAGACGAGATAACTTGGCCATGAAAACCATAAACATATGGAACTCCCCAGTCATAACACCACCAGGGTCATAATATGGCCAGTTCAAAGGTGCTTCTACCGTCGAGGGGGAATCACCAATTTGCTTCGGACCTGTCGATGGTGTTGGCGCATCTTCAAGCCAATAGTTTCCGGGTAATAAAGGACCTTGCCCTGCCCATAGAGAACCGGAAACGTCAAGAAGCGCAAAGAATCTTGTGAGAAAATCGGTAGTTTTAGGGCCTCCTCGGTGCAAGATAAGGTCGCGTGCACCTTTAAGATGCTCCAGCCACAAGCCTCTATCTGAATGTGATATCTGTCTTTTGTGAGCGAAGCGCACCCTTGTGTAAGGATATTGAAAAGGAATGTTGTATTACCTCGTAGACACATAGTAAGAGACATGCACCTAATGTAGCATTCTGTTTCGCAACCGAAGAGTCACACAGTGCGGCATTAAGCTCCCTCAGAGCCATGGAATAATGTTTTGTGGCCTTGACTTCGTGCTGCTTGTCCGTCCTGCTCATATGCCCTGCTGCCACTGCAATAATACTATGTAACAATGCGGGGCTCGTCGTTACAAATGGAACTAATTCTTCTTTGAAAGGATTCCCTTCATCATCATTTGCATACGCCAAGAACCTCGTGCAAAACCCCACAAAATGATGAATGTAGGGCATAGTCGTTTTATCAATATTAGGAAACTCGATGACAAAAGAATCTTTCGGGATGCGTGTTTTTCCAAGAGCAAGTTGTTGAGTGGTAGGTAGTGAGCTGGTACTGGAGAGTCCATGGCCATGAGACGTTGTGGCGAGCATGTGAGCCGGAGGTGTACTCCATTTACAATCGCGTTGAAGTCGTATACAACGACCACAGTCTGGTTTCCCTTCATCGCACTTGACTTTCCTTGCTCGACATGTTAAGCAACCTTTGATGCGTTAGAATGGGTACTTTTGAAAAGAGGAATGTCATGTGTCATGCGTCATGTGTCATGTGTCATAGTGTCAAAATATCATCATGTCATAATGTCATATGATGAGATTGATGTATTGACGTATTGACGTATTGACGACATTGATGATATTGATAATGTTTGATGATTGATATGATTGATAATTGATGATTGCTGCAAAAGGAACGTGAACGGACCTGTCCTCGTTCGAGGTACCGGGGCTTTAATCCCCATTCCAGGAGCCATATTTACTTTGGTATTCGAGGCATTCAAGTTGCTTTTCCCTTTGTACATATCAATGGGAGAAGGGAAATATTGTGAAATATTGTGAAATATTGTGGAATATCGTGGATATAGCTTGAAGTTTGATAACTTTTTGCGACGTGGAGGTAATAGTAATAATGATAATAATGATAATAATAATAATAAGTATCGTTAAATTGTGCCTCTATACAAAATGACAAATGGCAATGGTAATGGCAATGGCAATGGCACTGGCACTGGCAATAATGGCAATAATGGCAAAAAGAAATAAAGAGTCAAACACAACAGGCAGGAACAACATTTAGTGAAGTTCATCAGGTTCCCACTTTCTAACTTTCTATGCCTGTCGATCGGATTAACCAGGAACGAATAACCTGCAGTTGCCCTTTCGCTCTTTCCTCAAAACAGACTAGAAGATGTAAGACAGAGCCATTTTTCGATCCTTTTCCTAGATGTGATTGGATAGTCCTGGTCTTCGAAGTCGATTATTAGATTATTCGATTATTTAGATTATTTAGATTATTTAGATTATTTAGATTACTTCCATTATTGCACGTTTGGACTTTGTCGACTTGTAACCCCACCAGACCTCGTGGCCGGAGCTGAAAATTATTAACCAAAGAAAAAAAGGAGTAAAATACATACCAGGAACAGGCACTAGTCGGTAGTATTTGTAAGGTTAATTGATGTATGCATGTACGTATATGTATGAACATGTATGTACTTATGTATGTACTATGTATGTATGGATGAAAATCTAGAAAACTATCTTTTAATTATTCCATCAATTGTAGGAGGATCTTATCAAAATTCAAACTCATTTGATAAATCAACCTCAGCATCTCATCCTTTCCTTTCCTTTCCTTTCCTTTCCTTTCCTTTCCTTTCCACATAAGGTTATCATATCTAAAAGTTTCGAGATTCTAGATCCATAGGAAAATCATCATCATCATACATCACCATCACCATCACCATCACCATCACCCCATCACCCCATCACCACCATAACTTGACAAGCCCTCGTCCTTCGTCATAGTCTTGTGCTTTGATGTTCATCAGTGGATTGGTAACTTGATTCTTAACTTGATTCTTATACTCCGTACTCTCATGAAGGGGTCAAAACAACCCGTCAATCATACTTTTCTCCAACATTTATAGTTTCAAATCTCTGAGAATCATTTCAATATAATTGGTCAAATTTCAAAGGTTCCAATTTGATGCGGGGTGACCAAACTCTCTATATAAGAAAATACTTTGGCTTGCATACACTACCTACTTTTGATTAGTTTGCGGCATTATTTCTTTAGAAAAATCCCGAATCGTGGAACCGTAAATGCCGGAAGGCGGAAATGGAAGACCCGTGAAGAAGATCTAGAAATTCATGGAACGTGGAAGATGGAAGATGCAAGATGCACTCATGGATTGATGCGCGTTGATGGCATGGGTTCGACATTTCTATATATACCACGTTGCATCTCTCCTGGCCAAGTTCACCGCCATGGTTGTGTTCATCGCACGAGGATATAAAGAACACATACCCAGGAATAGGTAAACGAAATTAGTATCTAGATTATATCTTTTTAAATATACAGTAGCCTCTAGAGGTGTAAAAATAACTACTGCGTAACACATGCGCCAACAGTATGGAATCATCATCATCATCATGACAGTAATCATCTAACCATCCAACCATTCGTCCTTCTACTTCGTCTTGTAGAATCCATCCACTCCGCTACTGCTTTCTGTAGAACCAAATCTACCTGTGTTCAACTCATTATCTTTAAGCTTTTGCAAATCCATCCTCTCCTTTTCCAAATACTCTGCACATTCAACCCTACTCTTTGACTCACTGATCCAAAATATTGCGACGGTAGGGACAAATATCAATGCTGCCACAAATGGAAAAGCTGCCCATTGACTTCCATTGCGATCAACAATAGCACTTGAAACGATTGGCCCAATCCATGCTGATCCTTTTGACACAATACCCAAAAGACTGAAGAACAAATATTCTCTTCCTTTGGGTACCAGCTCTGCCATAAATGCTTGTCCGTATGGATATTGAGCACCGAGGGTAATTCCGTATTGCGCTTGAAAGAGCCAAAACTCCCATTCATTATGAAATCCAAATTTGGTGGTCCAGATACCTACCATTCCCCAAAGTGCAATGAGTACACACCCGCAATTGCAAAATTGTAGCATGGCCTTGGTCCGGATCTTGAACTTCTCTTGAATATAGTAGGCGCCAAAGACTCCAACGGTAGTTGAGCCACCTTGAACCATGATGAGATAGGTGTTTTGTGTTGCGGAAAACTCAACAACTTGTGTCTGTGCAATCGAGACAAGTGTCAGTACTGTAGCGACTCCATCTGCCAATAGAAAAAATGCAATAAGGTAGAAGAAAGTTTGTTTCAACTGCCATACCTGCTTTGCAGCGAAGTAGGTTTGTTTGAAGCCAAATGTAAGATAGTTATCTCCCTTCGGTAGAGGCGGTCCGGGTCTCTTCTTTTCCCAGATAAACCATGGAATGGCAAGAATAATCCACCAGCCAGTGGTGACAGCAACAGAAACAGAATATCCCCAATTGTTCTGCTGCGTGGAATCATTTGCACCAATTCCTGCAAGAGCTGCCAATGCTAAAGCTCCACAAATTGTGAATCCAACATTATTCCACCCATAACTTATATTCATAACCTTGGACCTTGCCATTGAGCACTTGTATTCGTATTCTTCCTCTGTCAATGCGCCCTGTTCATAATCTTCTTTCGCTTTGTGGACTTCGGGGAGGTCGTGAGCAAGTTTGGGGAATATCGCGTTGAAGAAAACGTAAGAAGCCCACCAAGTGACACCTGGGTAAGATCAGATACTGCTGGAGCCAGGAGGGAGGATAAAGACTCACTGCTAACGATATAAAGTGCCATGGCAATCCTCCATTTGTTTGCGTGTTGTACCCCCAAGAACCCAAACTCGAAGGCGAACGAAAGAAGGGAGAAAATTCTAACAACCCATGGGTTCCAATTTCCAAAGTCTGCCAAACTTCCAATCGTAAGGAAAAGTACGGCTTGTGAAACGAACGTCAATCCTGATCCTATCAACACGACCGATGTATATGCTTTCGTTCCTCCATTCCAAAAGACATGACAAGGAGTATCATCGCCGCAAGGTGCACTGCCCAATGGCAGAATATTTGGATTGAACCCGGCTTGGTATATTAAGTTTTGAAATAAAAGACTCGAGCTGAAGAGGGATTGAAGTCAGTAACAGAATGGTATGGAGGGTATGGTTGTGCAAGATCGAATCCAGCGCAGCGAGGACTTACTATTGAAAGGAGCCAATGCCATTATTTCCCGCGTAGTATGCATAATACGACCAAAGTTCTTTCCTTGTAGCGGGTGGTCCTGCATCTTGTTGACGTGCATAATGTGCATTATGTGAGAGCGTTGTACCAACGATTTCAGTTCCGACAGTTCCATCTTCAGCGCTTTGATAAGATTCTGGAGCGGCCACCGCCGTGAACGGTAACTTGTCAGCTGTTTCATTCTCCGCCGCCGTCATGATGAAGGAAGATTAATAAGGCTAAAGTAAGTAGCGAAAAAGAGGTGGACATTGGGAGTAAGAGGACCGGGAAGACGTAGATTGAAATATGAAATGAATCCTAACAAGACCTACGGAAGCTAGCAGGTGGGCTGCAGATGTCAAGGCAGCTTTGGCCTTTGGATTATGTATCTATTGACCAAATGGTACAAAGTCCGCAGAACTTTCAATAATTCGACTGGTCCCTTGTGAATGGGTCCGTGAACGGTATGCAAGCTGCCTGGTCCTTACAGATATGCGTAGAATATATGACAGGGCAAGCCGACGGTGTACCCCAATTTGATAGATTAGAGGGAGACAAAGTTGTGGCTTCCATGGCGTTTTCATATGATAAACATGGGTAGAATCTGCAAAATTCAGATTGACTTGTTGAAAGACGGAGGTATTGCTTCCTCTGTTCTCTGCTGTGTAGGGAGTAAGTTGTGTTTGCTTGTCTCGATGGTCTGATTTTCGTTACATGGGGCTCTGGGAGAGAATTGTAGTAATGGAAATGCTCCACTCGTTCGATTCCACTCGTTCGAGATTCCTCTGTAAGGTTACTCCATAAGGCTAAAAAGTAATTCCATACCGATATTCCTGTACAGTAGTATACTCCAGCACCGGTACTTTACGCCGTACGCACTGCATTCTGTCCAGACCGTCTGGAGTCTGTACTATGTAGATATTAAATTTCGGGTAAATGCACTGCCAGCCAGAGAGGATGAAAGTCGGAGGCTAGAAAAATCAGGCTATTCATTTGTGGTTTCCCATCTTGTGGTATGGCATGTGCATAGAGTTTCGGAGTTAGACTCTGTTGTCGTCCTCTGTGTCGCACACTTTCTGGCCGCAACGAGTATCTAACAGAGAACAAGAACCGGAGATATGCACATTACACGCATTACACCGCATTTGTTTTTGCTTTTGTTTTGTTCTTGTCCTTTCTTGTCCTCGCACAAACTATGCACCGTGTACAAGGTAGGCGGCCTGCTGGAGTTATCAAATCATGCTGCCCTTCCCTGCGAGCCCAGAGCGATACAATACAATACAGTGTGACATAACTCATTTCATTATCCACCCACACACTCGGGTATCTCCTTGGATGTTTAAAGTTCCCCTCAAATCCAATCCCTCCTTTTTTAATGAATAACTTTTCACAATATTTCACAATCTTTCACAATATTTCACTAATATTCACTAAATACGACATAATGATCGCTTCGAGTCATTTATGCTCGTCTATTCTTGATTTTCCTTAGCACACGACTCAAATTTATCAAACCTTTCTCCGACAACCCCTCATTTCTACTCTGTGTGTATGTACTATGCACTCTCTCGAGTCCAGAGTGCAATGTGCATACCATACCATGCCATGCCATACTCCCGTACAGAGTAAAATACCGGCGGCACTTTGACATGCAAAATCTTTCAAGAATTCGTGGCTATTTCTAGGTCTACTATGTATCCCCTCTATGTATTTAATTACATGTGCATTGTGTATGTATTTCTCTCTCCCAAGTTCATTCATGGAAAATCCGGTTTTCCCCGCGCCCACTTTTTCCTGCTGTCGTTTTCCCTCATCGATCAATGCCATGATCATGAATGAATGTGCCATTGACTAGTCATGTCATTGACTCTTGGGATGATGGTACAAATAGAGAAATAACCCCCGAGAGTCATGTACATCATATCATCCATCATTACATAAGGTACCCGCGTTGTCATTGGGGAGCTGCGGAACTGCCTTATGTTATCGCAAGGTTCCCACTCCTCGTTGGGTCACTGCTCGCTCGCCTTACACCTACAACATACCAAAAAAGGAATCCTGGCCTTGGTAGGCGAGCAGAAGAATCTATTATGTACGCGATTGTTTGATATAATAAACCTCCAATTTTGAATCATGTATCCTCATGTTAATATCGTCCTTTCACCTTTTCCTACTTTCTCCTGTCTTTTTGCCAACTCTGTCCATTATACCCTTCCTATGTTCAATTTGGTTGCTTGCAATATCCCTGTGTACAAGTTTGTGATATCCCATGCAACATCGAAATCAATTTTTACCCATTCAAGATCCGGCGTCAACGTCAACGTCAACCGCAGCGCCAACAGGCAAGATGCCTTCCAGAATATCTTCTCGCGTCATTGGAATTGATGTTGGGGGAACAAATACAGTAGGTGGTGATACCATTCAACCTTTCCATAAGAAAGCATACACTGACGAACAGTAACAGGATGCAGTGATTTTACAAAATAATAATGTTTTGGCATGGCATAAAACACCAACGACTTCAGATATTCACGATGGCGTTGAACAGGCAATTGCTGCTGTGATAAAAAGTGCTCAGATCTCCAAGGATAGCATAGACTTTATCAAGATTGGGACGACAGTAAGTTGGTCTCGACTACTCGCCTCCGGCGTCTTTTCCTCGAGTCTCGGACTGAAGTTTATGATCTTGGCTCGGCTACCTGCCTTCTGATATGTCTCCATCAAGAACTACCAAGTTAGTACTTCTTGTTGCATATCCGGTTCACCTTCCTGCTTCTCCGAAATGTTCTTGTCACTTCCGGTACATGGTCATTATCATATCTGATTCTATTTTTTCACACAGCAATTTGTGAATGCCGTCCTCGAACAGAATGCTACAAAATTAGACAAAGTAGCTGTTATCCGATTATGTGGTCCTTACTCGAGGGGCTCACCACCATTTGGTCAGTTGCAGACCAATTCTTTCCTACCAAAAAAAGAAGTTTAGCTAATGCTTGCGACCCTAGTTGGTTTTCCTGATTCTTTACGGAGGTTAATGGAAGGCCACTATGGTTATGTTGACGGTGGTTTACAACGTACGTTCAGGTGCATCCTTAGAATCACACAAATGTGCTAACCAACTTAAGTTGACGGAACACCAATCTCCGAAGTAAACATTGAACAACTTCGGGAACAAGCTTCAATAATCAGATCCAAATCAATATCAAGCGTTGTGGTGATCGGCATTTACTCACCATCTAATCCAAGACAAGAAGAGTTTGCACGACAAATCCTCGCTGAAGAATTAGGGCCACAGTACGATGTCTCCTGTTCATATACTATTGGAAGAATAGGATTCCTTGAGCGCGAAAATGCTAGCATTTTAAATGCAAGTTTGAGGCGGTTTGCCCGTCATGTCATTGCTGGATTTGCACATGCGGTAAATGACCTTGGGAATGCCAGACTATACATTACATTGAATGATGGAACTTTAAGCAAAGCATCAATAGCTGCAGAGCATCCTGTCCGATGTTTCTCTTCCGGTCCGACGAATAGTGCAAGGGGTGCTGCACTTCTTGCGAAAAACGAGTGTATGAACCTTGAGGACGATAGCGAAGTTTTAGTAGTTGATGTCGGAGGGTAAGAATTGCTCTCCTTTCCACATTCCTCGGGAATTTTGCTGACAAATTATAGAACCACCACTGATATTTGTGCTCTTCTCAAATCTGGTTATCCCAGACAGTCTGCCGCCTTTGTCAAAATTGCAGGTGTTCGGACCAATTTCACAATTCCTGATGTTTATAGTATTGCATTAGGTGGCGGATCACTTATACGCACCAGAAAATCTGGAAAAACGACAGTTGGTCCAGATTCTGTAGGACCAAGATTAGAGAAGGAGAGTATCGCATTTGGTGGACAAACTTTGACGGTATGAACCACCTCCATCAAATCTCGGAGTAAGACTTACATATCTAGGCTACCGATCTTGTATTGTCGAACGAGAGAACCGAAATGATCCCCGATGAACTTAGAATCGGTGGACATTCGGAAATTCAGCGTGCGCTGGAAGTTGCAATTGATCAAGTGAAAACAAGACAAGGACATGCTACGGTGATTCTTGTGGGCGGAGGTAGCATTATTGTGGGGAAGGATATTGCTGGAGTAGGACAAGTAATTAGACCGCAGTATTTAGAAGTAGCAAATGCAGTTGGAGCTGCTGTAAGTTGTATTCCGTCAATAACTCGCAGGAATGGCGCTAACTCAGATGTGTAGATTGGAAAGATAAGTGGACATGTTGACACGGTCGTTACACCAGGAGACAAAACTATAGAGGAGCAGATTGAGGAGTCAAAACTACTCGCGATTCAAAGATGTGTTGCTGCAGGCGGCGACGAAAAAACGATCGAAGTTGTTGAAATCGAAACATTACCTATTAATTACGTCACAAATGGATCCGCACAGTTGGTCGTTCGAGTGGTTGGTGATTTACGAAGCAACGTGGAAAAGGTTCGAGACTTGGACACTCTTCCAATAACGATATCGACTTTCAAGCCCAGACGGGCAGATTCCGGATATAGTGCGAGTGGCTTGGATAGTCCTATTGATGCAAAAGCGTCAACTTACGACATTCTCGAACACATTGATGTAGAATCCTATCGTCCCCGGATTGAGGGTGATATATGGCATCTTTCTGAAATTGACCTCAAATTTCTCATGGATGGTACAGGGGTACTGGGTGTTGGAAGTTGTGGTGAACCATATCCCAGTTACATTGCTTGTATGGTGGCACTTGAGAGTGGCGAGGGGTTAAGGATTAGGAGGCAAGACACTATTCCGGATGATGCATTGATTTTTACTTCTGGGTTTATGGTATGTTAAATTGAAAGTTGTCTAAAGAGACATGACTGATTATTTTTAGGGATCACCGACAGTCTACCTGGAACGTATACCGGGTCTAAATGAGTAAGTTCCCATCACAATATTTATAATTCATCATTTAATTAATGCATGCTTACCAATATTCTAGAATTACCGATACAGTAAAAGCTCTCATGTCAGCTACTGGTCATTCCTCATTTGACGCAACAATACCATATGAAATTGGTGGCATGAATTCATTTGAAGCCCTTCTCAGTGCCCACCGATTTGGAAAACCTACTCTCGATAGTGATTGTGTATCACGAGCATATCCTATGGTTTGGCAAACGGTAAGATGCCTGAAAGGTGTCCCAGTCACTCCGGCTGCTGTTGCCAATGGATGTGGAGGTACCGAAGTATTTATGACCTCAGAAGATGCTGAAGAAGCAGAGACTCTTATGCGGGATGCATGCACAAAACAAGGTTCCTTATCCGGAATGGTGGTTAACCCTATAAGTGGCAAAGAAGCAAGGACGCTTCCATCTAATAGTTATTCATGGGCATGGCAAATCGGTCGATCAATCGCGATTGCTCGCGCCAAAAAAGTAGATCCAGTCAAAGATCTCATGAAATCACAAAACGGAACATTACTTTTCACTGGGAAAGTTGTCAGTGTCACGAGAAAAGTAGCGGAAGGATTTACTAGAGGCAGTGTTTTGTTGGATTATGTTGCTAACTCCACATCAAACACGGTTGTTGGTGATGAATCTGCACCATCATTATATGTTGAGTTCGAGAACGAAAACTTATGCGCCATTCTAAAGACACCGGGGAAAGATGACGTTGTTTTGGCAGTTTGTCCAGATTTAATTGTCTTTTTGGATATTGCAAATGGGGCACCACTTGGAATATCAGATTATAAATATGGGCTTAGAGTTAGTGTCATTGCTTTAAAAGCGCCGGCGGTCTGGACAACAGAGGAGGGATTGAAGATGGGAGGACCAAGAGCTTTTGGCTTGGATATGGACTATGTTGGTGTGTGTGCGGAAAGTGAATATGAAGCTCCAAAGAGTGTTTGGGAACTATTTGGGGATGAGGTCGAGAACAAACTATAAAAGTACCATGCGGTTCATGGTCTGGTCGGGAAGATATCAAACTAGTGCATCTTATGAGCGACTTGCGATGGACTAATTATTAGAGAGATATCCCATTGTTTTTACAATACTATTTATGAATGGAAGGGTAACGGGGTAGCAGGATAGGGTAATCTTTCATACACTGATAGATCAAAAATAAAGATCACATCATATGGTTCATCTGTGCTTTGTTAATGAAAGTCTTTGAGATTTCTCAATATTGGTAAGGTTATTTTGCTTTGACGTTGACAGCTATGAGAGCAACGAACGATATCTGAAAGGCACTGAGGCATAGGAAGTGCACCCTCAAGAAAGCTTTACGCATATGTAAATCTCATTTTGAACATTTCATTAGGCTTCACCCCCTTCACCGCTCGGAAGTAAGCGACTTGGCTTCGAATGCCGAGGAAGAAAATCCCCAATTTGATTCCACCCTTCCACATCGAGGATACTTGGCACCATTCAATTGCGGCATAAAGAGTGTCGATTGAGAAAAAATACAAGGCGCAGATTTCGGCGACGGCAAGATATGTGGGTAATCATCGGGTAAGATCCCACAGCAAAAGCCCGCAGATGACGGGAAGAAAAAGCATGGATCAAATCGGGAAAACCTCTGGATAAACTTATAAATAAGGACAACCAACCTCTGCCATTTTCCAGCTTCTCCACACTTCCCCGCAATCCGTCTTTTTTCAGGTGGACGGCTTACCAGTTTTTAGACTCGTCCACCATGGAGAATGGGATAATTCGTTCCAGGTTACATGGTTATTATGTCAGTACAGCGGACGTGAAAATCTGGGGATATCAGCTGCTTGTGGGACTATGAGTATGTCCATAAGCTTTATAATCCAGAGCCATTAAAAATAGTAATTGACTAGGAGAAGAGGGAAAGGCAGGCAATACGTAAAAGCTATGTGGACGATGCCTAGGGTGGTGGAATTTAGATAAAACTTGGCGGGCATGCCACTGTGTGTCATTTACTCTTTGGGTGGAAGATCGAAAAGTTTTTGCCAGGGCCCGAGGCTTTTAGTACCCAACTGCTTCGATGAGCTATGTCAGCGGAGGTTATATAAAGAGAAGATTCCATTGCGCTTTTCCTTACATATGGAGTTGTAAGTAAAGTAATTCACCCTTTAATACTCAAACTCGGGAACGCTTCTTCGTACATATCATACACATACCAAAATATGCGGAACCCTATATTATTAAACCTCCTCTTGGGGTCATCATTACTTGGGGCAGCAACATGTCTAAACACAACAATCTCAAATTCATTTGTGAATATGTTTTCTACTGATGGCGACCTCATCGATTCCACATCTGGCAAGATCGATTACTTTGAGGGTCAATACCTTTGGTATGGCTTAAACTTTGGATGTGGGAAAGCTTTCTGTGGAATTGAGAGTTGGAGTTCAGTGGATTTGATTACTGTAAGTGAATATTCCCCTGTACTTCTCCGTCTGTCATTTATTTTAGCTGCGTGATTGAAAATGACCCTTGCTTGAAATACCTTGATAATATTTCAGTACTAACTACATATCTTCACAGTGGTCTTCGAACGGTTTCTTGTTCGATCCGACAGAAAACGCCGTAGCCACACTATGTGAAGAAAGCGGAGAATGTGGAAGACCACATATCGTATACAATCCTACAAGTTCGCAGTACATCCTGTGGGTAAATGCTGGTAGCCCAGGCTACGTAATTTTTACGTCTTCCTCCCCAGCTTCGGGATACGTGATCGAACCTACTCGTGCCACAGTTGGATATCAGCCAAACCCCGAAACGGATCACGCAGGTGATTTCTCGGTTGCTGTTATCAATGGAACCGGATATATTGCATACTCTTTGATCGACTTCACAACTATAGGCGCATCAATATGGCCTCCATTCAAACAATCAATCTACATCCAACAACTTACGAATGATTTCATGAACACAACTGGGAATGCCACAAACATCACTCCGGTAGGAGACCTTGTTGATTATCAGGCCGAATCTCCAGATATTTTTTATCGCAATGGATACTACTATGTATCTGCATCCAACACTTGTGGTTTCTGTCAAGGGACCCTTTTGATCATGTACAGGGCGAAGGATATTACGGGACCGTGGACTCGCCAAATTATCAGCAGTGATACATGCGGTGGTCAAACTACCGCTGTTTTAACAATTCCTTCTTCAACCAGAGGCGATGGAGTATATCTCCATCAAGCCGATATTCAGGCTAGCGCACCACTTGCAGGTCCAAGAAACGCACAACATGGCCGTCAGTTCCAAGTTCTCAACTTCAATCCTGATGGTTCCATCCAAGATTTAAATTGTTCCTCTTCCCTCACTACTACCGTCACACTTCCAGCCAGTAATATTACTATGAATGGAATTGCAAAGGCTGCAACTTTAGGTTCCGGAAATGATCACCAAGATTATCAGCTCAATTGCTCACTGCCCCAATACAGCTTCTACCAAACCTTCTCTTCATCCATGGCAGGAAACTTGACATCCGTTGGAATAAATCTAGCTGGTGATGCACCAACAGATAACGTCACATTGACGGTATTCCGATACACAAATGCTACTGCTCTCTTCTCCGCATTTTACCGATGGGAAACTCTTTCCACAAAAGACGTAACTCCTGAAGAATTGAGCGCATCCCTCCTAAGCATTTCGGTCCCCGTGGGAAAAGAAGTCGCCGCCGGTGATAATATCGGTATTGCGATTACCAGCTTGGGAATTACACCAGTATGTGTAGCCATGAGAGGAACATCCAAAGAATATGCTACCGCATGGGCAGGACCCGCTAATGGTGGGTTTTTACCTGCACAAGGATTGGAGGAAAAGACTGTGATTCGGCCCGGATCTGGGGGAGTTTTGTATGTTCAAGGTGCGAACCAGGTTAGTTTGAGGGGAAAGAATGGAGATGAGGTTCCTATAAAGGAACTTAGTGGAAGAGAACTTAAATGGTATGGAATTATTGAGTAGATGATGGTATATGGTTTATGTATAATGAGATATTAAGAATGAAGATATGATACCAATGAAAACTCGAAGTTTATCCCTGAGTGAGACGCGAATTACATATAGCTTTTGCTAGGGCACGAAAGGACAACTTTGTGTGTGCAATCAGCTACTTTGATATCTACTTCTTGGAACGGTATTGATCATGAATGCAAGTCTCGACTTTAACTTGTACGAAATCTCGCGCCGCCTAAGCTATACTTTCCGAAGCAGGTGCCAAAAAGTAGCTCACTATAGCAGATTCTAGGTGTGGTCATATACAGAATATGCACCTTATCCAATCCGGGACTACCAGCTTTGGATAGAAAAGAAGGCATCGTAGCTAGCCTACGTCTCTGTCATGATTCAAAAGGTGGACTTCCAGCCATGCAAAAACAGTATCACTCGAATTAACGAGATATGCGGATAATAGTTCTCTGAATGCACAATCTACCCTTGAGACTCATATATTCAGTGCTTGATATGGCGGAGCGCAAGCTGGCAGAAACATAGCATACACCCTAATCAAGCAGGTTTCATCCTCATAGATCGCCCACTTATCCCCGTCTTAGCCACAGGCTCTTCAAAATCTTTCGAAAAGCCTTGTTTGCCAGGAGATTGTATTTGCCCTCGCCCTTGTACATTTTGTTATGTGCAGCCAGATCCGTTTGAAAAGCCATTGCCTGCAAATTTCGCGCTCACTCTCGAGAAGGCCTTCGCATCAATACATTAATGTGCCAACGGTCTGCCAATTGCTTCAATCCATCTCTCCCCTATTTGTTACTGTGTTCGAGACTCTGCGCAATTGCAGGAGGGTATATGGATGAATTTGGACTTCGCAGCGTAGCGATAGGATATAATGGACATTTCGGGCGGAGGATGAAGTTTTGAAGAAAGGCTGCAATGAAATTACTATACTCCGTCTTGTATAAGGACTGAATTTGGTATTGAATCAAAGGCCCGCAGATGTCTGGCGTGTTTTTATCGCAAATTGACACTACAAGGTCTCCGTATTCTTAGGGTGGGGATAGGTTACCAGGAACCGAAATAAAGGAGAAATATTTGGGAATTTTGCGCGGACGTCAAGTAAAGAAGAGAGAATTAATGGGAGGAACAACTTCGAAGATACATGTTCTCAAATAGATTCATGTGGGAAATATTTCGAGCAGCTCTTGGGGGAACCACAACTTAGACTATGATATCCAGGCATCTTTCCATCCCACCGAGAATGGGACAGGGGGTTTTCTTTTTTCTCTTTTTGAAGACCTACTGGTATTCGGAAGGGCTCTTCGTTCAGGAAGTTTAATCCGGCGAAGGGATCAATATGTGCTTTAAGATAAAAGCGTACGTCTTGTGCCAAGCGGTTCATCGAGTCAACTGGCCGACAAGTGATCTACTCGCTATCCTTGTTGCTGCACATCTACTGAAAGCAAGAGTCTTGTTTGCGTAGTCACTCAATAAGTTGCGTCAGCCAAAGTCCTAGGTGGAATAGATAACCTCTTGGGCAACGTTTACCATAAAGCGGTTACTCGTGAACATCAATGAGCTGCAGACCTTCAAATTTCTACCTATCTCTGGGAATTTTTCCGCTGCATTTTTAGGTTTAGAGGCTAAAGGCCCTGTTGGCCTGCGAATCTCCATCTCGTAGGGGAAGGGCGATGAACAAGTGAAGACTTCACAAAAAGTAGAAATACTCGTATGCACCTGCAGTCCTAGATGCAATAGCGTTCCAGAATTATCAGCTCAAAATACTGATCATTATCTATCTCTGTAACTTGACACAATTCCACTGATTGTCAACCCCCTATTATCTGACCTTCAACCATCACAAATTGACCCCTTCTTTGCTGTAACAAATGATTCTTGGGAATATTCTAACCCAACCCATCATAATCATTATCATCTTCACATAACAGTCTCTATATACAACAATAAACATAAGCCAGCAAAGCAGCTTCCTCTGGATTCTGAGATTTAACCTTCTCGAGCGAAAGCAGGTTGAGGAGCAATAGCTAGAGTGATAACAGGTCGAGGAACGATACGAGGGACAAGTCCAGAGGTAACTGCGGAGTGGTATCAGGGGACAGCAACAGCTTGAGTGATAGCAACAGGTACAGATGATTGCCTACCCCTATGTCTAGGGGACGGTAGTTCCTTCTTTCCATACGAATATAACATATTCTTTGGATCATGACCAGAGAAAGACGTTCCCGATGGCTTTAGTTTGCGGTTGGTTCTTGGACGATTGTATTCAGACTGATTACCTGTAATACTTAGGACCGATTTGTTGATCGTACTGGGGTTTGAGATTAAGGCTCTTGTAAAATTGGTCAAAGGTAACACAGCCATGAAAAATCATTAACAAATGGAAAAATGATGTGAGTGCAGAACCAATGTTTGGACTCGAGAGGTCTCACATTGAATCTCAGGTTTGAGCGCTTGGTAAAATTGCAAGAGAAAGACCCTCTCTCTAAGGTGGCGGAAATCTGGGGAGAGGTAGTATTGGTAACAGATATTCAACTTCTTATTAATGTCTGCTCAAAGGTTTATCTTCTCTTCTATCTCTTTTGTTCCTTTCTTTCTTAACGAAGCCTAGTTCTTCAAACCCAAATGTTGAATCTCATGGTAACAATACCATCAAGCGAGCCCTTGAGTTCGTAACTCACCTATCTCATTTCCAGAGAAGGTGTAAAAGAGTTAAGATCCGAAGAGGATGTAACAAGAGGAATATTAGATTTTTCTAATAAATGAGGGTTAGAACACTCCAAAGAGAAGAGCTCTCCGGAAATCAGTCAAAACACTTTTCCAATGTTGAAAAATAGGTACCATTCTTGCGAAAGCATCCTGCTACCACCCAATTGGAATATCAAGAAGACCAGATCCTGAGAAGAGCTCTTCCATTGAATTTGAGTTATCAGATTCTTTATTAAAAGAATCGATTTGTTGTATAAATAAGTATCAAAGGGCGAGGATTCTGTAACAGAATCGCTGGAATCGGCAGCCGGGTGTAGGAGTGCTTTTATCGGTAAGGAATGAATACATTTTTGTTGTTTGTAATCTTACCTATCTTTGGTGGTTGAATTGGTGCTGGTGATATTCGCAAAGCTATTCTTGAAGATGAGATGATTTAAACCAAATTCAAAGTTGAAAAAATGTGTACTATTTACTCTGAAGCACGTTGGCGCGCATCGCATCAGGTGAAGATAGATGCACAGGTATACGAACTGACTTTCCCTATTTCAGTATCAGCGATACTTGGACTAAGTCGTGATCTATTAGACACCTTTTGCGACTTCCAAGGCCTAATAGGGATATATAGATCTTTATTCCATTCATTTAAATCGAATATATTTTGGTGGCTATCATTTCCCTTTAATACCGTCACCCATGGTCTCTCGTATACTCCCTGTAATACTCCACCCCTAATTTCTTTTGTAGATCCAAAATCTATATGAATATAAAGAGGGAAGCAGGGCGTTACAACTTTTAAAAAACCACAACTGATGCCGTGGGAAGAAAGTGTAGATTCTCAAAAGATCATACTTAACCCGCTATTCAGACATACACGTCGTTCCACCTGTCATAGGAGACCGCTGAAGAGACCAAAAGCATTGATAAAGGTTCTTGTATTTGGGCTTCCATATAACATCGTGCGCAGAGCGATAAAGCCTTTAGTTGCAGCGAGAAGAGTTCGCACAGTTTTGGGTTTACGGAGAGATTGATTAAATGGCTTGAATGGCCACATGGACATGGATAGCCTCAGATTGTAGCTATGAATGGCATTGACTAATCAACTCCTGGGAAGTGTTCTGATACCGCTGAGAAATCATCAAAATATAATAAAAAGAAATAGGCAGAGGTAGCAACTAATGGTAATAAGATAATAAATTGGTGAGAAACCAAGCACTCCTCTTTACATCAAGTCCAATTAGAGTGGCCATCGGAAACAAGGGATTCGTCCTCTTGCACAGTTTGATAGAATTAATCAGACGGCATCCATACCGATCAGTGAGCTAGAGACACGATCATGAGCAAGGCTGCTCGTGCTTCAGCAGTAGACGGGCATGGTAACAGAATGCCCAGCAGTTGCTGGTAAGATAATGAAATATTGGGTATGAGCTGTTCGGTATCAAAAGCAGCCGTGATTAAGGTTGGCGATGAAGATATAGGCGCGCAGAATCTTGGAAGCCGAGAGAGGCAGGGTAAAAGGCCTCCCAAAAGGTGAAGGGGAAGAGATTGCGTGGTGACAGGACAGAAACGCGGGTAACAGATCTGCAACGGGGCAATTCGCTACTGAACGTGAGCTCTGAACAGAGCTCGACCTTGAGTTGGAGTGAAGGGTGGTGTACATGGTGGCGGCAGGGTATGTAACATCTGTGACCGCGGGAAGGAGAAGACGAGATTTGGTGACCTTGTTATGAGGGAAGATTTGCTTGTTGGCATCCAATCCAGCTTCCAGTTTATCATCCAAGTTGACAACTCTTTGGATTTATTCAAAGGCGCTGGACTTCTGGAGGAGATTCTCACAAAATATCGTATCAGGTGTCAACACTTTGGACTCTACTGTTTTCTTAGCTCACTCTTTTAGGAACCCTTTTCGTCAGCTTTCAATATGTCCAATTGTGTGGACTACAGTTGAGTTTGAACTCATCAAATCTTGAGATTCCGAAAATTCTTTGATCATTTTCAGCTCTTCACAGTCTCAGGAAGTTGAAGAGGCAAATTCTTCTCGACGGACCATTGCATACCGCTCATCGGAGCAGCAAAGATGTTGAAGAAAAGCTTGATTGAGTAAATGCATGGCGAAGGCAGATACTGGAAGGGAGTGGATTTCACAACATGTTTATGGATGGACCGCACATTTCAAAATGCGGAAGATTGCATTCAACTGGAGCCCGAAAAACCAAACCAAGTACAACGATGCAATTGTGACTGAATGCCAGCAGTAAGCCGACTTTATTGAAAGTGCTCACTTAAACTATTGTGGCGCGAAAGGTGGGCGTTCATCGTCTCGTTCCTTCCACTCTGAAAGTTTTCATCCACTACATTGTTCCAACACATCATACAAAACCATCAAGCCAAAATTGCTAGAATGACTGCAGACACCTTATAAAGGCAACCAGTAGACAGGAAAGCAGACTGCTGTAGTATGGCGACTGATTTTCAAATAGTACTCATGGAGAGCGCATCGCGGGTGAGAGTAGTGAAATTCATAAATGTGATAATGCGAAGAGCTCATCCACGACACAAAAATGACGAGGGTTTGAAGAGCAAGCCTTATACTAGAAGTGTTCCTGGCAGCATTGAAATCGGTGGCTTGATACACGACCCGGTTGAATTTTCACAGTGAAAGAAACCAAATACTGACGGCGTATAGAGAGTTTGATGGAGATTGCTGGGCGTACGTTTGTTGGGAATCGCGAGAAGCTTTCCTTGAGAGCTACACACGATTGATGCCATCATCCGACGCCGCCAGGTTCGAATACCTGGGCAAAAGAGTGAAGAAAGTCGGCTTGGAATGGTACATCAACCTTGCATTTCATACCCTCATGTTTGATATGGACCACAACGAAGACATCAGCCATAGATGGTTAGAGAAAAGCAAATTGGAACAAGATGCGCTTCAAGATTCAGCATTTTGCCGTTGCATTTCGATCCAAATCCCTATCTTCACGACGAAGATCCTGTGGGAGATATGTAGACTCATGTTAGAGACAACTTCCCATTTATTAGAGACTTTACTCTCGTCATTGGAGGAGTTTCCGCGTCAAAAGGCTTCATAGACGCAATTGAAACGACATTGAGATCAGGCATGAGGGCTCGGCATCGCTAGTTGGTGATACACTCGAGGCCTTCCATGCAACATTACCACAGTCGAGGATTGTCAGAAGATTCGGTGTCTGAAAGAGAAATCAGAAACGTATCTGGAGTGTGCGAAAGAACTCAAACACGAGTATAGTGAGGTCATCCTAGCTGATTCCGACTAGTTAGGACAAGGTGGAATTTTACACTTCGATCCATGTTTTGAATCGAGACGATAAGAGATGGTTCGTTCTTCTAAAGTAGAATGTACATCATAATACATTAATTTTAACCTGGATAGTTCCGCACACTCAAGACAGAGTGGAATTTTCGGACCTCGGGGAGGGTTTCGCTTGCAACGAAGATGGGTCAGCGTGCCGTCGGCGTTAGGGTATCGGGGAGTTAATCAAAAGCAGATTCTTGAGTCGAGTGGTGACTGGTTGGACTTTGATATACTTTACTCCGTGTTGGTCGACTTCTCCCATGAGTGCTAATAAATAAATAGCAGAAACCAAGAACGTGAAAATGCCAACAAATTGTTTCCTTCTGTGATATCCTTTTCCAGTTCCACATGGTAGTGCCAGAAAGTTAGTCGTTTGTAGAGTTTCATGAATTAGTTGTCATGATTTACCATAAGTTTGTGAAGCCACTGCTTCGACAGTAGCAATCTTCATCTGATGCACAGTGTTTCGAGCTGCTAGATGCCGATCAGTAATCCGCTCTAATGATGAGGACCTTTCCGTTCCAATAGACTTTTTCCACACGTGTGTCAATTTGGATCAAACTCTGTATCTCCTAAGAGTCCGGTGGATCATCGGATGTTATCTATTTTATATCTCAACTTCTCAGGTTAGTTTTTCGGTAACCATTCACAGAGCTCCTCGGCATCAATTGGCAAGTTGACCCGTAAATACACTGTACAGTAACTAGTTTTAGCGGCGGGAATGAAAGTGAAATTAATGCATCTCCGCTCCCCACTCCTGGGTAGCGCTGGAGCCATGCTCCGTAAGTTTGACTGGGTGCAGAATCCCCCACTCTTAAAATCTCCACTGTCGCACACACTGAACCACTTAGCCAGTCTCACACAGAAAGCATTGTCTTCTTTGGGCATGAAAAAGGACATTCCCTGGTCCTTTGAAAAGCTGCAATTGAGTTGCTCCGTAAGGTTGATGAGACATGAAAACATGGGAGGAGACGAAAACATTCATCATGAACCCTCCAGGGACTCTCAAGGGGACATTTCTTCACGGAATAATCTGTGATGAAGTGGTGTCATGGATCGGAATTTCCTCGCACTGTGTTAAACCTGTTGCAGAAGGCCGAGTGGCGATGGGAAAGAAAAAAAAATCTTTTTGAATTATTGCCACGATTGCCTAGGAAATAAAGCCGTAATCGTAACCATCAATAGGGGGAAGAGAGGAGATGAATGACATTCGGGGTATATAACATAGTAGCAAGGATCGACGAACATAGCATAACCTTACTTACGGAGTTATTAACTTGTCCCGTCATTAGTAAATTCCTCTCATAAACTATTATGTCCACTTTCTCCTGGATTTATACTTTTATGCGCCGCCGAATAAGCTCAGCAGATCTCGACATAACAACCACTAGCAAATATGTTGAAGATCGGTATGCGAAGTAGTTTCCATGTGTCAACTAGCTCCTTTGCCCTTCGGACACTATATGTAAATGCCAAAAAATCAACTACGCACAGTACGTACAGTAATACGGGCCGCAGCCTAAGGCGAATCCGAGTATCGGGCAAAGAGCGCATGCTGTAAGGTTAATGCAACATACAAATACCAAGACTATTGAACGATGGATGGAACAATAATAGAAGCGTGCCTCCACGAAAGTACTGTATATCACTTCCACGTGGAATGCAATAGCGTACCGCCGTCCCAGCAGTAAGGCACAGAGTCACACATAACGGAGTAGACTCTGTAGCGTATCGCTCGACTAGTTAGTTTATCATTACCTACTTTCCCCTACAAGGCTTCTTTCTAGCTTTAGTTGATCACAGCAGGTCGGTTAAATCTTAGCCCTGGATGTTTCTGTCAAACGACATGAGAGCATCAATTTATCATTGGCACTTGGCGTTTGTCGGCCGATTTTGTGGCGTTTCCTTCTTACCCTAAAACGTCAATAGGTTTTCAGCTTAACGAGCAGGGGCTAGCACATTTCAACAGTTTTGCGGAGTACAAACGGTGAAGCTATTGTCTGTTTGTCTGTCGTTCGTTGAAGGAGAATGCCTGCTCTGTGGATGGTTGCTTATCCCTCCAGTCTGTGATCTCGGAAAGGTTGACAATGGCATTGATTGTATTCAGGTACATCCAGAAACAGGCTGACGTCTCAATCCAAGATAGGTACGTACCCCGTAAATCTTGTGTCGGCATTTGTACTCGCACAATGTCACTATACTATTTTGCACCCATTCACTGCTAAAGGAAGTCCAGGCCCACAAGGACCCGGAGCACAACGCGACGCTAAGATGAGCAGTGTTTGATCTTTTGAATCTCAACTTGGCAAGGTGAAGTTAGTTTGAATGGAACCCCGTTTGGCCTGTCACGCAACATCCACCAAAGTCCCTTGTCGAGTTCCCATCTGCTCAAATATTATTAGACTAGAAGCTTCATCGAACCATGTCAGATTTATCTAGGCGCGAAAAAAGTCTCCCCTGTATTCCCGTAATACGCCGTAACCTTACAATTTCTCACGTCTAAGTTCTAACAGTTCAGGCCGTGTCGATAGGTGAGCACGTACTCCCAGATCCTCTTCATCATCAATCAATCCGCACCATCTAATCATCTAATCATCTAAAGCTCAGGTGGAAGCCCGAGATTTGTAACATCGTTATTCTACCTATCTAGATATCTCTCCACTCTCTTACATACACACGGTTCATTTAGCTTCAATGAACTTATATGTACCGACACCTGTCGTTAGACGTGTCTCTGATTCTTGATTTCGTTTTTTCCCTCTGGATGTCAGCCACAATTTGCCGTCTCAACCCACACTAAATTTGGCACCCATGAAGGACATGCTAGACGACGCTGCGTCTTCACTGACGCCTCTACCGGACTATCTATCTCATGGTTTAGTTGCTGTCGCGACCTTTGGTCTGTTGTCATTTTTATGCTCGACCGGTTTATTTCTCTACCTCACATACAAAATTATATCATGGAGAAGAAAATTACCCACCGGCCAAGGCCAAACGGATCGTCCGGTCAATCAATTCCTGATCCTGATATACAATTTACTATTTGCCGATATTCAGCAAGCAACCGCATTCTTACTCAATATCAGCGCGGTCAAGAATAATGGAATTATAATAGGAACGGCAACATGTTGGGCTCAGGGATGGTTTGTGTCGACGGGGGATTTGGCCAGTAGTATATTCATCTTGGTGATCGCATGCCATACATTCTTCAGCGTCGTGAAGGAATACCGCCTCCCACAATATGCATTTTTTGCCATGGTTGCAGGATGCTGGATATTTATTTACGGAATGGCTGTCATCGGTGTCGCGATGCACCCTCATGATCTTTATGTGAGGGCTGCTGCTTGGGCAAGTTTTTCACTTTTTCACACAAAGTTCTAGATCTATATCTAATGATGGCGTACAGTGCTGGATAAACGACGATTATCAAAATGAACGTCTATGGCTTCATTATTTCTGGATATTCGCTAGCATGTTTGGCACAGTGTTGATTTACGCCTGTATCTTCCTCTATCTCCATCATCAATCTCGTTCCTCTCCACCTGGACACAAGGCCAATGGTTATCACGGCGCCCGGCCTCTCATGGTTCTCTACCCACTGATTTACACCATATGTACGGTGCCCCTCGCCGCTGGACGTATTGCAGCATTCTCTGGAGCCGAGATCGGATTGGGGTATTACTGTATTGCTGGTAGTATGATTGCGTGTAATGGATGGTTGGACGTATTATTATACGCAAGTACTAGAGCAGAAATTGTGTTTAGTGAGTTTCCGCCAGGCGAGGAAACAGGTTTGGAGACGTTCGCATTCATGGGCAAAGGACATTCGCTGGGAACGACTACGATTATTGAAGCTGGGGGGTTGGTATCTGCAGGGTTGAGGGGGAGTGGAAATGGAGGGAGAAAAGGACATGGAGGCAGTGATAGCACGGATAACCTCTATAAGATGGGAGATATTTCTGTCGCGAAGAATGTTAGTGTTCGTGTGAGCATAGCAAGAGATGGAGAATTGGGTTCGAGAGGATACCCGCAAGCAGCTGGAGGAAGTAAAGATGGCAGTGAAGATCATGGAAGTGATTCAGGATGGGAGAATTCAAAAACCCGAAGAAGTGAGAGTGGAAGGAGTGGATTCAGCGATATGGCTTGAACCTTTGATTTTAGTCAAGATCTAGGATGATTCCATTGATGCTTGATGATAATTTTCTTTTGTTTACTGCATTGCAAGGAGTGGATGAAATTTTTTGAGCAGTGAAATTCGCATTCGCATCGCGTCGCGTCGCATCGCATTGATACCCAGTAAGTACATTATTATATGATCATTAGAGGATGAATGCCATGTTTAGTACATGGCACCGCACCTCTTCATATTTTCTCTGTTATATTATTTAGATAGATAGCCTCGACTTGTACATATATAGGAGGAAAAAGATACACATACAAATGAGATAACATACACATATACATACATGAGACCCGATACCTTTATTACCTTCTTACACTATCTGGCTGTAACAATCAAGACATCTTCTTCTGAAAACAAAGTCAAGCAATAGAATAGATGAGATGAACACCAATTGCAAGAAGAATGTCAGTCAGCAGCCACTTAGACCACGATAAAACCAACCATCTCAAGATCTAAAGATCAGCTCCTCCCCGCATGCGCAAACACGTTACCTATAAATATTCCACCATATGCATCGCACGCCTCCCTCCTCATGCACATAGCACATGAATATTATTATTGACATGAAAAGTTCGTTCTAGAATTCTAGATGCTTACCATCTTGGCATCTTATCTTACCGTCTGACCGTCTTCATTAGCGTTATTAATTACTGTGCCAAAATCCATTCGAACGTACGTACGTACATGAGCACGACACACAGATTACGGATCACAGATCACAGATCACAGACCCCTCTCAAAACGTGGCTGCTGCAAGCTTAAGCTAGGTAGCTAGCGGTGTGCAACGTTTCTTAACCCAGGGAGTACATGAATTGTCTTGAATCTATTCTAGCCTCGTGGACTGTAATTGTTGATTATGAGCGGTGTTGTTGTGTTGCGGTCGGTATATCTATATCTTAATTTTATATGTATATGTATGTATGTACATGTATGTATGTATTTAGTTGTTGTTATCTTACGATAATTGTTTGTTATTTATACTTTAATTAGATAATATATATACCTCATATTTCACTGTCATATGTAACCTTAAGCGATGGGAAACATTTTAGCTCTTTTAAACTAAAAAGGTTATCCATTTCTTAAAGTCTTCCCCCTGATAATGTTCAGTTGATACCTATTTTCCTTCATAAGCATTCCTCCACATCGTTTAACCCATACTTATACATCCCTCCATCCTATGTATACGTATTGAATCCCGTTTCATCTCATTGCTTTGCCCAACTCCAGCATTTAAATTGAAGCTTGAAGGTTTCCCGTCGACCGGCTCCGTTTCACATAGTCACAAACTCAATAATCTCAAGACAACAGCCATGGATGATATATTCTATCTGACATTCAATGTATTCATCCCTAGTAACGGAGCTAATATAAGCTATGTATTAATGCTATCTAAATATCTTCCTCTCGTTCTAAATTCATTTTTCATCCTTTCCATAACCTAATGATACATCGGTAGAAATAAAGGAAAAAAAGAGAGGTTAATATGCGGATATTTAATATTTACTATAGAAACTTGCCCCCTACACTCCTAAAGTGCACAGCTCCAAAAGGCCAAACAGCCCCGAAAACGTGTAGATCGAGGAGCGCGACAAGCTACCTGGGTATCAGTTGTCACAAAATTGAAAATGATAATCTCGATATAGCCTAGATCACCTTTAACCCTCACGATGGTGATAAGTCTCCAGAGCCAGCAAATAGTGATTGATGATTAATCATTATCAATGACAATGAGTGCTTCTCCATTAACCGAAGACTGAGCATCACCACCAACTTCATCGTCAAAAAGCTCCTTGATTTGATCATATTGATCAGGTAATGTGCCATCCGCTTTACATCTCAAATGAAGTGGTCTGTTGTAGCGACTAAACTCAAGCGCCAAAAAAACGCGCCGGGAATTTCATTCCCAGGACGTCTTACACTATATTCAACTGTACGAACCGTCCATACCGGTTTAACATCCACTTTGCTCCAGTAACCCTGATTTGAACCAGTTTTCGGCAGAACCTTCGACCAGTCCTTGCTGCTGTCGCTAATTTCCCATTTGATGTTGGGGTAACACCTGCATGGTTCAACCCATTGGCAATAATATCTCAACTGATCTATGAAGCTCTGATTGAAATCCAGAAATTGAGTGTTAGTCATGCTATATCCATATTCTTTAGGTTAGGACGGGTAGCGAGTAGCTCGGGTTTTGTTGAGAACAATGAAGAGTCTCTTGAGATTAGGACACAATCTCTCTATCCCCTTCGAGAATCCATCTGGCTTACGTCCTCTTTTCACCTGCACATACCGAGGAGGACCGTCCCAGGCTGGATAAAGGAGGAGCGTTTTATTGGCATCGCCAGTGACTCTGAGATAACTATAATGCTCCAAAAACAACTGTCTTGAGAGATAGTTTACAGAACGTAACACGGATGATGGTAATGACGCAGGAAAATTTGTTGCCGAACGAGCATGTCTGACACAAAACTCCGTTTTGGTCATGTCATCACAATAATCTGTCGCTTCTAATTCAGCCCAAATAACACTGGGTGGTGGCAGCAAAAAAACCAGATCTTTCTCTGGAGTTCGACGGGTAAGAATGGAAACAGAGTGAATGATGTAACAGGTACTGTTGGATCTAAGTTGTATCTCTTTTGCAAAGAATGACATTGTTTTTCGAAGAAATCCAGCATATCTTGACCATGAGAATAAATTAGAGCCGTCATCAACATTTTCAGGGGATGTATTAACTTACCGAGACTGTAACAAGCTGCTTCGAACTTTTCGTTTTCAGAAAGAACAGAGTTATTCTCACTACTCCATGCAGGACTCGGGCTCGATCCGGTGACTGAAAGAGCTTGAACGTTAGTTTGAAGAAAGAATGAGCCATAAATATTGAAGTGGCATACCTGAAATAAAATCCCTCTCGGACTCAATTTGTGTGTCATTGGATGGGCCTGATTTATCTTTCATGATCTCCTCACCCAAGATAGTTAGAGAAGCCATTCCTGAACCACTAATTCTATCTTCAACTGGCTTGACAACCAAGTGGTTTCTTGATGCGTCCTCCTGGTTTTGAAGTTCCCTCTGTGTAGATGTATTCATAGTTTGTCGCCTACAAACTCCTGTATTCGATAGCCGCCTCGTTATCGAAGCTTGAAGGACTCCTTGCAAACTCCAAAGAAGAAACAAAATGGAGAAAATAAAACGAGGTGGAAAGATTTGAAGAAGTAAGAGCGTTGTACAACAAGAAGCAATGCAATATTCAGCAAGTGATCCAATGGAGAGGGAAGAGTGGGAAGCGCCCGTATCACAACAAAAAGGAGAAATGATATAACCTTAATCAGTGATTTAATTCTGTGCACGACCCCGCCTTGAGTTGAATCTCCTTGGGAATATGTTACACACAGATATCCGGTCCGTTTTCCTCAAGATGAAAATGGTGAATTTTAATCTTTGTACAAGAAAGCCGAAGTATCAATGTTAAGTGAATTCCGGTGTTGCACTAGGTATGGATGACTGAATCAGCGACTTCCTAAATTCGCCTAGATGAGCTCGCTATATCCAGTAGATCAGTGCATGATATGAATGAAGATCAAGAAGTGGTTTCGGGAAGATGGGAAATATAAACCCAAGGTATTTGTCTATTTGTGCTTGATGAATTTGATGTAATATGTGATTACAATAGTTGTATATGATGAACATTTATGGACTTGTAGTAAGTATTATGAAAAGGAATTCGAATATGGATTGTATTCTATACCTATCTAAATCAAGATTTACTTAGTCTCTCTGGTTATGTTTTAGCTCTCTTCGACGGAGTTAGTTTACTTTCTAGTTTACTTCTTGAGTCATTACTTACTCTGAATATTTATTATAGAGCTTCCTGGGTGATCTGGAAGTATATCTAAGATGGTATACAGCAAATAGATATTGGAACTCTTATATGAAATTATCTCATACCTCAATCTTTTATCTCAAATCCCGCATTCCAAATAATCTCACTAAAGACCAAAATCTGTAGATCTTGACTAGTATAAAGTCAATAAAGTCAATAATATAATATAATACACATCATAATCTTCAACCTCTCCAACCACTCAAACGACTCCTTCCCCCTTATCCCTATAGAAGGATTTGTCTCTTATATGTGCAAATCATGCATGCATGCAAATCATTTTACTTTTCGCCTTTTCTCCATTCCTTCCTTACCTGCAAAGCCCATCATAATATTACCAATCAATCGTACAATTCAATTCCTATCCCATCCATGCCCAACCACCTGAATGATTCCCATTCATTATCCTTTTCATGATACCGTATCTTATTTCTCACCTCTTACACTTCTACGCCATATCCACGTCCCCATCCGCCATTGCCAACCTTTCTTTAGCCGTCTTAGCCTTTTTACTTCTTCCACCACCACCACTCTTCCGACTACTCGATCCCTTTTTCTTACTTGCATCACCAGCAGTAGGTGTTGCTGTACCGCTAGGTCTATTCGACCCATCATCAAAATGACCTTCGCCTATAATTCATCCACAGTTAGCAATCAATCCATAACATATCCATCTCATGATTATCATCTCATGCCACTTTCAAGGTATGAAAGTAAACCATACTATGCAAATTTAAAGACAAAATCAAAACTCACCCTCATGATAAAGATCCTCCAAACTTCCTCCACCACCCTCTTTCCCCTTCTTTCCTTTCCCCTTACCCTTCTTGCTAGCTGTTGGGTTCTCAGCTTCATATCTTAATTGTTCAGCTTCCTTTCTCTCAATTTCCGCAGCCTCTTCATCATCCACCAACCACATTGCAATATCCTTTGTCCTATTCTCCTTACTTCTCGCATTGAAATCAACACCACCACCTGCACCACCAGTCATAACAACCTTTTGAACCTCTTCTTTCTGTAAGGCTCTCTTGCGAATTCTTTCTTCAATTGTACCACGAGTAATCATACGATAGACTGTAACTTGACGAGTTTGTCCTAGACGATGAGCACGATCCATGGCTTGACTATCAATTGTAGGATTCCAATCGGAATCGTAGAAGATGACTGTATCAGCACTCGTAAGATTGATACCCAAACCACCAGCTCTTGTACTTAACAGGAAGATAAAAATCTCTGGTCGAGTTTGGAAATCGTGTACAGTATCTCTTCTATCCTCAAGTTTGGTGGAACCATCAAGACGAAGGTATTTGTAATTACGATACGTCAAATACTCTTCCATGAGATCAATCATGCGCGTCATTTGGAAATACAAAAGAACACGATGACCACCTTCTTTAAGCTTGGTAAGTAAAGAATCGAGCTTAGCAAGTTTGCCTGAATCAGTGACGAAGCGACGCATTGATGGTACTTTGATATTGGTAAAACGTTGTTTTTCCGAAGTAGGTAATGGTAACATTGGTTTTGGTGGATAGAATGATGGTGAAACCTTGGAGGTAATCAATGCCTTCTCTTCAACAGGTGAAGGACCAAAGAGTGCACGTCTCATCGGAACATTGAACAAGATTTTCTGTCTCTCGATGACGGCACCTCTGCTTGAACATGTGACTTCAATAGGGGGAGCGGTTGCACTTGGTCGACCACACTGTTCCATGCGGCTCATACCAGAGTGACCCCAAACATCCTTAGCCACATTGAAGAGTTTGTTGAGATATCCTTCATTTGTAACTTCCGCAAGAGGCTTGCGATCTTTCCGATTCACAATTTGGAGCATAGAATGAACTGGCGTATAGTTCTTGTCTTCCTCTTCATCGTAGACAATGTTGAGTCTGCCAAGTGTTTGTGGCTTCTTTACAAGATCCACAGCACGAGCAAAAACATCCTTCCTTGACGCTGTTGATAATTCTTGTACTGAGGTATTGGTGAAACGAAGCCATGAAAATGCCCCATCTTCTTTTGCACTGTCAACGATATTTTCCGGCTCCCAAACATTGAAAAGTGACTCGAAACATTTGGCCTTGACACCAGCATGCTCATTGTCATGCCCAGGTAAGTCTAGACGTCCACCTTCACGCCATATTAATCGAGGTAATGAGTACTCAATCATATTACGCGCCGAGTAAGCCACAGTAACATTTGGACCTTCTCTCAAGAAAGAACCAGCTTCAGCAAAGTAACTGAAAGATAAAGGCGAGGTAGTTTCAGCACGTTCGAAAAGGTCTGGATGATTGCAAACCTTTCGGAATTGCATCACCAGATTCATCAAAGTACCCGTATCATTATCATCTCCGATTGTAGCCTTCTCGATGAGATCCATAATGCTGATTTGATTTCGAAGGTTGCTATAGTACGCTCGTTGACGGTAAGTAAGGTCGCAAAAGATATCCTCCTCAATCTTATCACCCAACTCCTTTTGTACATGCTTCTTAACACGACGAAGCATGAAAGGCTTTAAAATCATGTGCAAACGTTTGAGTTGATCCTCGTTGAGCTTAGTATTACTTTGAGCGTGGCTCTCAATATCCTTTGAAAACCATTCGCTGAATTCATCGTGAGAATCGAACAAACTAGGCATGATAAAATGTAGCAAAGCCCAAAGTTCTTGCATGTTGTTCTGAATAGGAGTACCAGTCAAAAGGAGACGATTTCTGCAATGGAAACCAAGTAAACTCTTCCATCTAGAACTTTGTGAACTCTTGATCGCCTGAGCCTCATCTAAAATCATGTATTGCCACTTCATCTTCTGGAAATAAGCGACATCCGAAACGACGAGTTGGTAGGAAGTGACAAGAACGTGGAAAGGGGCGTCCTCGGTATAAGTGATGTGCTTTCGATCCCAGAACTTTCGTAAAACCTTTCGATCTGCTGCTGTGCCCCAATATGGTAATACCTTCAACCTTGGAACGAATTTGGTAATTTCTTGTTGCCAATTGTGAAGGGTCGATGCAGGAGCAACAACCAAGAATGGACCCCAAATGCCATGTTTCTCCGCAAGATAGGCCATGACGGAAATCGATTGGACAGTCTTACCAAGACCCATCTCGTCTGCCAAAATACCATTGATGCCTTGTTCGTAAAGATTGACAAGCCAATTGAGACCCTTGAGTTGATATTCCTTGAGTTGGGCTTGGAGCATCTTCGGTTGTTCAATATCGACATCCCCCATACCTGCTGGATTTTGAAAGTTCATCTCCCCTTCATCGTCCATGGCAGGGGCATCATCTTTTTTATTGAAGGCCCTGGCCTTGTTCTGAGCTTCTTGAATAGCATTCTGAGCATTAGCCATAGCTGCAGCTTTCAATACAGATTCATCTTCAGCATCAAAGTCAAGATCCTCAAAATTTGTAACCTTTGCAGGAGCAGTGCCTTGTGGTAAATCACCATGATCTGGCTTTGCATGATCTGCCTTGTCGGGAACCGCAACGTCGGGATGATCGGTAGACCTCTCAACTTCATCTGTCTTGATCTTCTTGCCGATGAAATGGGAGTAGAGCTCAGTTTGAGAAATAAGGAAATTGAGCTTTCTCTTCTGTCTGTTGGCTTCACGGTCGGCTTCGGCTTTCTTGGCATTCTCAATCTCCTGTTTCTCTGCAGCTCGTCGAGTATCCCGCTCTTCACGTTCGTTACGTTTCCAGAAAGACATCATCTCTCGCATAACACGCTTGGCACGAGCTTGAAGATCTTTGGTACCCTTATTCGTTCGTAATTGCCATCGCTTCGCTTCCTTCGAAGCCAGAATTGCAGTCTTCTTCAAGTTTGATGCTCGAATAGAATAAGAATCCACAGCCAGTTTAAAAACCTTGGGAACTTCCTTTCGAGCAAGATCCTTCCAGATTTGATCGTAGACAACATGGTACATCTTCGTGTTGTGCTGATCCACGGGAGCTGAAGGAGATTCTTCCTTGACTTCGACCGGTTCGGCTGGCGCTTTGAACTTGAGCTTAATCTTGGTACCCGCTTCTTTCGATGGAAGTGGCTTCATATCTTTAAATTCTGCTGCATCCCTAATTGGCATGAGTGCTGGTGATTCGCCCTTGTCGATTGCCTCTTGAGCTGCTGCAGCCGAGTCCTTCTCCGCCTGCTTCTGTTCTTTAGACTTTCTGGGTCGAGCACCACCACGTTTTGGTTTCTTGGTGGAATCAGGATCCACAGCGGTAAAAGTTGACATGCTACCTCCCTGCATATTAGGCTCCATGGGCGAAACTGCTCGAATCTCTGGACCCTTGTCCCCTCTAGCAAGTATTTGCTTGGTCTGCTGTGCCTTCTTTTCTGCTCTTTGAGCATCTCGAAGAAACTTGTGTCGTTCTTGATCATCTTGTGCTGCTTGAGCCTTGGCCAAGGCAATTTCCTTTTGTTCCATATTATTCTGAACTGTCTTTTCACGACGACGCTTCCTCTGCATATCCTTCTTGCGCTCTTTTTCAGTTTGAATCTCATCCGCTTGTACTTTCGAGATAGCAGCATCTCCTTCAACCTCTCTATATCGTTCTTCGCCTGCTTTAGCATGCTTCTCTAACCTCTTGGCCATCTTATTGGTGAAATCCGTGCGACGTTGCTTTGTTTTAGAGATTTCAATTTTTTCAACCTCGAGCTTTCGTTTGAGTGATCGTGTTTGATAGAGTCTCTTCTCTTCTGCAAATTCCACATCGCTGTCTTCTGGTTCCCTGTCTAACTTTGACATCACGATGACGATATCCCTTTCTTGCTCCTTTGTAAAAGGTTTGGGTTTTGGTGCGGGCTTTGTTTCTCCATTTGCCTTGCGCTTTGCCGGTACTCGGGACGCAGGTGGCGGAGGAGCTGGTGCAATTGAGGATTGTCGAGAACTAGGGGCGGAAGAGGGTTCTGCCTTCAAGGGAGGCATGGTTTGTCGTGAAGGTTTGCGGGGCTTGGATACGATGGGTGTGGGAGTTGGTTGATGTTTTGGAGTTGGTTCAGGAGCGGCACTGGATAATATACTCGAAAAAGCCATTGGATCTACTGGTCGGCTAGGAGTCTGGTGGGCAATAAATTAGATGACGTTGATATGAAAAAAGTGAAAAGGTGGACAAAGTTGCGACTTACACTAGCTGGTACAGGCTCTTGTTTGATGACTGGCCTGTCCTGCATTTCTGGTCCAGCACCAAGACCATTATGTCGACTAACTGGTGATTCCATCGCGGACATTCGTGGTGATTGTGCCACTGGAGGAGGTACGCGACCTTGTGGGTGCGCGTGTGAAATGGGCGACAGTGGTGGAAAATGAGAATTCACGGGCGATTTATAGGCGCCGTTATAAAGATTCAGTGGGCCAACTGTAGATGGTGCAGGTGGTTGATTTTGTTGATAGGGATAAGAATCACGACTCTGTTGTAAGGTGTTAGGAGATTGAATATTCTTTTGGGGTGGGTGTATGGAAAATATCTTACTTGTGATGTCTTAGCTTCCCTATCGTTCCATTTAGACTCCGCGGTCGCAGGTCTTCTTTCGCTCGAGTCGGAAGTCGGATCGTAGTAATTGCTGGTTGGTTTTTGATCGCGTGGATAACCAGTATCTCGTTCACTTTGATACAAAGAGGGAGTACCCAAACTCAACCCTAGGGTTGAAGGTGTGGTTGATTGAAGAGGAATGAGTGATGGTATAAGTGGAGGTGCCGCTGTTGGTGGATGATATTGATTGAATGATGGATGTGCGCCAGTTGAAGTTGTTGATGGATTGAGGATTGAACGAATTTCAGTTTGTGATTGTTGTCTCGGTGAACCCACGTTGTAAGGTATGTTTGAGCTGCTGGTGCTCGTTGTGCCTGGTCCATTTGGTCCATTCATTATCCCATCTCGCCTTGTTGTAGATACAGCAGCCTCTTCCTGATCATCTTCCGGCCGTCGCATCACTGTAGCATGAAATCTCGAGTCCATTTTCTTCTTGCGCACCCTTTAGGTCCCATGTATATAACCAAGTGTAAAGTTTATATGGATCGATTTAGCGCTCCATGGAGAAATTTCAAAGATTTGCGACCACTAGGAAAATGAGTAGGTTCGTGTATATTGGTTTCGATTGAATTGGGACAAGACGATTTTTGGGGGGATTTCGTTTTTCTTGGTTGTTGGGTTATTGGGTTATTGGGTTATTGATACAACGGAATTTAAAACTTCTCTTATCACAATCATCAATCACTTAAAACACCATCTAAAGAGAGGATTTCTGTTTGCAAATGAACTGAGATGTATTAATTGAAGGAGATCGGAGATACCGGACGGTGGAGTATTTGAGTGAATTGATTTCAAGGAAAGAAAGAAAGAAGTAATTGATATCTGCCCAGGTAGGAACCAAGATTGGGATGGGAGAGGAGAGTAGATGGGTAGTGAGTAGTAATAATTTGTAGGTAGGCATATACTCGTAGATCGAACCCGAATAATTGGATTTTAAAAAGTATCTTATGTTGATGCGAATTGCCGTTTTCGAATTTTGATATTTTGTATTTGGGCAAAAAGGATTTATTTGACTTTGATTTTGATTGGGGTTTTTCTCTTAAATAGTTCTAAATCTTCAGCCAGCCCAGCCAAAAAGCAAGAGAAAGATTTTGAAAGAGAATCATAGGAGAATTGATCAAGTTGATTGTGAGGTTAAGGAGAGATCCGAGATGATTGTTAGTTAGCTGTTTAGATAGCCAGGTAGGTAGATAAATGGAAAAATCAACTTATCACGACATTTTCTCTTTGATGATTTGAACTTCCTTGGAAAGCTAGCACATAGAGTACTAGGTAGGTATTGCCGATGATATGTCAATTGACGTGAGAAAGATATCGAGGATACCGAGGATATACTTACAATTTCATAAACGGAGTTTCTCATAGATATCCGAATCAAATATAGGTAAGATCTTACCTAGGTATTAATCGAAGTCATTGCACTTCCTTTTTCTTTTCTTTTCTTTTCTTTCAATACATTTTCTAATTCCTTAGGGTCACAAATAAAACGCCCCATTCATCAAATTCTGGATATTAAATCTCACATATTTTCACGGTTTAGAAGAGTCGTGAATGGGTTGTGGTTTGAAGCTTTCTCTTTCCATTTCATCATGACATCGCAAGTCAGGTATGATTGGTCACTCAAATGGTCTAGAATGGCTAGAGATGGGAATCACCCCTGCATAGAAATTGGGTTTGGAGCTTTGGCAAGGACTAATAAGTAGTAGCTACGTACTCGAGTACCTATTAATAATTTATTTCCGTTTCTATCCATTTACTACTTGCATCATATGAAGAAGAAGTTAGGTATCTAGGTATCTAGGTATACGTACGTACCTTCACTCAAATATAGTGAAATACATACGCAGGTATCTCTTCCTTGACATTCCCATTCCCTCCCTTTCATCCCCCTCCCTCCTCTCCACTCAACCGCTCAACCTCTCAACCTCTCAACCCTCAACCCTCACCCCAAACCCTCATCACCTATCTCACACCTTGCCTCCTCCTCCCTTCTCTCCTCTCTCCCTCTCTCCTCCCTCCCCCTATTCCCCTCCAAACCCCATTCAGCATTCAGCCCATTCAGCCATCCAATCCGCCAAGACCCACCCCGTGACCCGTCTAAACAATCTGAGCATCCCCATCATACCCGTTTGCCGAATCCCTTCTAAACTCTATACAGCATAGCTTTGATATATTATATATTCGATTTTCTTGCTCGGTCCCGGCCGTTTAATGATGTCCTTGGGGGTTGTGTAACGATCGGGTAACAGTCCGGTGGTGAGAGTTTGGGCTTTGGGTTCTTTACTTGAAGAACAACAAAGTCTATACTTAAAGCCTGCCATCCATCCTTATTATCGGACATGTAACTATAGCATCAGTTTCATCGTGTGGAAAGTTACAAGTCCCTTTACACCACATTCACATCACCCATCAACCATCAATCACGTCACAGTCCTAAAAGTGTTTTTTAATAATGTTTTTTAAAGATTTCAACCAAATTAACGCCATCTAAACAGACTCGCATTCTATCCCACCAAAAGAAAGCGGTGTTACAACAATCCTGCACCGCCCCAATCCCTCCCCGACCTCAGTTTTGGACCGTGAGGGAATGGCCAATAGCCTTGGTGAATGCCACCCATATTTCAAATGTTAAGTCGTCCATCAATGTATCAAATCAAACTTTTTGTTTCGACGGGATATTGCACGAGTTATTGTGAATATATAGCCACTTTAAACAGCACCTGCAGAAACCATCTTCTTTCTCAAGTGGTTCTTGTACTCGGCGATCGTACCATCCCATCTCTTGATGGTTTGGTTCTCGCAAACCATGATGTCCTTAGCAATCTTATCGAGCAATCTATACATTATTAGCATACTTTCATTTTGGTCCGATGGAAAAATTGCTTACCTGAAATCGTGCGAAACAACAACAACACCACCAGTGAAAGCGTTGATAGCATCAGCCAAACTGTCAATGGTAGGAATATCCAAACCGTTGGTAGGTTCATCCAACAACAACATATTTGGTCCATCAATAGCCAACAAAGCAAAAACAATTCTGGACTTTTGTCCTTCGGAAAGAGTACCCATCAATGCCGTTTGAGATTCACCACTGAGACCATACTTTCCAAGTTGTTGACGCCAGTATTGGTAATCTTGACTCTTATGGGCATACTTATCTCTAACAAAATCTAAGGCGGACTTGGTAAGATCCAATTGTTCCGAAGAATGTTGAGAGTAAACACCCATCTTCAAATGTGTGTGACGGGAAACAGTTCCTCCGGTGGGAGAAAGCTTTCCGGTCATAAGACGGAGGAGGGTGGATTTACCAACACCGTTAGGTCCGACAAGAGCAGTACGGGAGTCCATGTCAACACCGAGGTCAAGGTTGCGGTAAAGATCATCCTTAGAGTCACCAGAGTAGGAGAAAGTAACATCGTCAAATGACAAAACTGGTGGTGGAAGCTTCTCAACATCTGCGAAACGGAAAGTGAAGACACGATCTTCCTCAACCTTTTGAATGAAACCATCGGCTTCCATCTTGTCCAAAATCTTTTGTCTGGATTTGGCTTGGCGCACCAAGTTGGCATAGGTACCAGCTGAAGCAATGAATTTCTTGATGTGAACAATTTCATCTTGTTGTTTTTGGTAGGCCTTCATTTGGTTGACCTCCTGTTCAGATCTAGTCTTTGCGTAAGAATCGTAGTTACCACCATAATAGATGAGTTGTCTGGAACGCATATCGATCATGTTGCCGCAAACACCGTTGAGGAAATCCATAGAGTGAGAAACAAGGATAAGAGTTCGGTCCCATTTCTTCAAATATTCTTCCAACCACACGCAAGCTTCCAAATCCAAATGTGCGGTAGGGTCATCGAGAAGAAGAAGGGAAGGCTTGACGAAAAGAGCTTTAGCCAAAGCCACACGCATACGCCATCCACCAGACATATCCTTAGTCTTCTTGTGAATAGTGACCTTGTTGAAACCGAGACCAGTCAAAATGAGGGATGCACGGGTGGAGAAGGTGGATGGATCCATGGTATCCATACGCTATGAATGGTTAGCAACGTACGAAAGGATATCTTGCACCTGGATAATTTTACCTCATAGAGATCCAAAAGAACTGGACTCTCTGGTCCTTCCTCCTCCAACAATCGCTCGGCCTCGTCATCAAGTCTCTTCATTTCATTCTCTGCTTCTCTGACGACCCATTCCAAGGCACCCAAATTACTAGGAGGAGCACCCTCGTTTAATAAGTAGATATCGACATGATCTGGGACAGGGTATTCGCGCATGTCGATCGCTTTGAGGAGAGTTGACTTTCCGCAACCGTTCTCTCCCAAAAGACCATATCGACGTCCATATGTAAGCTCGAGTGTTGTATCGTTCAAAAGGACACGACCGTGGAAAACCAGCGATGCAGATGTAATCTTAACGTCACGACTTTGTTTGAGAGAGCTGAGAACACCGGTTGTGACACGATCAGAGAGACCATGTTTATCCATTTGTGCAGCTAATCTCTTGATTTCATCCATATCCTTCGTCGCAGGTTGCTCCTCGTCGGGAAGAACATTTCCATTGGCGTCGAGGGCTACTTCGCCAGGAGTTGTAGTGCCAGATGCAGCCTGGGAGCCAGCCTTTGATTTGGAGGCAACCGTCTTCTTTGCTGGCTTTCCTTCAGCGGCCCTCTTCGCATCACGAGCGGCTTTCGATGCTGAAACCATTTTGATTAATTATTTGAAGTTGTCGTGATAATAATCAATAATCGATAGTTGAAGAAAAGAGATACTTTTGATTTCTCTCTCTGTTGGATGGATTTTGTCGAAGTCGACCTTTTTTTCAGGTTTATCGTTAATGATGGTGGGGAGAAATCTTTAGGTGGGGTTTTTCTCAGACTAAGGCCTTTTTCACTATCGATTAAGTAAGTTTTAGTGCCACATCATATTTTCGGGGGGGGGTGAAGTACTTAGTAATCTGTGGGTGTGGGTTAATAGATATAGGATTGAAATGTACGAATGGTTATTAGAGTATGTACTAAATAGGAGCAAACATTACTAGGTACACTACACACGATCTTCCTTCTCACCTAACTGACCAATCAGATCTCTTAGATTTGACATTCCAATGATAGGGCTAAAAATAATCTGACGTAGGAGAGAATTGAGTGGATGTTATCACGTGCTCATGACTTTCTTCATCTTTCTTCCTTCATTGCCACTTCGAGCTAGATCGAGCCAGATTTTGATTTTTCAAAAGCCTTTGAATATTCGAGGCTACTAGGTATTCTTACCTAATATCGTTATCTAATTGGATGACTATCATATCTAGGACAGAATTGGTGAAATGAAAGGATTTACTGCTTTCTACGAGCATTATTGGGGATGGTACGGAAGGAGACGAGTATTATTTGATACTGTGGACAAAGAGTTGTACGGCTAGCATAGAACACTAATCATGCAGCTAAATTAAACCTGAGTCATGAAAATTTAGTCTCAGCATTACACGGAGCTGTATAGAGACCTACCTGGTAAACACTGCGACGGGTGAGAGCGAGACGTGAGACGAACAATGTTCCTTTCGCTACTATGTCTTCAGAGAATCCAACCATGTATACAAACAATCCCCAATGCCTTGATTCAAAAGATCTCGGATATGTGCTCAACAGAAAATTCCTTTAGAGCATCAACGTGATCAAGATACAAAAAAATCACTTGGAGATGGGTCCCACAATACATATTTTAGGTCTTGGAAACCTGGGAAAGCTGTTCGCACACTCATTAGCTACGAAACCCAAACCTCCTCCTGTCACTTTATTGCTTCACCGTCTACCTCTATACCACATGGCGAAAGCCCAAGGGCCAAAAATTAAAATCTATCAGGACGGTGTTTGGTATGGTGATGGTCGTTACGATGTGGAATTCATACCCCAGGGTGGTAACAAGAATCACTCAGATACTAAGGTTATATCCAATCTGATAGTCACCACAAAATCCCACAAAATGGCTGAGGCACTTGGGACGATCAAACATCGATTGTCCCGCATGTCAACTGTACTGTTCATACACAACGGTATGGGAGTCGTGGAAGAAGTCAACAAGCTCGTGTTTCCCAATGTCAAAGACAGGCCACATTATCTATTTGGCATAGCATCCCATGGTGTCTCTCAGCATACTCCATTCACGGCAATCCTTGCTGGTCATGGTTTTGTCACGATTGGAAATCCTGAGATGGATAAAGAGAAACATCCAGTCAAAAGCTATCTCCTGCGACAAGTTATTGATTCTAAGCTTCTCCGCGCCAGCGAGGTTCCTTGGGATGAATTTAGACTCCTTCAATTGCAGAAATTGGCTGTGAACGCTGTAATAAATCCTCTGACTGCTCTAAACAACTGTTTAAATGGCATGGTTGTGGAGTCTTCCATGAGCGGGGATATAGGAAATCTCTTTGGAGGCCTAGTCTCCGAAATTAGTCAAGTCCTTTGTTCACTGCCGGAACTTCAAGGGATTCCAGGCCTGAAAGAACGATTTTCAATAGAAAGTTTGCGGAATATCATTCATGATGTTGTGTCAGCCACTGCCCAGAATCGAAGTTCTATGCTTCAAGATGTTAGCAATGGCAGAGAAACGGAAATCTCTTATATTAATGGATACATTGTCGAAAGAGGAAAAGAACTAGGTATTGAGTGTCCGGTGAATAGGAGGATGGTTACGAATATTCTCGACGCGGTCTCAAAGCAGAAGCTCCAAGCTGTATGGAATGAAGTTGGTGAATCTGCAAAACAATAGTGAACGTCTTTGGTCCTGAATATTAATCTTTCTCTATCGATTAGCTATTTATACATTCTAACTTCTTTAAGACGTCAACATTGAGTACCTAGGTATCATTGTTAAGATTGATCGTCACGAGACTATGGCACTAATGCTGCAAGGCCACCAGTGGGCTTGACATGGTACAAACGGCAAGCGAGGCTGAGGTTACCTGGTCATTCCCATCAAAACATTCACTCGTTTCGACTAATTTCACTTCTTGGTGAATGAATCTTGTGAAGTTGTTGGATAATTTGAGAATTCAGATCATATCCTTAAAGAAAAAAGTAATATCTCAGCCGTACACACGAGGCTGCTCACACTAATTGTAAGGCTTAGTGGTTTATAATTCACGAGTTAAATCATGAACGCGTCAACCTCTTCTACTTAAAAGAAATGATCACCATCATCTTTGAGCTGGTATCATTGTCGCTCCTGAATTTTGAACTTTATAACTCGTCGAAAACACATCTAGGATTCCTTCTGAAAGGTCGTCGACATTTCTTTTCACTGGTAGGTTCTCAATTTTATTCCCGAAATACGCTCTTCCAGTTTCCGTATCTTTCATCTCCATTATCCCTATTTATTCCATAAGAAATCACTAGAAAGAACTTCCTTATGTTTACTTTTACTAACTTATTTTTGAAAGACATAGAACTCCTGTTTTCCCATACAGGTTCCCAATCTAAATCACAAATTGCCATCTCCACCATCTACGAGTATTTCAGTCTCCTCCCAACCATGAATCGACCATGTCAACATCTCCTCGAGTACAATGTCAAGTCTACCGAAGTTTCAACCTATATCAGACCCCGTCGGCCAGCGAACCAAAAAGCACAATTTCATCAATTTGCCAAACTAGCTCCTGAACTCCAAAGGATGATTTTCAGAGAATCTCTCCCCGAGGGCCGCATCATCTCTGTTAAAGCCGTTGAAATCCTTGTTGACACTCCAGATAAATGGACTCGAGAGTGGTATAGCACTGAGACTTTTGGTGGAAAATACAAGAGTGCAAAGATCGTTGTCAGCACAACTTTCCCCGCACTTTTACATGTTAATTCTATGGCCCGCGAAGTTGTCCAAAAGAAATACAAACTCGAGTTCAGTCACTGTCTTCCACATCCCGTATACTTCAATTTTGATATAGACACTCTCTATATCCAATCCGATCGTGCCGTTAGGCTGTTTCAGGGTACTTCAAATAGGCTCAAGAGACTTCCAACTCCATTAAGCCGTGGCCTTGATTTTGCGAAGATGCAAGAAAAGCTTAAGTACCTGATGCTTGGAGAGCCTTGTCTTTACAAAACCACCACTGAAATGATTGCTCGATTGGAATACCTAGAGGTTTTAGAATTAAAGGAGGGTTGTTTTCGGAAAGAGCAGAAAGTTAAGATCTTGGATAATAGGTGGTATGACAGATGGGGTGAGGATTTTCCTTATGAATTCATAGAGTTAAGCGATAAGGAGATGGGTTATAAGCTTGAGGATATGAAGGTACGTTGAGTTTGTTATTATTCCTTATTCCATCTGCTATCAGAGAGAGAAAAAATTAGCTAGGTCTAGGTTGGAGGTATGGCACTGACTTGTTTGATTAGGATGGCTACGGTGTATACGTCAAACCTCGTCGATCTCCTAGACTCATGGAGCTTGAGGCCAGTAAGAAGGTTGATAGTCACGAAGAAGAAGATGATGATGAGGCTTAGCAAAGCAAATTTCAACATGGCAGGAGGAAAGGGCAAGTTTGTTTGTAAATTACCGTGAACACGTCTTTTAATTCGTAACAATATAATCTTCTTTTTCAAGTAGTAGATTGAAATATCTTCCTGCGTGATGTCTATCCAGAGCCGACACCCAACCCTTGATTCGTTTTTCAATCTTATCCCAATGTTGAGATTCTTTTCATTATCTTAGGTAATCCGATGGGTCGGCTATGGAAGAAGGGAAGTATTTATACATATTATCATGCCTTGTTAATGCTGTAGCTTCTGCATCTTCCTCTCCTCGTTTATTTTATTGCCTTGTTGATGATCCTAGACATGATTTATACGCATTCAAAATCCTTTCAGGAACAAATCTCTTCATTTTGCTTTGCTTGCTTATGGTTCTTCTTACTACCTAGGTACTTACTATATATATACTTACTTTACAAGTATACTTTACACAGGAGGACTAAAATAAAGTCATTGGATCGGTTGATCTACAAATGTAACATCACTACTGCGATGACTACCCCGCACTAAATATCTACCTCTCGCGGAAGCTGCATCTAGTTCTCAGAGAGGAAGTGAGGATACTACGTATGAATCAGAAACGGGATAGGAAACCGAAAGGAAGGAATTGTTGCATATCTTAAGAATCCTTCGCCACGAACCTGCATATGATTCTGTTTCCAATCATTGATAACCAAAATTACCCCTCTTTGTACAACTATTTCCATGAGCTGAGTTTGAACTCAACTCGAATTTCTACATCGCAAACTACCATTAAAACCTACCAGTGACCTTACCTCAATATTCTTGGTATTTCCCTTCGAAGTTATTCCCCAAAAACCTTCCGCAAAAGCACAGTAACGATGTCTTCCGTAGATAACATCGGAGCTGATGATACAAGTGCATCTAAGTTTTATGATGGCATTAGTGACAAATACGATAAATACTACGGACTTGATCCTGGATTATTGACCTTCATCAAAGAGAGTCTTGAGCTTTTACCTCCTGATGCTTCGGTATGATTGTTGGTCTTTTTATTACACATCATTCTACCCAGTTCTCGACGTTGGAGGACACAAACAAGATATATACTCTCGTATCTTCTTCATTCCCAATAACCAATCTCCCAGTCCTCTCCTTCCCCATTCAAACCCACAAACTAACACCCTCCCCTCCTCTCAACAGGTCCTAGACATCGGATCCGGCACCGGAATCCCCACCTCCCTCTCAGTAATCCAATCAGGTCGTAAACTCCACGGTATAGACTTCTCCCCCAAAATGATTGCTCTCGCGCAGAAAAACGTTCCAGGAGCAACATTCGAATGTATTAGTATGCTTGATTATGAAGCGAAGGAAAAATTCGATGCGGCATTTGTTATTTTCTCAATGTTTCATTTTCAGCGAAAGGAAATGGAGAGGGTGGTGGGGAAATGGAAGGCTTGGGTGAAAGAGGGGGGATGGATTTTTGTGGGGACTATATTGGCGGAGGATGCGGGGATGGTGGAGGAGAGTATGTTTGATGAGGAGAGGGTGAGATCTTTTTTTATATTCGATATGTTTATGTTTCAAATCTTTGTCTTCTTTACACATGCTTTTCTTCCCTTTTCATATTCATTCATGGCTAATCACTAATATGAAATTATAGCTCTGCGCGGAAAATGTCCCGGGTAAATTCATGGGTCATGTTTATGGAAATTTACTGTATACGAAGAAAGGATGGGAGAAATTATTAGGGGATAATGGGTTTGAGATTGTGAAGACGAGGAAGGAGGCTTTTCAGGCACAAGCAGAGGCCGAATGTGATGAGGAGGTGCATTTTTGGATTATGGCTAGGAGGGTAGGGTAGATGAAGGAGGAGTGAGAGGATGGCTGTGGGGAAGGGGTTTCCGAGGGAGGGATGAGAGTTTGGATGGGCTGAGAAATGGACGCGTGAAAAGTAGCAGAAACGAGAATATATCTGTGGATGGAAAACTAAATTTCCCTTGCTCGTGCATGTCTACCTTTGATTGTGAATTTTGAAGTGGAAAATTATAACATTACTAATAAAAATGAACATGAACATGAACATGAAAATGAAAATATTCCACTACAACCCACACCTCACTATCTACCACCACCACCACCACCTCCTCCTCCTCCTCCTCCTCCTCCTCTCACTATCCCCCAATACCCCAGCACAAAGAAGTTCCCCAGACTTTTGCAAACCTACCTACCTACCTACCTACCTACCTACCTACTCAACATCTGCATTGGCATCGATAATAGAGCTGAGCGCAAGAGCCCTATGACAGATACCGTCACGGAGTAAATCACCCCAACGCAGACTGGCTAGATAGACCGTGAATTCATGTTGTTGATTGAGCCTATGCCTCAAAATTATAACACCCATAATGTCGGATAGAAAAAGCTTAGAAATAATACCCCGACTTCAAGAACAATCTATTATCTTCTTCCATTAGAAGAGTCAGCAACAATGAAGAATATTGATCATGATAAATTATATACTTTGTTCCGGGGCATTTTGGCCAATTTCGGGATTCGCCAATCAACGTGATTAATTGAATGGTTAATGAACTGCATTTCATTTTTGAATGAACTAGCTCATTATCCAATACACCTATCTAGTTCAAGTAATAATGAGGTTATTTCGTAAATGATCTAGAGTATTCACGAATAAGCCAAGTTTGTACAAAAATATTATATTCAATATCTTAGTTCATTTATGAATATTTTCATCTTTTACCTTGTTTTCAACCTCACCGTTGCACAAGTCAATGTGACAGATTAAGAACCCAGCCAAGCTTCTGCGTTCAGTTCTTGAGCAGCAAGATATGTACTCCCGAAATCCAATTCAAGACGATTTAAATCAAGAATCGAGCAAAGCTTACAGAGTTTAACAACTCGTCAGCAAGGAGTCTTACGGAATTAGGCAGCTGGTGACTCTCCTCATCCCACGCTTCTTCCTGCTCTGCTTCTTGCTTGATCTGTGTATCGAGCTCTTCCTCACATCTGCGATATGCATTCAAGACCTCCTGCAAAGTATCCCTTGGCGCCATCCGTAGAGCTTGGGCCAAGCAATCCATTCTCTGTTGCAGATGTCTAATCTCTGGATTTCCACTAGTATTGCCAAGATGAGTGGCTCGTGTCGTTTGAGCATTTCGACGATATTTACCTGCTTGTAAAGCTGCACGCCACGACCAATCATCAATGGGCTTAGGTGAGCGTTGACCAATGCATCCCGTACTCTTCCGCTCAAGTTCTGGCATGCGAGTATGAGCTTGACGGCCAATAGCCTTAAGACGGGTGACAACATAGGAATAAGCTGTTTCGAAATCATCTTCCGCAAGAGCAATATCAATACACATACTGATTACACGCTTTTCGGCAATTTTGAATTTCAAATCAGGAGTTACAGGGTATCCGGCTGGAACTGGTATGGTTAGACCTGCCTTAACCATTTCTCGAGCCATGCGAATAAACTCGTTGATTTGTGTATAGCTTTTGTCGTTCTGTTCGAGTATCTTGTTCAAGATTGACAGGGGGTCACTATTTACACGTAGATTGACTGGTAAGAAAGGTTGTCCTTGTTTCAGAACCAAGCTGTAACGACCTATTTCGTCCGTAACGAGAACAAGATTGTGCAGTTCTTGAGTTTGGTGGTGGTCGCTTAATGTATCGGGAAATGCATTAAGACTAACGGAATAAGTTAGCATTTTGATCAAGAAAAAGAGTGCGCGTAAAGCGTCCTGCTGACGCCAGATCCCTGAAAGCAATCCTCTCATCAATCCCCACATTCAATTAGTCTAAAATATGAATAGCTGAGCCAGACATTCTATCGAAGGTTCTGAGTCATGACCATGGACTGAGCTTTTTATGTCAACATCAATGAAAGTGTTGACCAATATAAAAAATCTACTTTCGTTGATGTGATGGTTGAAAGACAATTGATAAATGCTTAAAGGGAATGCGCAAAAGTGTAGAAAACACTTACATCTCCTCACATTTCTTAACGCCACCTCTAGACTTGTTAGGATTTGTGGCATTATCGTAGGCATTCTCGGCCGCGGTCAAGATGGCATGTTGCAAATACTCTCTTGGTAGAGGTTTCTCTGGTGAAGTTTCATAGATAGATTTGGCGAGTGTATATCCTAGATGAGACGGTCAATAACTGAAATGGCAGATACGGAACTGGATGAGTTTACATACGGCTGTTGACAAGAAGAAGCTTGAAGAATTCTACCTCGATAAGCTCTTTGTGAACCCGACCGAAGACACCCCTACCACGACCGGGATCGGTGGTATCCTCAAGTTTCTCGGCTCCCCAGTCCCTTAACCATAGCAATTCATTTCTCATCCTGATCCAAAATCGATCATCGGTACCGGGAGGATGACTAAACGAGGTGAGAAATCCCCTGAAAGTCATCATTTGCTCGCGTTCATCTTGAAGCAAAGCAAGCTCGCCAGCTCTCTGAACATTGCATCCCTCCCCAACCCTGGTAAGAAGATATGCACTAATAAGTAATGCTCGTAGTAAATGGATGGATGGTTCATTTGGGTTTGTCAAAGCATTTTTCTCTTCTAAATGGTTATTCCGAAGATATTTCGCGTTCCTCATGGATAAACGACTTCTTTCCAGGATAGGTATAGGGGTTAATAGGCTAGCAGCTGCTTCCAATGTAGGCATCTTATCTATTTCAAGTAATGTAAGAATCCTGGAAAGGATTCGATGAACACCCGTCAAAGCCTCAATGGAGCTTTCAGGGATAAGATAAGCTGTCGCAAGAGCCGCTTTTGCGTATCGTTGTTCTAAGTGGCGTTGATCTTCTTCGTCCAGCCATTCCGTTCCATCATCAAAACCTCCTAGATCTACGTCTCCTGGTCCATCCCATTGTTCAACAGCCTTGACAGCCGTTGGCCAAGATATACCTGCTTCAGCGATAATCCATGCAAATACCAATTCCCAGCCAGCATATTTATGATTTATCATGCCTGCTTGTTCCAATGATACAGCTGCTTGAGACTGCGCTGTAGATTCGCCCTGAACTTTTCTTCTCTTCCATCTATTATCTCCATAGAGCCATGGGCCAGTCAATCCACGCAAGTCCCGTCCCACGGACTTATTCTCCTCCGTCAATGTATCTAAATCCTTTCCGGTCTTTGAGAGCAAATACTTTGTTCCTTTACTATCGTCTAAAGCTTCAAACTCGCGAATGGTGAGGATTGGCTGAGCACCCGAGTAGTATTCGTAATTGAGACGTAGGAGGGGTAAAATGGTGGAAATTGTCCAGGTTTGTAGATATGATGAATAGCTTAAGAACGGAGTCAGTAATATTAGGACTTCACTGAGTAGGCCAGTGTTTTCGTCGACTAGTAATGCTCGTTGCATCAAGAACAAAATCAAGTGGTCATCGGGAACATCCAACGGCGCATCTTTCCATCGTAGAGGAAGAAGGCGTAGTTTCCGGGCTTTCTTATTTACTTCTGCGGGGTTTATACCCTTCATTGCGCTCAAATCAATGGGATCTTGAGAATCGTCGATCATTTTTCCTGATGCGAGATCCTGTAGAAATGGCACATATTTGAAAGCTTCCAAACACTCTGGTAGATGGGTAAGAAGTATGCGCAAGAGGAGCTCATTCCGTAGGACATTTCGATATCGCGATACAAGAATTCGTAGAAGTCTTAAATCTCCTTTTGTTGTAAATTCTATAGCTAACCAGAGAACCGTCGCAGGCTCCAAATCTGGGGTTGACATTGCTGCCCTTATATCGTGTTACCCAAAAGTATTGAGTTTTGTTGTATCAAATAAATGATGTTGTCGGAATCGCAGGTGGGAGCTCCCATGGAACACTTTTGCCTAGTATTGGAGGCACTAATGCATACCACCCTTGTATGGCTAGCGTGAATTGTTACTTGTAGTTGAACATCACATCGACAACCTCAACCCCTCCAAATTTCACAATCCAACACAAACGATGGCATCTGGTTACGGTCTCAATGGGGGTATGTATCAAAGCTACCCTCCAAAGGAATGGCAGAGGATGGAAAACTTAAATGAGCTCAATGGCTAACAAATGGGTTCTCAAGGTCCTTCCCGATGCTTCCCTTTCTGGCAAGAAGTCTTAGCTTGCTACGTCGTAAACACCTCTACAGAGAGCGATGCAGGAAAGAGGGTTTGCGCGCCGGTATTGGAGGATTATTATGAGTGCCTACATCACAAGAAGGAGGTTGGTGTTCATGGATTACATAACTTCGCGGCATCCGGCAACAAACCCTCGAATCATTTACTGACCCAGTATTTCTTATGATTAGCATGCCAGAACAATGGCGATTCAAGCCGCATATCACAAAGCCGAACAAGCGAATCCCCGAGACGATGCGCCAAAGGCAGGCGTAGTGAGGAATTTGGGGTTGCTAGATAAAGAAGAAGATACCAAGAAGGTGCTGGGAATGAAGTGACAGTACTTCAGTCAGGATGTGTGGAAGTTGTAAATTAGGAGCGATTATGATCAATGCCAGTACTTGCAAAAGCATTTTGTGCCCTTGACTAGTGGCGTATCATTGAGATGGACGGTGGTGATTCGTGTTGCATGTCTGGGAAAGAGGTAAGAATACCACTTCTATTGTGCTAAATTCCTTATTTTTGGCATCGTACATTTTAGCTGTGAAAGCTAGGGGCTCTCACTACTCTGTTCCGGAATGTCCCAGCCATCATAAAATTCCTTCCAGTACATGTGGATGTCAGAGGTAGGCTTGATTTCTAAGGTTTAGGGAGGTATTTACAATCAGATATATTCGTCAGTGCCTGATCTGTGGATGTATGGTGCAAACCACTAAATTCATCCAAGCCATTGTACCTATCTTTACCTTTCGTCCTGGTTCCTAACTGAGTTTTCCAGGGAAGCACCAGCGACATATGACGGACCGGAATCTTGCTATGTTTCTCAAGACTTCTTATGCCTTAGATTTAGCTTTCTGGAGTTCTTCCTCTTGGTCATTCCTTGAGAACTTTGGTGTAGATATATTTCGTCTAGAGCCTATTTTTAGGATGCCCATATGCTCTCAAGTACGATATAAACGGAAGCTCAGAAGACTCGATTGGGAACCAAGCATCGTCTGAAATTGGGAGGAAAGAGGAGAAGAGAATCTTGAACCATGAAACAAGTGAATTCTTCACATTGCTATCACTATCTTAGTCTCTCACGATAAGTATCAAATGAGATGAGAATTCCAAACATTGAAGTGAAGTCTGAATCTACGAAGTCTGAATTTCGGTAAGATTACTTTCATGTTGGGAGTGATGTTCAAGAACTGGTTCTCGTCTCGATAAGTAAACTGAACTTCGTTACTTCCTATATGAGTATGGCAACTTCTACTTCTACTTCTACTTCTACTTCTACTTCTATTTCAATGGATCGTAAGGCTCTTTTCAATCCGATTCCCTCGACTTTCTTTTCTGTCAATTCCATTCACACATTTCTTTATTTCGAATTGACATTAATACCAGTACGAAAATAAAAGAAAGACATTGAAAAGAAATAATTCTCGCGATAAAATTTCAACATTTTCAATAGCTTCAAATTTCAAAGCACAATCTCCAGCAATTTTACCAAGATGCCCGCGCATAAAGGAATCAAGTTGCATATTATTTCGCAATGGGAGTTGAAAATGCATCCAGAATTTCCGCATCCAGAAAGTACCCAGTTTACATTTCGATCGCCAAAATTGGACAAAGAGGCTTTCGAAGGTCATGGTCACTCACCTGCCACTAAAGCTAACGACAGCAAGGCCGATCGTTTACTTGGTAGACAATCCTCAATCATTTCAGTCTATATTCCATCAGCATCAGGTAAGAATCCCCAATGTCAAGAGGAACAACGCGTGCATATTTAATTCTCAGCTAGGGTCTCGATTTTTTGTTCGTTACAATGTTTGCGACGCGGCGGATCAAAGTCCATGGTTTTACTTCAAATTATACATGAATGGTCGACATATTACATCTTGGGGAACAAATTCGAAGACACGACCGACCGGCCAAGTTATGAAAGCCTTGTTTGAGCCAGGTGCAGAGTGGGATTACAAGGAGGGAAAAACAACTTACAAACATCCTGGCACAGAATTTAGACCATTTTTCTTTCGTCAGGAAGATGGATGTCGTGGTGCCGCGGATGATGGTGGTTTGATTGAAATCAAGGTTTTTCGTGCCCGCGGTCGCAAGAGAAGAAACCCTAAACTGGAACAATATAAAGATCAGTCAAAGTATGGTGTTGTGTGAGTTTCCACCTCTTAATATGTAGGCTTAGTATATCTAGCTGTGTGTGATAAACCTGAAAGTCTTTGCTTGGCTAATATCATTTAGTATGCCAAACCATGGACTTATAGAGAAACCTCAAGATGCAAGATACTACGATTGGCATCTCAAGGATGCGAAGGATAATCCATTTGCCACATTCAAATTCCATTATAGGAGCTGGGACAGTCTGCAGGTATTGCATCTTATACCTGCCAACCACCCTAGAATCCTTCAAGCCCAAGTTCCAAGCATGGCTAGACACCTAATGGTCCCGAGTCAGAGTATGCCGCTATTGGATCATACGGCTGAATCGCCACATACTCCAACGAAGTATTTAGGCAAGGTATATACAAGTGATCAGGTACACGATTCTCTACAAATTGCATATCCTCCGCTCCACCATAGTGGCAGTCCATATTCCTCTGATCAAAAACGATCTCGGATGTCACGAGTCTTTGAAATAAAACCATTAACATTATCGTTGACGGCCAAGAAAGACCATAGAGATGCATTTATTGTACCCACGGACCCCGCCATTGAACCTGATCCTTTTTATACCTCAGTACCGAAGGATAAGGAAATTGAGAGAAGAATCATGCCAATGTCGGTATTCTCTGCGTTATCCATTGACGGGGCTGGATCAATATCTTCGCATGAATGGTTGGCTACCAATTACAATAATAGACCTTTACCGGAGATACCAAGTAGAAATTCATCAGCAGCATCGCGTGCATCAGCGACATCTCGTGCACCATCTGTTACTCCGTCATTACTTTCGTATATTGATAGAGACCAGTCATCTCCAGAGCCAATTATTGGAACCGCAATTGCTGTCTCTATTGACTCGGATGTTTCTGAAATATCTATTGCATATGAAGAAGACATTGAAGGAGAGGATTTTGAACAAGATCATGACTTTGAGGGTGTATCAGCTTTATCACCGCCACCCACTAAAACTGATGTATGCTGAAAATCATTTTCTCATTTCTTCTCCCTTCCTTCTTTCCCCTAAATATATCCACAAGCTTCTCTTACCCCTCTTCATCTTCAGAATGGCAGAGCAGAAGAGAGTACTGATTTCTTGTGTGAATAGTCCAAGAGACAAGGAATCATCTCATCACCACCAATACAAACTTCTTTCTCTATGTCAAATGTGACCATCCGCAAACCGAAAAGCTCACCAAGTAAGCTCGCGCCATTCAAAATTCCACCAAGAAAGGAATCCACAATTCAAGGTGTGAACGAAAAATCATATATAACGAGTGATGATAACTCAGTCACTCTTTCTCTCACAGAATCTGAATGGATGCGTCGTACTCCATCTCCCACCAAAGAGACTCTTATCGGAAAACTGTGCATTCCGGGAACGGAGAAAAGAGCGAAACTGAAACATAGACTTCTTTCCCCAGAAAGAATGGCGGAAATGATGGAATTAAGTATGACAGATGATGATGAAACTGGTCAAGATGATGGAGACCTGAAGGCATGGGATAATGATAGGGGTTTAGATGGGGGTGCAATAGAGCTGGTGGCTTTGCATCGGCATCATCATCAGCAGAGCCAGCAGAGCGATCAAAGCGAAGCCGAAGAAAAAGACGTCGGAAATACTTTTGATGATTATGAGGTTAATGCTATGAATATGAGGGAGGGAAATATAAATGTGAGCTATGAAAATCGGATGAGTATGAGTGAGGGTAATTGGATTTAAATGGTGCGAGTGGTGCGATGGTCGGAGGGCTGCGGTGACAGAGTAGAATGTCAGGTAAATGAGGCACATGTAATCCTACCTAGCTAATTAATGGCTGTGGCTGTCTATGTATGTGGCTGTTAGATGAGTTAAAAATATCATGATAGATTAGGTTTGGTTGCTATTTAGGAACTACACCAAGTTGGGCATCATAAATGAGAGCGACAATGAGCATGACAAAAGTCACGAGGGTGGGAAATGCATGTAGTGATGTAATCTAAAAAACAGCCCATGAGAATAAGTATTTCAATGTGACAAGAATGATTACCTATACAGAGAGTAAATAAAATATAGAATAGTCATACTAATACGAACCAACCTGGAACACTGGGCTGAACCGATACTAGACTAGAGGATACGAGATGAAAAGAAATATACAAGTAAAGTGAGGGTTTAAATAAAGTTCTTGAATAAATAATGATAAGTAAAGAATAAAGAATAGTTTTATTTGTTATTTATTTATTATTATAAATAATATAAAATATAAATAAATTATAAAATATTATATTATATTTTAAATATTTAATATTTAATATGTATAAAAAAGAAAAGATTAAAATTTAAAAAGAAAAATATATTACAAAAATAAAAAAGAGAATAGATTTATCAAGATAAGAGTCAAAAGCAAGTAAGTACTTTTCATCTAAAATATTTCCATCCGAAGTATCAACGGATCTGAGAAGAAACTACTAGGTAGCTTACATCAAGGAATTTCTAGGCGCCATGGCTTTCTTGGCTTACAGTCCTTGAAAGTAGGCAATCAATCTAATAAATGCCGCGCGCGAGCTCAGAAGAAAATATGTTACACAAAATGACTTCCTGTCCTACCCTACCGTAAACAGAGTCGATGCAGTACGACCATCCGGCTCTTAATCCGCCGGTACTGGAACCGTCTTTTTCTAAATATCTGCGAATACTTTTTGTGTCCACCTTGCGGCTTTTATCCGTGGCAGAAGCAGAGGAGTGCCTTTTTGAATTGGCAGGCCGAATCACAAATGCAAGACCGTTCACCAAAGCATAAATTTCCTTACTTGATAGCATGTTCATGGATTTTCCCGTAAACATTGGTTTTAGTCTTAGCTCATGCTATGGCTAGCTACTGAAGTATTTGGCATCTTTCTCTCTTTTCCCTAATTGTATAATCTGAAGAATGATCCACTGGTTTCCAGATTAGTTCACCGTCCGTTTGACTTAGGGAAATCAAGAAAATGCATTACTATCTCTTGGCATCTCATTCTCATCTACTTGCCATGATATCACTAGGAGAGCTTCGGATCTTCTCTATCTTTCCCCTAGCATGAGCGGCGATGTAAAAGGTGAAGGTTGCGTAGGCAATTGCGCTCATGCATATATCACAAGATCAGTAATAGTTTGCAGAACAAACTGGTAGAGATCCGCAAGAATCAAAACTCGACAGAATGGGGGCTATACTACATCGTGTAACAGACCTATAGAGATCGGAACTTCGGAAAACACCTTGATCTGTCACTAACACCAGGTAGTTGTTGATCCTGGCCACTGGACTGAAAATCTGAAAATGTACGGGTGTCATCGTCGATGAGACTTGGTAATACCAAATTCACAAGGTCATGGTTGTAGCCAATAGATGTGCCAGCTATTGCAACGTTAATTCCTCCATGCGAGCCAGAATATTTCCAGATGAACGATTGAGATTTAAATATTAGCCGCGCTTTCCAGCCATGATATCCGCCAAATAATGGCATTGCCATGTTGGTTCAAATATCATGCAGCTTCCACCGTGTAGAAAGGGGTGCACTTGGTGTATGCGGACACCCGCGCAAGGAACCCTTGTCGGGCTCCTACACGCGGAAGGTTTGCCCTTTGGCCATGTGGTGTCAATTACTTCTTTGAATCATGGGCCACTCTCTGAACCAAACATATCTTTGTTATATAGCAATGCGGCCCCGAGTCCGATGGTGACACTAAACAACCGTGTTTGTGAATATGACAGATGATATGACAGACTTAATCTCCGCAGTAATCTGAGAAATAAGGGTCTGAATCGAATTTGAATTAGCAAGCATTGGTGCGTTGCGGTGCTGCTGTACTGTAGTACAAGCCGATCTATAACATCAACTAACGCAAATGGGTGTTGATCTTTGGATGGCATTCTCCGTGAGGTGGAGAACACGGGAATCTAGAGATTGAAAATATTGGCTGGAAACAAGTTGTCAAGGTGCAACTACCTAGCACGCACAGTTTCCTGCATGGCATAGCAGAAAGCGTCTCTAATGCCGGTAGACCTTATTAAAAAGCTGGGAACCAAAAGGTCTTGTGTAACGAAATCATCGGCAAAAGGCCGAATAGGAATTCGCATACTCTATACCACCAAGAATATCTCTCCAATAATTTCAAGGTACCGTGCCTTATGAATTAGGAATTTTGCAACAGGAAGCTTTGGGTATTAGTGGCGTCAAAATAGTACTAACTCCCAACGACAATAGCGACCCAAGCTCCGGCCAATTTCAAATTTGTCCAGCACTAAGGCTTTTTTTTTGTGCCGTCAAGTTCGGTAGGAAGTATGCAGGTATCCATCCGGTTCCTTCGTTACCAGAAAAAGATGAACGATTGTGGATAATGCTTCGGGTACACGCAGCAATAGAAATAGGCAGTAAACAACCCAACTTACAATGATAAAAGGTTTGCAGGGATTCCAAACTTTCCGTAATGAAGAGAGCTATGACCTGCTAAAAGTAAGAAATGAAATCCAGGACATGAGGTTGATCTGAGCTTCCTTCCTCGGAGTCTCTTGGAAGTTAAGTAATCTAGCAACGTAGCGCTCGATCAGATCATTGTAGTCGATGCAATTATTTTCGGAGCTATGAGATATAAAGCTCTGTGGTGACAACTTGCATAAGTTCCGCATATCGGTCAACACTTGTGAACTGGACCATATATAACTACATCAACGTGAGTTAATTCCATTTATCCTTTGACTTTCGTCAGTGAAGGTAAAAGCCTCTTAGACTGATCATTCAATAGCAATCTTGATTGGGTGCCGAAAGGTTCTGCCCGCCTCGCCAAAGTCGCAAGGAGAGAATTTAGTGCCCAGCTTGTAGCTTGACCGCCTTAATATTTAGTTAGGGCTGTCTACATCATTCCTGCATGGCATATGCAGAGTTATGAAGTTGAATTGTTGGAGTGCATCCTGTCGTTGATATACAAGTCGCAAACGTACATGGAAATTAGTCAAGATAGCGGTCAAGCGTAAAAGTTATGTTAAACAACGCGGAGCCACGAATCGTCTCGGACGGCTTCGATGTCTTTGTCGCAAATCATTGCATGATTCCAGTTCAAGAGACATTTTTCGAGATGAATAGCAATAACGCCTGGAGTATCAACAACCCGCCAACCCCAGAAGGTTGGGAGCAAAACTTTGAAAACTTTCGAGACTACAAAAATTTCCCACTGGTAAGCAAGCCGAAAGGAACAAAATAAACCTTGCAGTTGAACTGACCCCAAGTAGTTTCAGAATACAAGTGGTGACTTCTGTCAAGACACGACAGCACTTTCCACCGACCAGGAAAGCGAGCGGCAAAGAACTTCTACACATGCGGTCATATGTCCACGACAAGAACCAAATAAAGGACATTCATTTTCCATTCCTTTACATCCCGCACCTAGCATGGTCCAAGATTATGGTTCAAGTCCAACACTAGGAATAGATTACTCGCATATGAACATGGACCATGGGCGCAGAAGCTTTGCAGCTTTTCAAAACTGCAGGAGTTCAACGCCATCATCAATAGTTCAGGTGTCATCCTCAACTATTAGCCCGGCAATTCATCACTTCAGCAGTGATAGCACAAGCCCGAATGCAACCTATAGTGACCTCCCCACATCGGCCACGAGCTTAACCAATACAAACGACTCTATCGAGTCAAGTTCTGCCGTTCCGCATGATGGCTTAGCAAATGGTTGGTGGTCGGATCGAGGTGTTAACCATATGAACCGTATCAACAATCATACAGGTGGTATCTCAGGGTTTGGCTTTTATGAAACACCGAGCCTTTCCGATGGCCTGCCTAGAGTGCAAGATGAGCAGCGTGAGATTATGACAGACTATTGGAATCATACATATTTGCCGGCCAGCAACTGGCCACCAAGTCCGTTCATTCCGAGTACTGTCAGACCTAAGGCGTTGAACCTCAGCGCATCGTTCGCCTCCAGTGTCTCTACTGCTACCACGGAATGTAGTCAAATCTCGGCATATTCGTCGGAGTCCACTGCAGTTGTAAGTAGTCCGGAATATACTCCAAGTCCTTCACCCACGGGGGAGCAATCAGTGGCGAACCAAGCCCGTCAGACGCGTGCTCGGCAGATGCTCCCAAGTTCGAGGCCTGCTAGAAATAGTAATGCGAGAATTCAGCCAAATGATAGAACAAATCCGGATAGCCACCTCGAACCACAACTGGTCACAAAGAGGCCAGCAAAACATCGACGCGGGAAGGCCGAAACCCCCATTATCAGTGCAGTTGCAAATACTCGCAGCCACACAATAATCAAGGATCCCGTTGTGGCTACGACACCCAAGAACAATGTGCCTAAGGGTGTACCACCGTCAACAATCGGTGACGCAAAACTCCGTGGTCGTTCCGAACAAAATGAATTTTTAGTCCGCTCAAGGCGGGCAGGCATGTCGTACAAGACGATTCGTTCCAGCGGAAAGTTTACAGCTGCGGAATCTACGCTCAGGGGTCGCTTTCGGACCCTAACTAAAGACAAGAAAGATCGAGTTAGGAAGCCAGAATGGACAGAAAATGATGTATGTAAAATTTCGAGGCTTCGCAATGATGGTGGAGCTAATATGTGGCTATAGTTACGACTATTGAGCAAAGCGGTAAAGGAAATTGGGCGTAACATGAGTGATGGCTCGGAGCCACAAGGAGAATGGAAGAAAGTCGCCGAGTATATCGCTGATAATGGGGGATCATATCGTTTTGGTTATGCCACCTGTCGAAAACGGTGGGTTGCACTAAAAGATGCTGATAAAGGGACGTGAGAGTGTGGCAAGTCTCCAGGGGAAGTATCCTTGGAGCGAGGGAAAAGAGATATTGGCCAAGTGATTTTAATATTCAAAGCCACAAAGAATTTGTGAGTCTGGGGAGCTGGACGCAACAGATGACGTGGGAAAAATACCATTAACTGGCCGAGTGAGTTAATTGATTGTGCGCGCATGTAGAAAGATAATGGTAGGGTGGCTTGGTGTTGTCAACATGTCTCAATGAACAGAAAGTTTAGCTTATTCCAAATGATGCGACCTCCATGCTATATCTTTCCGTCTATTAGATTATCGAATGTGCCAGAATGTCGATATTAAGAATCAATTGTATTCGTAGGTATCCCAATTGTCTTGAGGACCTCCAGAAGGATCTGCTCATCCTTGCGCACAGCGTTCCATTCAGTTTCACTCTTCACCAGTAGTGTGCCTGCTAGAATTGTTCCGTTCAAAGCAACGGATCCCAAAGTATTGCCATCGGCATCCTTGATTGAAAGTCCTTCGGCCGTCCGCGGACATAACACCATAGACTTATGGGTAAATCCGAGGTTATAGCTAATGGGCGATTCCGTCCCACGATCCACAGGAGAAGCAGTTCCCACTAGTTGGCAAGCCTTGTGATGTAACCCTATGTAGGTTGCGTGCAAATCCGACGGGTGAATATCAACTGGGAGAGGTGCGGCGAAGTATGTGAACGGTAGTTCTTGATGAGGTGTCAGCCATATATTTGTAAGGACGGAGGGCAGTTACCTGGTGCAGGTGTCTCAGTAAGACTGTCTGCCAATGGAGACCATTTTGCCTTTTGGTCGAGCCCCGCCCTCATGGATTCGACCGGGATGAATTGTATGTGTCTATGTCGCTGGGATGCGCCAGAGTGCTCCCCCGAGTTAAAGAACCCAAACAGTTCTTCTCCTTGTGCATGATATGATTCTAAACACTCATACGCCGCCTTGAAATCTACCTCTTCCAACATATGTGTTTGTTCTTCGAACTCTTTTGTTGCAAGAATGAAATGATCTGGTATAACGGGGAATTTGTTAAGTACGAGGTTATGCGAGCCAACCTCCGCGACAAGCAACGATTGGGGCGGATCAAGGAATGGATCGAATGGTTTTTGGGTTACATCTTTGGGCTTGTCTGACTTAGGCTTCTGTGCCAGGAAAGGGGAGTACCGTAATTGAAACTACATCAACAGCGAGATCAGTAGGTTGTCGCTACTGAGGGACATTCACATTAAGCCTTACTGGTAATGAATTGCAATGCAAAATGGTCAATTGCGTTGGAGAATAGGCGATATCGCCAGCAGCTTGAGCACCTTCGAATTTTTCACGAACAAGAGTAGGTAAGTTTCTCAATCCCATGGCTGAGAAATTGAGTGGTAAAGAGGATGTTGGATGTTGGATGTTGGATGTTGAATGTTGGATGTTGGTGGTTGATCTTGTGGTTTGGGCTTCTGTCCCAGACAGAACAGGGGTTTCGGTGATAATGTTGATCTCCGAAGGGTGGGATACGTGCAGCAACACAGAGCCATCTGAGGTTACTAGGTAATAACAACACAACTAACAGTCGACAAGAATACTGCTTACCACAATTGCAACATTCAGATATCAAAAACTGAACAATAATAAGTGTGTATTGCAAGTGCCAGATCACGAACTTCTATCGTGATTAGCCGATGTCCGAAGTCGAACGAGATGTTGAAAACTGTGACGCTACATCAATGACTGAGATGAAGATGGATATCTACTTGTTCATCCCGTGAACGTGCTTCTCGTTTCTGTTGAAGAAGAGAGTAGTCTTAGTCAAGCTGGTCAATTTGGTTATCAAGGGCTACCAGTTGGAATAGCTTGCCCCGCAGCCGCTTCCAATTTTATATATTTATACATGATTTTTCGAACTTATATTTATGTGACTTGTTCCTGCTCTCAAATTCTAGGCAAATAAACGCATAAACTTCTTATTCAGACCAGTCCAACATTCTCCATTATACCAACATTCTATATCATAGCCAATTTCCTCAAGGCAAACACATTGAGTCCAAACACCTATCCGACACTGCTCATTATTTATCACGATTCTTCTACATACATGTTCTCATCCTCTTCATCCCTCATCATTTTGACGCCTTCGAGACTATTTGCTCTCAATATTCATGGAAATCCAACTGTGCTCCCGGTAGTCACAACTACCCATGCGCAGAGCAATATTCACGCAATGGAATATTGTTGCTAGGCAAGATTTCGGAGAGAACTTTCTCGCAATTTATCATCCCACAAAAGTTGCTACTTTGTTTTTGCATCAAGATGGGGGACCTTGATACTTCCATTTGCCCTGATTCTGCAAAATTTCGAACTTTGTGCTCCCAGGGAGACGCAGCCAACTCGATTAATGGCAATGGAAAACTTACGCTACCTCTTAGTTATTCTGAGTAAGATGTTGATGCCTTCGGCGGGAAACGCGACTCGCTCTTTGCATCGGCCGTTACAGCTTAGCTTTTCAGACTCTAGACTGTCACAAGAGCACCGAGAAATACAATATGGTTATTGAGTCTCCCAGCTCCCGTTATGCTGGGTCAATATATGAATCCTTTGACTATCCCCTCGAGTCTCCTGATTAGGATTCAAGCATTCGTAACTAGTTTTGCACGAGGGCTATCTATGTGTCTGTAGTGGAAATCTGTTGATGGCACTCAGGATTTTGTTTCTTCTTGCCAGAGTTTGTTCCATTATTTTTCATAATTTGTCATTCCCCTTCGCCGGGATCATTCTGGAAGATTACTTTTCAAAGAGTTCGATACTCTGAGCATCAATTCAGGCTATCCATTTCATCGTTTTATCATTAGCATGCCCTTCGTTCCAACACAAAGGTTTGTCCCTATTTTTCCCACTATCTTACGTTCCATGCATGTTTAAATCAACGTCCGGGTATATTTTTCCATGAGCAGGAGAGTTGGTAAAAGGATGTTGCCATACCATTACTCTGTGGTTACATCCCGTCAAGCCATTTTATGTAGCACAGCTCCGCATTGAATACTAGCCGAACGAAGTGCTTGCCGAAGATCACTATAACCACATGACTTAAGGACGGCATACTTTAGCTGATTCCTATTCGGCAGCGAAAGCTTGGTTACTGCAGTCAGCATTACATATCATATGCATAATCCATTTTTAGCCAATCATTATTCAACCATCGTGTCGTAATGCAGGTCTTGATTCGGGTACACACTCGATAGAGTATTAAAATAGTATTGGGGTATAAATATATGAGTAGCGAGATACAATTCAGTAACCTCATTCCTCATCATTAACAATTTTCATTATAAACAAGATGCGTTCGCTATACTTGCCGTGCGCTTTATTTGTAGCTGTTTTTAAGAATGTGGTATGCCATCCAGTATCCCCAGGGAGGATTCTTGAGAAGTCAACAGATCTCTTGCAAAGTTATGATTATGTGATTGTAGGAGGAGGAACAAGCGGACTTGTCGTTGCAAATCGGCTGTCGGAAACCAAAAGTAAAGTCCAACACCTCAAATTTCCCACATTAACATCGATTGACATCTTTCCAGATATCACTGTTCTCGTGATCGAGGCAGGAAACTTGTGCGTCCTTAAATTCCCATGGAATCCACCAAACATTGACAAAGTCCCAGCCATAAAAATGAAGATTTCATAACCATTCCCCTAATAACCACGTCCAATCTCCCTTTCCTCGGTACGGGTCCCAGAAACACAATCTACGACTACAATACGACCTCAACTCCACAACCACATCTCGTAAATAGGTCCCTGGCTTTGTCAGCTGGAAAGGTAATTGGTGGTTCTTCCGCCATAAACGGAATGGTATTTATGCGTGGAAATGCAGCCGAATATGATCACTGGGAAGAACTCGGAAATACGGGGTGGAATTGGAAGGGGTTATTACCTTATTTTAAGAAAAGTGAACATTTCACACCTGCTGAAGAACAGGATGTGCAGGAATGGGGAATTGGATATGATGCGAATGTGCATGGAGAAGGTGGGTTTGTGAAAAATGGCTTTTCGAGATTCATTTGGCCAAGTACCAGTGAGTTCCTTTTTCTGTTCGTGTAATTCCACTATTATAACTATAAATCTTCATGAAAACACTGCATCTCGACTAAGAGACCACAGAAAACTTCCTAACTGCCTTCCTCGAACTCGGCGTCTCTTACATTAAAGACTCCCTCTCCGGGCTCAACACCGGCGTGTTCTTCTTCCTACTCTCCATAACCCCTGATTCTCAAGAACGCAGTACATCTCAATCTTTCCTACCATTTACTTCCGACATTCCTACCCGTCCTAATTTACATGTTTTAACTTCTCATACTGTTACTCAAATTCTCTTTTCTTCTACCCCTTTTAATTTTTCTTCTATGAACTCGACGGAACCACGAGCTATGGGGGTGGAATATTCTGCTGGAGTTGACGAGGAGAGGTATACAGTGAATGCTAGGAAAGAAGTTATTCTTAGTGCGGGGGCACAGAGAACCCCGCAATTGTTGCAAATTTCTGGAATAGGACGTCGTGATGTGTTGGAAAATTTGGGGATTGAACTTGTGGTTGAGAGTGAAGGCGTAGGAGAGAATTATCAAGATCATTTGTTATTTACTACTTTTAGTCCTGGTATGTTATTTTATCGCATTTTGGAACATGATTCTGATTTGCTCTGGAACAAAGCTCCAAATCTTGAGGTTCAGTATGGAAATTTGAGCACGAATGCTACGTGGGCTGCGGAGATGAGGAAGTTGTACAATGAGAAGAGGGATGGTATGTTATTTTATTTTACGGCTTTGAAAACAGTAAGTGATATACTTACGTCTAATCATTCCTAGGGCCCTTCACAACGGCCTCCGCAAATGTATTTTCATTCCTCCCTCTCGCCACCATCCTTAACGGCTCAGCACCTTCGACCCTCGACGATCTCCAATCCCTATCCCATTCCGAAAACTCATCCCAATACCTACTCTCATCCACCCCATCTTCCGTCCACGCAGGGTACAAACTCCAGCACCAAATCCTAACTTCTGGTCTTCTCTCCACAAACACCTCTCACATGGAAATAATAGTAGGCGACAGCATCATAGCCCCCGCCATCCAACTTCCCTATTCCCGCGGCCGCGTCTCCATTTCCTCAACCTCTGCCTTCGATCCTCCCCTTCTAAACCCAAATTGTCTCTCCCATCCTATTGATCTCTTACAGCTCACCATCGCATTCAACTACACACGGTTCATGCGCACTGCTCCTTCTCTCCAAGCAATCTCCTTCACGGAATCATATCCAGGCACCAATATTACAACTCAAGCACAGATTGAAGAATTTATCAGGGAAACGGTAGTGACTGAAAATCATAATGCGGGGACTGCATCGATGTTGCCGAAAAAATTAGGAGGCGTGGTTGATGAGAGATTAAGGGTTTATGGGGTGAAGGGGTTGAGGGTTGTGGATGCTAGTGTGATTCCGATGTTGGTTGGGGCGCATTTACAGGCGACGGTTTATGGAGTTGCGGAAAAGGCGGCGAGTATGATTCTCGAAGATTCATGATAGTGTTTTATAAAAGTACAAGGTTTTGAAGAAGAGAGGGGGCCGGATCCAATGGTCGGAGGGTGTGCATAAGGATGAGCAATACAACAAACTTTTCGCGCAGCTCTGGCAATCTGGTTCTGAAGCTGCTCAACTAGAGTAGCTTCAAGGATTTCAATGGACAGTGATAAGCTAACAAATGGATGCTTAAATAATATTCTTGAGACGGATAACGAGAACTAGAGAATCTATTAATAAATCCTGCATTTCGGGTCTCTTCACTTCGAAATTCCAATTCTAAAGCAAAGAGACATTTGGAAAGGGATTCATTAACTTGTTATGATTAGAGGGAATTCTTCATATTTCGCTGCTTGTACAAACATAGTTTGAGCCAGGCTCAAAGTTCTAGAAGTTCAGTAGAGGATTTTATTAGATCACCAATGAAAAATCACTAAAGAAAGCCGCTACTATCACATTTCCTAGAATTGACTTAAGGAAGCGGCACCTCCCCGACAGAATTGGCTCATTTTCACCCGACTGTAGAACTTAAAACATTGTATAATTGTATAATTCAAGTACTGATTCCACCATCTGCAGTATAAACCGCGCCAGTAACATAAGAACTTTCCTCACACAACAAGAAGGCAATAATCGCAGCCATTTCCTCGGCAGTACCAAATCGATTCAAGGCAACAGAATTGAATACATTCTCAGTAGCAACTTCTCGACCTTGCGCCAACATTGGTGTATCGATTTGACCTGGAGCTAAAGCATTCACTCGGATATTTCTATCACCGACCTCTTTCGCAGCACTACGAGTGAGACCAATAACTCCATGTTTACTGGCGACGTAAGGAGCGCATCCTGGATAACCTACACCGAAGAACATAAGATTAGCAGGAACTCAGTTATCGACCCATTCGACGGGAAAACGAAGAATAACTAACCTTGTGTTCCTGCCACCGATGCTATATTGACAATACTACCACCATCTTCCATCTTTGATAGCTCAGCCCTCAAGGAGTACATCATTCCAGTGAGATTGACGGCAATGATTTTATTCCAATCCTCATCCTCCAACTCTTGAATCTTTTTTGTTCCAAAATGTTTACTAATAATCCCCGCGCAATTGGCGGCACCATCAAGCTTCCCAAACTCTTTAACAATCTCATCAATCCAATCATCAACTGATTTGCGATTTGAAACATCCACTATCGATCCCTTGGCCTGTGTTGGAAAGACACCTCCCATAGCGCTGTCGATAGATTCGCGGGAGATATCTCCAATGCAGACGATTGCGCCTCGTGAGCTGAGAAGCTTGGCTGTGGCTAGACCCATTCCTGATGCACCCCCAGTGATGGCGATTACCTTGCCTTTCAGCGACATGATGGTGTTTGGTTTATTGTTTTCTTTGTGATGGGGGTTGCAAATAAGTTTTGATATTGATAGGTTGGATGGGAAGTGATGTTTGAGCTGAGAAGAAATAAAGCATGATGTCAAGCATGAGGGGTAGATAGATAGTAGTCGTACAATAAATACACTTAAGTGTTGTTTAAACTGTAAGCATGATTGATCGAAAGGATGCATCACGAAATTGACATTATCTTCGGTTGGTTTCTCACACAAGCACAGCAACGAATCAGCTGGTATTCTGGTGCTTCAAGATGGATGTTACATAGGCAGATTTGTGGGTTCCACCAATACAGGACTGTAGACAATTGATGGGAGTATGCATCTTTTTATCCATTCTGGTGTAACCCGTAACTCACAATGAGAGCGGTTGAAGGTTGTCGTCTGAAGTCAAGTTGAGACAGGTTGGTGATGTTGGAGGTAACATTCTTGATATCAAATTGAGAAACTCTAAGCACAACTTTATGAAACATTACATTACATTTCATAAAAATAGCATAAATTTATGCTTTGACGCTAGCCCCCGCATTTCGCGTCTCATGACAACATACATACATACTTCCTACTTTTACTCCGGTTTATTAGAACAGGGGCAAGTGAGATGGGGCTGATGTGGAACTTCTTGTTCCAGCTTGGATAACTACTACTATACGGGGTAGGTAGCTACGAGGTAAAAGTAGGTAGATAGCTTTTACGCCGTCGAGAAACTTTGGTCTCATGATTGTTCTCTTCACAGAACAAAGCCGGGTAAGCAAAACACTTTTCTCATCCATTTTTCATTACAAACTGTTTACTCTTCTCCATTATATGAAAGTAATAGCCGCGGATGTTCAAAACTCGTTTCATTCCTTCATTCCTCGTTGTTTTTCCTCAGTTGCATCTCTTGATGGTATTTTGATGATACCTTCCTTCTTGATACGAATACATCGCTGCATGCACCCCAAATAATACAGTAACCATGCGTTGGACAAGCTATATTCAGGTCGCATCTGCAATAGCAGCGACGGTCGCACAAGCTTCTACATTGACCCCGCCAGTGATACCATTAATTGTTCGCAATCCATATTTGAGTGCTTGGTTAGGACATGCAAGAGAGAATCCGTGGGAACATTGGCCCATATTCTGGACGGGTCAAGAGGTATGAGATTTAATGATTTCTTCTCAAAATCAATTCAGATCAAAATATTCATTTTTTACAGATTGGGTTCTCTGTACTCGCCTCTGTTCCTCAATCCGATACTGTTTATCCATTGTTGGGTAGACCACAAGATTCATTAAGCAAAACGGGGGAGAGGTATGTTTTTAGAGCAATTGGCAGCCGATTGGTGCATTGAGTATGAAGACTAATTTATCTGTAGCTTCAATGTATCATATCCTGCATTTTTAGGTGCTACTTTTGATGCGTCAACGACAAACCTCACATACCACATCCCTTCGCCCTCTAAATCCCAAGATCCACTCGAGGTGGTATTATCCTTCCTATCTCCAATTACACCGACTTCCACTTTTCGTCAATCAATACCTGCGGCATATTTGACTGTGCATGTTACAGGAGGATTTGATCTCGATGTATACTTGGATATTAATGGATTATGGGTCAGTGGCGATAGAGCAAATGCCATTGATTGGACATTCAGCCAGAGTGAACCACCAAAGGGTAGCAAGGAGTCTCCATTGAAGATCTGGAAGGTCAAACGAGTAGTTGAGCAATTGTTTACCGAATGGGGTGACCGTTCAGAATGGGGACAATTACACTTCACAGCCCCAGCCGAGGCTAACTATCAAGCTGGCACATCTGCTATACTACGTACTGCGTTCTCTAGAAGTGGAAAATTGTCGAATAATGTTGATACCAACTTTCGAGGAATTATGGATGAGGAACCAGTTTTCGCATTCGCGTACTCTTTCAAGCTCAATTCCACTTCAAATTCCACCTCTGCTGCAGGTGGCAAAACATACGCTAGTGCACTATTCACGATTGCACATATCCAAGATCCTGTCATCCAATTCGCTTCCGCTCGAGGCTTAACAGCTATGCGTCCGTTATGGGCGTCTTATTATCCTAACGCTGATGTTCTACTTGAGTACCATTACCGTGACTTCCAGAAAGCTTTCAGCCTTGCAAGCAATTATTCGGATCAGCTTGCGATTGACGCTTTGCAGTCCGGATCTGGGGACTACAAAGATATTCTGGCCCTCAGTGCACGTCAAGTATTAGGTGCTGCTTCTTTCTCTGGTACTCCTGATAATCCTATTATTTTCTTCAAGGAGATTTCTTCTGACGGAAATATGAACACTATTGATGTGATATACCCCTCCTTTCCATTCTTCTTGTACACAAATCCTAGGTGGTTGGCGTATATGCTGGAGCCTTTGATTGAACATATGCTCAGTGGTCAATATCCGTAAGTTTCGTCTTTTGAACATTTGTTTAGTACACTGAGCTAAATTCTGGTAGTAATGATTACGCTATGCATGATCTCGGTTCATCATTCCCCAACGCGACAGGACATCCAGATGGTAGAGATGAGTATATGCCAGTCGAAGAATGTGGAAATATGCTCATCATGGGCTTGGCACTGGTTAACTCACTTAAGTACGACACTAAACCAGCAAGCATTTGGTCTAGTCAAGGTGATGATAAAACCGCTCAATTTATCGAAGGTGCATTCCCACTTTTCGTGGATGCTGATGGTATGGATGATACTGTCGGTGGTCCGGTTGAAGCTAAAGGCGAAAAGCAAGCACGAAAATGGGTCGAGAAATCATATAGATTGTGGAAGCAATGGACTGGCTATTTGGTTAGGGAAACTCTTATCCCTAGCAATCAACTGTCCACGGACGACTTTGCTGGATGGCTAGCAAACCAAACAAACCTTGCCCTGAAGGGTATCATAGGGATCAAAGCTATGAGCGAGATAGCCGAAGTTGTTGGTGAGACCGAGGATGCTACTTACTACCGCAACATCTCCGAAAACTACATTAAACGATGGGAGGAAGAATTTGCCATTTCTAGAGATGGAACTCATGCTAAATTGGCATACTCTTGGTATGGATCATGGACCATTTTATACAATCTGTTTGCAGATTCGTTACTTTGTTTCCATATTCCAACAAGCTCTTCATCTATTCCGAGCGATTGGAAAGACCAAAAGCCTATCACGCTCCCTGATCACCAAGTTTCAAAGACGGGATTTGTCAGTGACAAGGTTTACAAATTACAGAGTGACTGGTATCACTCAGTCCGACAGAAATATGGTCTACCTCTTGATAGTCGCCATCTATATACCAAGAGTGATTGGGAATTCTTTGCTGTTTCAGTTGCTAGTAAGAAGGTTAGGGAGGAGATCGTTGACTCGATTGCATTATGGGTCAATGAGACCACGACTGGTACGTAATTTGATAATGGCAGGTCATGGCGTTAACTAATAATGTCAATAGATAAACCACTTACGGATTTATATGATACAGAAGGGACAGGTGGATTCCCTGGCATAGAGTTCAAAGCTCGGCCGGTTGTTGGAGGACATTTTGCATTCCTAGCGTTAGAAAGGGCATGTGATGGAAAGGCTGTTGCTGCCTTAGACTTTTTAAATGAAGAGGGGAAACTAGAAATAGACGAAGAAGAGATGATGCACAACGAGGAACTTTAGATTAGAGTATTGTCAAATTGCTTGACGAGGTTCGGTATATCTTTACATGAGTTTGATTGATTTGGGGGATGAAAGCACTGCAGGCAAATGCAGTTCTCTTAAATGATGAATGAATAGGCATAATTATCAATACAACATCAAGGCGGATGTACGTACTCTAAGTAGGATGTACTATCTTTGATTGGTACTGCTTGATTTGCTTGCTTCCATAACTCTCCTCTGACTGGTGGCAATGATATTCAGTCGGAGGATTGATATATGCTGATGTGATGGTATATACAAGGTACACACACATAAATCTCGAATACCATTTAATCCTATAATTACTAGGCGTTGATGAATATTCTATGATTCTTTGTTTATTTTTACAATTATCTACATCATCTTCGACTTTTCTATTGATTATTAAACGTTTTCTTATTCATAATCGAATAGAGAATGTCATCTCGCTGCCTATCAAAAAACACAAGTAAGGTTAACCTTACTATTCATACCTAAATATTGGTTTCAGCTTGACCAGCTTAGATCAGCTTGACCGCTTTATTTAGCTTAGCCGCCTGTCGGTTAGTTGTTAACGCTAGACCCAATTTTAAATTCGCGACAACTTCTTTTACTTACAATCTGACCTCTACGTGCCTCTTCCTTTCAACAACAACACCACCAACAACTTCTTCCCAACTCCATCTTGTTTCTTTATTAAATCCCCTTTCCCCCATCAATAATATCAAATACTTGCATTATTGCAATATAATTTGATATTATTTTTCGCTTATTAGCAAGTCTTGAGTACTTTTAAAGCTCGAGATTTGGATTTGCGACAGCTTCGGATCTCACATTTAAAATCAAACAAACCAACAGACCCTCTGCTTACCTATTTTCGTGTTTTTGTCTCACAATAACACCACTTATTCATCATGACTTCCACTATGGATTATGAGAATGAGAACGGCACTCGTTACGAAGGTATTTACTCATCATTCTTTCACATCCTTTCAACACAGACGCGATAAATCCCGAATTTGTTACTAATTTTTTCCCTTCACTTTTAGATGAGGCTCCTCGTTACGAGCGTGATCGCAGCGCATCTCCTCGTCCAACCCGTCGCAATGACAGCCCACGTGGAGGACCCCGCCGATCTGCTTCTCCTGATAGAAATGGCCGTGCCGATGAGCGGTTAGTTGATTTGATTACGAAACACAAATAATACATTCTGACAAACAATTCAGCAGCGGACCCAAGACCGATCGTGGACCTGGCCCTCAGGATGATGGTGCAGTCAACCCTGGCTCTAACCTTTTCGTCACTGGTATCCACCCACGTCTCCTCGAAGAAGAGGTTTCTCGTCTCTTCGAGAAATACGGTGATGTTGAGAAGTGCCAAATCATGCGTGATCCTCACACTCGTGAATCTCGTGGCTTTGGCTTCGTCAAGATGATCACTTCTGATCAAGCTGATGCTGCCAAAGAGGGATTGCAAGGTGAGGTCATCGAAGGTCGAACCTTGAGCATTGAGAAGGCTCGTCGTGCTCGTCCTCGTACCCCAACCCCTGGCAAGTACTTTGGTCCACCAAAGAGAGGTATGTAACTACCCATTCTTTTTTAACTTACACAATTAATCGAAAGACAGAGGATCCTCGTGGACCTCCTCGTGGTGGATGGGGGGGAGATCGTTACGAAGATCGTCGCCGTGGTGGTGGATACCGCTATGAACCTTATGGTGGTGGACGCTATGGTGGCAGAGAGGACCGAGACCGAGGCTACAGTCGCCGTGATCGCGATGATTACAACGATGCTCCACGTGGAATCGATCGTTACGCCGGACCCCGTGATGGTGGTGATCGTTACAGTCGTGGAGGTGATGAACGCCGTGGAGGAGGATACGAAAACCGTGATCGAGGATACGACAGAGGTGGTCGTGATGATAGACCAGCTCGAGACCCGGCTCCTGCTGCTGCCTATGGTGATCAAGCTCCTCGTGGAGATGCTCGAGAGCCATATGGAGGTAGAGCCTACGATGATGATAGACATTCCCGTCGTGAATATTAATTGCTAACCAACATAGGTGGTGAGCGCCCTGCTCGTTAAATCGTACGATCTCGAAGAACGAAAAAAGGCTTTGGATCTACGGCTTTCATTGATGCGGGTGTACCTCCACTTGTGCTTCTCTTCTCGTTTGTATTCATCATGGTCCAAAGCTTCGGGTGACGGAAAAATGCAAAATCAGTGCGCGGGTTTACAACTGTTTCGGCGGATTTCGAGCGAAAACAACACGATTCCTTTTTGATTTCTTTTTACAACGGATGCTAGGATTTCTTTCATAATATTCAGGTTTTTTCGGTTCGATGTACGTTCATCTGGGCGGAGTTCACAGCAAAGACGGTTCTTTAGTATAGGGATGCGTTCTTCCATGGGACAAATCACTGGCTCTTCACGATCAACTCTCCCTCATCACCTTATGTCCTCCTTGTACCAATATTCAGCTGAGGCTGAGATTTTCATCACAACCAATTTGCCACGGCCTATACACCTCGAAGGTCTTGTCGACTTCGTTCGTCTTTAGTCGCCATAAAAACAAAAGAATTCGATGCAACTCATACTCAAAATTAATACCCATGACAACATTTCAAAAGAGATATTTCGCAAATGCTTTCGAGACGTATTACATGTTGACAACAAGTTACAACGTGCTCGTTAATCACGAAAAAAAAATTATTTTCGATTTCACTCCATTTCGCCCATAATGATAATTGCCACCTTGTCGTGCTCGCCCCCATTCGCCCTACTCACAAGAACACAATAGCATTCATACCAAACAAAGAAACACTCATCAATCCCATTATATAGGCGACTAGTCGTAAATCAACCATGCCTATTGCATTCATATCACATATTTCGCAATGCCGTCGAGACCAGTAATCGCTCAAAAATATTGCATTCCGCCAAGATGCATGCACTTCCCATGTTCGCAGTTCTGAGGCTATACGTGGTATCATTCTTGATGCAAACGGTAGTTATCATGAAAAAAAGAATTCATTCACACAAAGCTTCTTCTCTCGATACCAAAGTTAGGAAGGAAACGTTTATTGAAAGAAAAAGAAACAAAGAAAGGTAATTCTCCGATTTACGAAAACTAAGAGCTGACTGATGTTACTTTATTTCCTTACAGATGAAGATTGATGACCTGAAACTGGGCTTGTTAGCTTGTTACGTTCTTTGAGGTAAGGGAATGTTGAGTCACGGCGTAACGCAACCGAGGCTTGATGTCTTATTGACGATGAAAATCCCATGGTTCGGTTGAGAGTATAGCATGGGTGATGGGGACACGAGCCATATCACACTTTGGGACGGGAAGTTTTCCTTCCCGTGTGGCGGGTGAAACATGATATTATTTTCTTTTCTGTCGGGTTGATATAAAGGTTGGTAGTACCGAGTGGATTTCTTTTGTCTCTTTTGGTGTACATCTTGCTTTTTTCTTCGGGGCTGTACAGTGTAGCGTTTGATAATGATAGAATGAGATGAGTGCTTGTGTAGAGTAGCTGTGGGGTTGCAGACTAGAGGAGCTGGGTTTGATAGTTTGTTATATACAGTAGTAGATTTTAGATTCCTTATATAGAATGTAAATTTATATAATCTTGACTTTTTATCTATTGATATGGGGATCAGGCGGGTGGTTATTCGACTAATAGCTTTAATATACTCATAATATAATTTATTAAGTATATACTATAGTATATACTCGAGTATCAAATTTATTTTTAATATAATATTAATAAATAAAAAATAAATAAAAGAATAGATATTTATAAAATTCATCTAGATTAAATAAATACAAGGTTATATAATTATAAAGATAATAAATAATTCATTATAAAAAAGTTGAGATAAAGAAGGAATATTTTAAGATATATTATACTGCGATATACTAAACGTATCTAGGTATCTATTCAAGAGTCAAGACACCGGAATGGGGTATCTATATCTTGCGTATCTTGCTTATTGGGGAAAAAAAATAACAATGCAACAAAGGGGTATCATAATGGAAGAGACATGACGTGACGTGGCAAAGATCCAACTGGCGCCAGTGATCCAACCTACATTCACCCAAAACATAATCCCAAGTGCTGAAGCGAGCCGAAGGACGATTCATTCCCATCTGCGCATCAACAAATAAATAACCATTACACCCTCACCGACTCATCCCACGCACTTCCCTATAATGAATAACGTCCTATCTTCTCAAATTAGTATCAATTTCCCCAACTCATACGGTAGAACGCGTATCAAAGAAGTTGAAAAGGAAAAAAAAAGTAAGAGTAAGATAAGAGTAAGAGTGTAAAATCAGAGATGCACAAAGTGCTCGGTTGTATCGCCATAACGAGGTTCTTGAGGCCTCTCAGTAACACGGACCAATTTTGCTCATCATATTGTTGTTGTTGTTGTTTTGAAATATGGACGGATGGAGTTCATGAAGTCTGAACGGGAGGGTAATGCTTACATTTACAATAGAAGATAAGATGATGACAGTATTGTCGCGAATTAGCAAAATCCGGATCTTGAATACATCAACATGTTGATGTGAACAATGTCATCTTCAGATCTCAAAGCATTAGCTATAGCAAGTAGTAGCAAGAAGAACTTGTAGAAATTTGATGTGATGGCATTTGTTGTGATGTGATTTGGCGTGGAAGAAGGTTGAGAAATAATTTTCTTGAAGAGATTTTATTTTATGTGTGGATCCGGATCAATCTCGCTTCCCATTTGTCAGGGCAACGAATGCTCCACTTAAACCTTCATTAGTTTGGAGTTTTAGACCCGACTTTGGTATTGGAATGGTTGACTAATATTGTTGAATTGTTAGATTGTTGGCGGTTGCGTGCGCTTGGAGTGAAGTATTGTTCAATGATAGAATTCTGGATTATTGGTTGAGTAGCACTGTGGCAGACAGAGAGTTGGTAAGTTTTAGAACCAAGATTTTAACTGGAACTTTCAATCGGTATTTCTAATAATGCACACAGAATACCAGAGAGATGAGATGAGCTTACCAGTGATTGTTTTTCATAGCTGGCTGCCGTCGAAAGATGTGATGCTCGGAACTCAAATATCCAAAATTAATCGGCAGGAGGAGGTCGCAAGTTCTCCCACTGAGTCTTCTGGTAGAAATCGACAACATCTTCATCCATAGCAATTTGTTCCCTAGAATAACCCGTAACCGTAAGCCCCTCCAACTTTGTTGCTCGTGAGAGAGCAACATATAATTGACCCGATTCAAAAATATCCTTCCTCGATACCTCTACATGTTCCATTGTCATACCCTGACTTTTATGAATTGACAAAGCCCAAGCTAGAAGGAGCGGTATCTGAGTCCTACAAGCAAGATATCTATCCTTTACCGTTCCCATTAAACTCTCCGACGGAACTGGTGCGATTGCAGCCGTTTTCCCATCTGCAAACTTAACAACGGGTCTCCAAGGATTCTTCTCCCTAAAACGATTCATCTGCTCTCCTCGCCAATCTACATGGTCGCCCTGAATCACCACTTTCCAGTTTTCCGCATTCACGAACCCGACTATGGTACCCTGAGAACCATTCACCAAGCCAGATTTTTGCTCTTGATTATGAAGTAAAACTACTTTTGCACCAACCTTTAGCTTTAACCTTGTTGGGAAACGATGATATTCTGAGATGGCGATTCTATATTTCTCCAACTTTTTGTCAATCTCGTGCTGACGTAGATAATCAAATTCCATTGGATGGAGTTGACACGAGTCGTCATATGCCTCCCAGACCTTGACTTCTGATTGTATCAGGTCCAACTGAGAATTATTGAAGCTGTTAACGTCAACCCGTTTTGACATCAGACGAATAGGAAACGCGTTGAAAGGAAGTTTCTTGGGACGAATCAAATCATGCCATTCTGCGTCGCTCAGATCAACACCATTGCGCACTTTATTCAAAAGAGCTTTGAAAGTTTCATCTTTTTGCCGGTGAATCTGCTCTAACTTGACGTGTCTAAAATTGAGCTGTTCCCACACAGGGGCATTGAATGCCCATTTATCACCTGGCTTGAAAGAGATATTGTCCGGGCGGTCTTTACACCCGTCACTCTTACAAACACGATCAAAAACCCCAACCATTTCAACCCCACAAATCATACAATGCTCGAAAGGTTTTACTGGGGGAAGTTGATAAAAATCGCCCAGGAATATCACTTGAATACCCCCGAATGGTTTCGTGTTTTGCTTTACCGTTTGAAGAAGTAAATTGAGACGCTCGATGAACTGGCTTTCAACCATTGAGATCTCTTCCAAGATAAGTACTTTAAGTCTCTTAAGAGCTTCGATTGTTCTCTTCTTTATGCTAGCAGGATGAAGAAGCTTCTCAAGAGAGATTTTAAATGAATCTGGTTTCCAACCCGCAAAGGAATACGTGGTTCTTCCATTCAACGGCAGGGCCGCTAATCCAGTTGGGGCAGCAACCTGAACTTTGGGGATATCTGGTTTATGATCCCGCAGCTTTTTCTTCAGTTGTGCTATGATTTGTAGCAATGTGACTGTTTTGCCAGATCCAGCAGCGCCAGTAAGAAAAATATTATCTCCACTCATTGCCATCTCAACCACCGTATTTTGCTCCGCAGTAAGTTCAACAGGCTCGGGAGGATTTTCGGACGACGATGTAATATTGTCGGAAGTGCCATCGGAAATGTCGGACTGGGAATCTGGTATCTCAATATCAAGATTTAACGGAAGATTATCGTCGTCAAATTTAGTCTTCTTAACTGCTGGAGCGATTTCTTGTTTGGATACAAAAAGGTTGTTAGACGAGGGCGTATGGTTTGGACTTTCTGTGAGGTCAATAAATATTTTTTCTATAGATATAGAACTGTCTTCTGTCTTGATGGGCGGAGAAGGATTTGCTGCGGCATCAGATTTGATGTCTTGGGAAGATTTTCTGTCTTCATATTTTCTTTTTGAACCTACACGACCGTGAAGATAATTGTTGACAGCCGTATGATTTACAAACTTAGACCTATCTGTAAGAGTATTCTCTAGTGTATTTTGTGGCGCGCCTTCATTTGGTGCTATGCCTTGAGACTCTAGCCATTCATTCCATGCTTTTTGAGCTTCATCCTGTGTCTCATAGCCTTTGAATTTGGCACCAGAAAAACCAGAGGTAGATGTCTCACATTCCGCCCAACCATTAAGGATTCCAGTTGTTCTACCTCGACATACTACAAAGTAATTCTTGGGTGTCTTTCTACCCATAATGTGATCCACTTCGAACTGGTATACATACGGGTTGTATGATCTTCTGCATGATCTTCTGTATGATCGCTTGTATGGCACAGTCAACCTAGCAGGATACAACTGCTTTGAGACAGTATTCGTAATGTTTGATCCTATATATGCAGTGGATAGCTTATTACCCATGATAATCTGCGTCTGTAAGCCGTCGGTATGTAGCAGACAATTGTCGGGTAGATAGGGAGATGAAGTGAACTCGGCGCAGTTGTAAAATATCTGGGTCTAATGGTGTCATATCAGGTATTGTATGGCAGATTTAAGAATGTAATTCCATGTGACTCCGGTATTGGAATGACCTTCAGTCTATTCGTACGCGGGTTAATGATCGATTTGGAAGGTCGGTATCGCAGGGTTGAATTGGGACGGGTCCTAGATGACTTCCTCGAGCAAAAGGTATAAGGAGAAGGTCTAGATGGTTCGAGATTAGGTGATGAATTGTCAGCCAAAATTGATAAGAATAATGGCATACGTGTATGAATAGAGTAGATTGATAATCCGGAACTCCTGGTCTGGTTCTCGGCCTCTGGAATGCAATAATGTATGTTTGTTGGTGGTGGTGGAGATGTAAAAGAATTGGTGGTTAGCAAATAAATAATAAATCAATTCCAGAAGAGTCTACTTGCTACTCAGTAGGTAAATCCATCCTGTGGTAGAAACAGATAGCCTATCGCAAATAGCCTTGTAGCGCCTTATTCAACCAATACGAGGCTCTCCGGAACCCCTCCAGGAGTCCGTGCCCCCGAAAACACCCTGAAATGAATGGCTTCAAACTCCAAACTCCAAACCAACACGCCAAACCAACACGCCAAACCAACACGCCAACACAATCATCCGAACTCATCCCACCTCCCATTGTCTTTCGAATACCAAATCTACACCGCACATCTATTCGGAACCCTCTTGCATTTCTTACATGCATTAATACCAAATCATAGCCAAAAGGAGGAAGTGAATTGTCTATTTTGGAGCTCCGGTAATTCATGTCCCTTATCGAGAGTGTCACAGACACTGGAAAAGTGGATATTTTCTTCTCTTGACCAACAGGACCTTCCTAGAGTTTCTTAGAGCTTCTTAGTATTCCAAATACTCTACACACAGGGTAGCTTTTACGCGCCAGTGACGTTACGGCGGGGTTCATAGTGGTTCATGCGTGGTTCGCAGTGAATAGTTAAGTATGAGGCTTAACCCCTCCTTTCATTCTTCTCTTTTCATTATTTCACATCATCTCAACAGCTTCACATCCATCATCATATCATCATATCATCTATCTATCCTTCACTTCTTCATATCCCACACACATAATCGCAATCATGGTTAAGGTCGGAGATTCTATCCCAACTATCGAGCTCGCTGAGGGCAACCCAGGAGCCAAGGTCAACATTGCTGCCGAGATTGGCGAAGGTTCCGGTATCATCATTGGTGTTCCAGCTGCTTTCAGTCCAACATGCTCTGATTCCCACGTTCCTGGTTTCATCATGCACCCAAAGCTGGAGTCTGCAGGAAAGGTCTTTGTAGTATCTGTCAACGATGCTTTCGTGTAAGAACCTTTCACTCTAACCCCACATACTTAACTCACCTCGAATTTAACTGACCATCCTATCAACAGTATGAACGCATGGGGAAAATCCCTCGACGCAGACAAGAAGAGTGGTATTCGTTTCCTCGCCGATCAAGATGGTAGCTTCACCCGTTCTTGGGACCTCGAATTCCCAGCTGCACCATTTTTGGGCACAAACCGAAGCAAGAGATACGCAATCGTCATTGAAGGTGGTAAAGTTAAGAGTGTACACATCGAGCCAGATAACACTGGTCACACTGGTATGTTTGAAAGGCACTTCCTGTTCACAGACAATATGCTAACAACAACTTGTAGTTTCCGGCGCCGACAAGATTCTTGGAGAGTAAGGATTGGATAATGAGGGGAATAATTATGAATAACCGCTTATATGACATATAGAGACACGGTCAAACATCGTGAAGGAAAACTTTGAATTTTGGATTTGATAGTCACAATCGAACTTTTTTTTTACAAAAGCTCAAAGAAGTTATATTGTGAGAAAGTTGGAATTATAGGCCAAATACATAAAGGTTTTAACTAGTCAATCACATGACCTTTTGTAATTAGATATAAAAGAAGAGCCTTTTGCCTCTTCTTTTCACAATAATCAATCTTCTACATATATACATTTGAACCTATATAGTATCAACCCCAAAACCATTGTGAATCCCGTTTTACCCATAAGTGACATATTACAATGTAATCTAATTCAGCTTTCTCTTCCAATTCCCTCCTCACAGCGTGCTATCGGGACGCACGTATCTCGACCTACCACTTTTACAATATGTGAATGATGAATTGTTGATATCTTTTTAAAGTGGCAGGAACTGAAACCTGTGCTCTACTGACCTCTAGGATTTCTCTTCCATCTCGACTTCGGCATATCGTTTCGTTCCAATGTCACCATCGTTACAAACATCAAAGCATGCACGAAATACAATACTTCTACCCGATCTCAACATGATGAGTGACAGCAAAACCTAAGTATCAGCCAAAAAAAATGATATCGCTTCAAAAATCCAAACCAAATATCAAAAATATGATCATCTCACAGTCAACCACCAATCATATAACCTACCATCGATATCCTGAGGAGCTCCGCGGACACCCAACACCTGTTACTTGATTAAATACAGCCTAGATGCCGTCCGTCAGTGTAAACATTACGACATTACGACAGTGAGGTCTGGGACGATGTTTTTTGCTGTGTTGATGCAGTGCAAGGTTTGGGATCTGATTGGGTGAAGAAGATGGAAATGATATCTGGTGCGGAAGAAAGTATAATTGGGAATGGGATGAGGAGGAGGAAGAAGGAGAGAAGGCGATGGGGCAGTAGGTAGAAGGAAGATAAGGGCAAGGTGGGAGGATACGAGGAAGGAAAGTTGGGAGGAAAGGCAGGAGCAAAGTACAAAATATAAATGACCTTCCAAAATGTCCGAGTACCGTTATAGGTATCCATGGTAGTGCCAGAATATCGGAGTAATTGGAGGATTCATGCTCTTTTATATACCGAGCTCGGTCTGGTCTGTCCCTAGTGGAGACAGACTATTGGAACCAGTTCGTCTAATGTAATGTTTCTTACTGTACTAGGACATCTCCACTTGAATCACGAGCGAACGAAAAATGGAACAGGAAAGTTGAATATCCCTTGCAGCTGAGATGTGGAGGAGGGTATGTGCTTCGGGGAGATCTCGGTTTTAAGCTTAATTTAGGGAAAATTCGCGCTGTTCTAATCCACAAGGTTATTCTAGAGTCAATCCAAAGTCAGATTTAACTTTATGATCCAACCTCTTCAGAAGGGCACTTCTAGAACCTTGATGCTTTCTTTTGTATGATGGATGGCTATGAGAGTCCAGGCGGTCAAGTCCTTCCATCTTCATTCGGAAATACCTCTGCATAATGTCATCTACGGGGTATTCCCTCTATATTCAATCTAGAATCCGCTCACTTGAACTTTCTTATATGAAAACAGCAACTGTAGTCCATATTTCCACCGGTGATTCTTGAGATCCGGATTAATTGTGGAAAGCTTCCCGAACGGTGTGTGTAGCAATCCCTCAATTCTTAAATTCTTATGGATCAGTGATCAGTGTGGGGATATAGGTGGGTAGTATACTAGTATCAGATATTATATCGAGACCTGAAGAGAAAGTTCGTATCAAAATATATGGATCGAAATTCCATGGTAAAATGCACAAGCAGGACAGTTTGTCTGAGATAAACTCCATAGATGAGCTAATGAAAATATATAAATGATTAATAGCTTCCAAAACATACAATCTCAGACCGTTTCATATCCTTCCTCATTGTTCCATTTCCCCTGAAATTCATCTAAGAAATACCGGGAGGACCCACCAAATCGTTCATGGATTCCTCCCTACCTGCAAGTAAAGTTCGTAAACAACCCCAGATCGCTGAACCGGTGTAACTATCACCTCCCTGGTGAAGTGGAACTTACAATGGATTTCTTGTTTAATATACATTATATAATTTCGCTGTCTCCGAATTTCAAACCCGATGGGAAAGTACAAATATGTTGATATTTCTCGATTTTGTAATAATATTCTCATCCATCCATCCATTCATCCATCTCATCTCATAACATCAGATCAATAATCAACATCATCACCCCCCAAGAATCTCAAAATGCAGCTCCTTCAAACCATCATCAGCATCGCTGCATTCAGCACCCTCGCATCCGCAACCCTCAAACCAGCCACCTCAAACACAAAGGGCTTCTACCCTAAATCCCCAGCTTGCAAAGGTAAGACTCCCTTCTCCCTCCCCTAATCTCCTTACTAACACACCCCCCCACAGCAAGCAAAGTATCCTACGCCATCCAAGCCGCCGAATGCGCACACAACACCCGAGTCTCCGGCACACAAACCTTCGCCGTCTTCGAACAAGTCCACAAATATGACAGCGCTCACGGTGCTCCCTATGGAACTTGTTCCGCATATACCTGTACCGCGCCTACAAAGTCCCAGTTGACGGCTGAGTCTGATTACTGGGTGTTTTACTGGGGTAATCAGGGTACTAGTTCTGGTGTGGGCTCGACTTGTATTAAGAGTCCTGTGGATGGTACTTGTGGGTGTGAGGATTCAGGTGGCACGTTTGTCTACAAGGGGACTTCTTGTAAATAGAGGGGTGGAGTTGGAGTTGAAGTTTGGATGTGGAAGTGAGAAGTTGTGGGATTGGTGATTAGATGATGGATGAGTAAGGTTTAAATTGTATATATCTTTTGATTCATTAGCAGTTAATAGATTCTTGCTGCTTACCTATCTGACTCCTCTTTTTCTTTCCTTTTCGATCTTCATCATTTGCATCAATAACCTTCTATTTACTCTCCTGTGTTGTTTCCTTTATATTAAATGGTGTGTGTCAATCAAAGTTGATGTCTCACGTAATAACCGTTTTGCTCCACTTCTAATTAATAAGTATATGTGGAGAACACCTCTATCTGAATGAGATAAGGTTAGTTGCAAAAGGGAAGAATGAATATTGTGAAATCTAGACAGCGAGAATATTTCCATATAAGAATTCAAAAATGCACGAAATGAATAAATAAAAGCTTCCCTCTCAGTCTCTGAGAAATGAAGATAAGGAACCAGGAACCAGGAACCAAGGAACCATCGCTTCATCCTGCTATCAAAAACCCATGTTTTGTTCCACACTAGAATGCATGCTAGAAATATTCACAGGAGTTTTTTGTTGCACATCTAATCGATACTCAAGCTCCTTTACTAAGAGATTCTTTGCCGATACTGCCTGATATGGATAGTGAGAAAAGGCAGTGGAAAGTTTAAAAAGATTCACCATTCCTTTTTGGATTCTGCGAAAGTGGACGGATGCTTGGTTGGTTTCTCGTATTATTAATAAGGGTTTTAGATAAGCATTATATAACACAAGGTTACGGAACGGAGTATAAAAGCTCGGAGACGGAGATGGAGTATGTACTCTGTCTACGGGTATTTTTAGAATTTGCGTTTGTTTACCTGTGGAAATATATTATTAAATACTCATAATAATAATCCAGCTCATGTCGTTGTCATGGATAGATTGGATTGGGTGGATTTTCGGATATTGGATTAATGGGTGAAAGACCGATTCATCAGATGAACTTGGAAGATTCCGCGGCTGAGGCTGAGGCTGAGGCCGAGAACGAGAACGAGTCCACTACCGACTGCCGAGCTCATTACCGCTCCGTATCTAAAGGGGGTTTAGTGGGGTTTTCTACATATGTGAGTTTTTTCTTCATGGTTGCTCGTTGTGTATACACCGTACAGTGATGTTGTTGAATGTTAGTGGATATGGGACGTGTTTCTTTTCTTTCAATCACCATAGGGATCAAGATGGACGGACAGGAAGAGAGCGGAGTTTATGATATATCGGCAAATTGCAGTACTGCTATCTCCTCCCCCAATTCTCCGCACTCGGTATTAAGAGTGGCGACCTTTGGATGAAGGACCAGTGCATGAACATAGCGTGGAGTCTAGACAGTGCAGTTGAAAATAGGGGTTCCATGGAGTAGTCATCGACCCCGTAGTATATAGTGCTCGAAAGAATTTGTTGCACGTCGTCAGGATGTTACCCTCTTCCTTGGTGCTTCTAAATATAGTATCAAGAGTGACGATCTTGGGGCTTGGAAGGTTGTTTGGATAGTATCTCTCGCGTTGCTGAATACTGGGTGGAATTTGTTGCATATCTGATGAATGCTACCTTCTGGGCTTGTTTGTTTGCTTTGGGTTAGTAGTTACCTCTTGATAAAGCTTATGTTTGTGTGAAAGGCGGAGAGTGGTCAATGGGATGTCAGGAGATTCCCCGTATCGTCAGATGCGTGATGCTGAGGATCTGGTGATGGACCCGAGTGATGACGATGATGTTGGTGATGATGCTGGTGATGATGGTCGAAAGTGGGGTGGATGCTTAGGTGAGATGGATTGTTGACGTGTTCTCATCATTGAGGATATTAATGGCAAGATTTGATATTGGATCTGTCTGTTTTGTGGTTATGAGTATGATAGGAAGTTTCTGATGCGTTTCGTTTTGTTTGGTGTTAAATTGAGATACTTTACTTTACTTCACCGCTAGTTTCGGTATAGCTAATTTGATGTGAAACAATCACTCTGTTCTAATATATTATTGTATGGCAATAATCAAATGATTATGGTGTAGTTCTATCATTTATCTTTTCTCATTGCCATTTATCCATTAATTACTTCTTGGTACTTTTGACTTGTAAAGCTTTCGGCAAGACCGAGAGTATCACAAGCGTTTTCCTCCAATATTGGATCATGACTTCTCAATCCTTGATTAAAGCTTCTGGATCCTTTTGTCCATGTTACCCTTTTTCTGCGCTTTTGCTTTTGATACTCCTGGTGGCAGAACAGAGCCTCTTGAGAGCTTATAATAAGCTTTATATCCATTATCCAAGATATGGAAGCGATTTTGATACAGCGGGGTAAATGGTGAATCATTCCATGCTAGTAAATAGGGGAAATTCCAAGAGTAACTAGATGTTCATGCAATCAAGCTCCTGCTACTTAAAGACTGCGTCTTTGTGGCTCCGTATTATTATTGAAATTAGAATCAGTTCTCTACTGCGAACATGGCATGTTCTTTCGTGCTTCTTGGAGGCTAAAATACTTATACTAGATGGTTTGTGTCGAGTTCCCGTCTGTTTCTAATACATTTTTTTGTTGGCGGTCACTCTTGCTGTTGCTATTTCTTTTCTCTATTCCTTCTTTCAATTCCTCTGCACATAATGTATGACATAGACAAAGCATTCAACCAGACGATCACACAACATATCTGAATTCTCGAGATATTTCAAGTACTATGGGAACATTTTTGTCCCTAGTGTCCGTTCATAACTTGTGTTCTATTCTGCAAATGCAAGAATTGCTTAGTGGTGACATAGATGAATAACCAGACCGCTTGGGACTCTATATCAAGGGCTGCTGTGTTGGATTCGTGATTTATTAAACGCTTTCCTCCGATACGGAGCATCATTAATAGATGAATTAATAATCCTTTCAGACATATTACAAAACAAATACTTGGTATAAAATCAATCAGTTTAGATACCTGTTTTGTTATCGAAAGCTCACCAGTGTCGTCGATGCTGAAAATGGATGATATGTCAATACTTTGAGATAACATGATTATGACCGGAAGAATATCACAAGTCATCGGAGAAATGAGTTTCAAGAATATTTGATTAATGCATCTATACAAATAACAGGCAGTCCCTAAGCGCCTGTTGCATAGAACGTCAAGAAGGTATTATATGATTGAAAGGTAAATGCTTGGAGCGTTTCTTATATAGACAGAGTTATGCTGACGACACATTAATAGTTGAGAGGACGTGATTCAAGACGTGTCTGTTGAAATTTGCTCATGTACAGGTGCATGCACAGGCCAGCTACGATGCCGCCAGTGATCGAGCGGATACTTAAAAGGGAGCAGTTCCCCCAAATTAACTTCCTCAAACTACTACGCAAAAATCTGCAATTCATTCAGCACCCACAAAGTCGCCGGCCAGCACTCTCGAGGTATGAGGGAGCCTAACTGGTGGTTCGCTACCCTAGGTTCGGGAGATCTTGTGGGCGACTTTTGTACTGAAATACATCTACATGCAACGATTCTCCAATCTCGGATGTCAATTTTAAAGCTTCTGGTGAAAATGGTACTGTTATTGTTGTCAAAAGTATTATTCTTGCTTACTCTTTCCCGAAAAGAAAAATCATGAGATGATACGGCGAACTCTAATCAGATATATCATACATGCTCACATTTCGTTCTAAATTATCCATCTCGAGAAGTTAGACAGAAAGAAAAAAACCATCCTCATTTGTTACTTTCTTAGCAACGAATGGAATTACTCTGTGGAATATAGAAGTCACCCATAGAGCGACTAAAAGACTTGCTTACATGAGAAGCCTCTGGAACGGATTTCCCCGCCTGGTAGACTATCCATAAGGGAGGAAAAGCGGTTTTATATATTTCGGGTTTACTAGGAGGAAAAATCAGTGATTTAAGAAATATGTCAACCAAATAAGGAGATCTATAACTGTCTGTATACCCCGCTCCAACCAAAGCTATCACACTACCTGGAATTAGGCATAATCATACTTAAGATAACTGTTCTCGCGTAAATTGAATGAAGCATTTCTTACCCTAGAGCAGTACATAGCCACAGGTATCAAAATATTAATGAACATAAACATGAATGTTACAAGAGAAGACCTGAGAGAGGAGATCTATACCACTTTCCAGAAAATCTTGCGATATGTATACATGATTATTTATAAACCAATGCGAATTAATAATCGTAGCATTATTAATTAGTTGAAGTTCTGATTTGCGTGATAAAAATAGATCTAGAATGACAACAATTAGGAAGTGTAAAAGGATGACAGTCCGACGAAGCGATGATAAAAAATAAGATTTTATTTATAGTCCCTAAATCCTGTTTTGAAAACCCAGCCGAATTGGCTTTCGATACCAAGAAAGTCGAGGTTCGATTCAGACAGACATCAATCTCGAATATATATCTTTAGGGCAGGCCATTCCTGTCGGTGTTTTATCATGATTCATGAGCATACTTTGAAATGCAAAGTATTGATCCTGCAGATTGTGAGAAAGACAATCCTGAAGACAGGATCTGTAAGACGATGCCTAAAGGATCATGGGCAACATTTTGTAGAAAACGAAATTTATTAAATGGTGCAAATAATACAAAAGCTTAAGTTAGCAAACCATTAATTAAGCGAGGGAAATATTCGACATTAAACGAATTGAATGGACCAATAGATGACCTTGGAGACGCACTCGTAAAGATCTACTTTGGCTATAAAATAGTATGTAGAAATGCCAAGTTTTGCTTCTCGAAACGCTATAGACCCTTAATGGAAAGAAGGTACAGAGTCTCTCAGAAGCCAAGACATAGATAATTAAATGTCAAAATATCATTGGTGTTTATATTTCCAGAATGGTTTTTGTTAGGATAGAAATGAACTGTAATCTTATAATAGGATAGGACATTTACTATTAATGATAGTAAAAACGAAACAAAAATGAATACTTCAAGCGACAACAAACTATCCACACCAACAGCAAAAGTCCTGATTTATTAATGAAAAAATAGAATTATTATTCCCTTATATTCTTATATATATATTATAAAAAATTTGAAATTATAAATCAAATATATAAGGATTTTTAACTAATCAATTATATAATCTTTTATAATTAAAAAAAAAGGTTTTTATTTCTTCTTTTTATAACAATCAACTTTATATATATATATATTTGATCCTATATAACCTCAATCTTCAAACCATTATGAACCTTGTTTTCTTCATAAGTGATATATTATAATATAATCTAATCAGCTTTCT